CTTGTTCAACCGTTGTGCTCTTCTCCTACCTGAGAAAGTTCTTCAAATTTTAGCATCACGTTGGGTTTTATTTTAAAGTAGAACTGTCTAGTTTAGAAACGGGAAACAGGGGTTTTGGGCGTGATTGCCGACACGGGAGCGAGCAGCTAAATTATAAACATCTATTGGAACAAAAAGGTGAGACTTAACAGGAGACGTGGGGTTCATAGTTCAGAGACATGCAATGAAAACACATTAGTAGTCCATAAATCCACAGGCGACCAGAGGAAAAACGAGGAGTACAATTCAGAAACATAAGAGGAAGACAAGAAACTGGTAACCACAGCCATCAACAACAAAAATGAAGAAAAATTAACTCGCAACAAGTCAGACTAAACAACTAAATACACCAGTGGGGGTGAACATAATCACGAACAGGTGAAACCGTTAGACAATCAGTGAAACACATACACAGGAAGTAAAACAAGACGAGGACAGTAGAGCCAGACAAACTACACTGGGAACCAAGAAAAGAAACGACTTGCGTCTGTGATTAGACAGTTTCTTAAAGATGGGTCGGTCTTTGTCTCCTCCTCCTGTCATTTAAAAAGGCTTCCACATTTGGCTCCTGGTACCAGTTTCTAACCCAGCTGTGGTGGACACGAATCCAGTTTCAGATGCATCAGACCAGATCCGATTGGCTTAACGCCGCCGCGCGATGGATCAGTTGTTTTACAGTCCTCGTATCTCCTCGTCCTGTCCACACATCAAATCACGGGATACGGTTTTCTCTCTTCTCGTCTCTTTTTAGGGCAATTAATTTACAACCTCTCTGACTTAAACAAGACACAAAAAAGGCAAAACAAGCAGTGTCACACATGGCAGCAGCTACACGGTGCCGTAACAACAATGATGGATCACCTTAATGTTCAGGTGTTTGGCAGACTTTTATCCAAAGCTTACATTTGAGGAACAACATACTGTATAAGCATCACCAAAGCATCAATACAGCATCTCTAAGTGCCAATAAATACTAGTAAGAGCATCATTGGAGTAAATACCTAAGGAAAGTAGTAAGAGCGAAGGAAATAGTGCAATCAATACAAAATAATTGTAAGGGGATAGAAGAAGAAGAAGAAGAGCACAGGAAGTGCATGTTGGAGGTTTGAGGTGTTATCAGAGAAAGTGTTCTCTTAAGTAGTTAGCAGTCAAATGACAACACACAGATGCTTAAAGTCCCCAAAGGTGCAGACGAGGTGCCGCAGCCTCCGTCTGTGTGGATGTTATGGCTGTAGACTAGATTCATCTGAGCACAAACTCCTTTCAGCGCCTTTTAATATCTGGCCCGATCTCTCCTTTCTCCGCTGACACGCTGTTCAGCCACCTGACATAATGGATGAGGCAATTTAAAAAAAATAAAAAATAAAAAATCTATTTGGCACAATTTTATCTTTCCTTTTGTGGCGTGAAAATTGAAATGAGGACAGCGGGGACGTCTAAAAATTTGCATCACTGTAGATACTTTTGATGTGACAATTTCACCTGCAGTATGTGTCCTCTGTGTCAAAGGGACTTTCCTCCTCCTCCTCGTTATGTCTCCTCATTTCCCGTGTTACCTCCAGGAGAGAGATTTCTGTGAAACATACCCTCTTCCTCTTTTTACTTTCCTGCTCCCTCCTCGTCTTCTTCTACTTTTGTTCCCTGGAGGTGATGTTGAAATCACTTTAAATTAGCACTGAAGCGTTCACGGCCTGCTCCTGGAAACTGATTGTAACAGACAGTGACGGTGCACATAGTGAGTATACATAGTGGTTACGGTACAGCGGAGTGGAGGTGACCATGTGACCTGACTGACTCTTTATCAGATCCATCCTCCCTTAAGTCCGTCCCACATCAGATTCTTTGTCCAACAGACTCAACCTCCATCACAGACCCTTCTTCAATCCAACCCTCTTCTGTCAGACCCCGTTCTCCATCAGATCATTGTTTTATCAGATCCTCCTCCATTAGATCAGCACATTCTCACTCCCAACTTCTCACAAATGGACTGTTGGTCAAGACCCCTTGGTGTCGCTCGATAACGTTTTCCTCCCGCACCAGATGTCGCCCTGGTCGGCCAGCGTGCAAAGCGCAGGGAGAAATAAATACCGCTAAATGAACACGCTGTTCAAGTGAAAATTTAGAGGGAGAAAGTACAACCTGCAATATTTTGTCTCCTCATTATACTGACAAAAAGAAAGCGAGATTTTATTAACGATTTTACTTTATGGATTCCATTTTAGTGTCGTCACAGTCAGCGTTTAAGGATATTGTCATCGTCTCGTTTTAGTCGGGGGGGGAAAAAAGGTCTTTGACGGATATATTTCGTTTAAGTTCGTCTGACAAAAGTAACACTATTGACCATGCGTCCATACGTGACGACTTGGGAGAAAAAGCGTGTTGATGAGATCCGTCCTCCATCAGATTCCTCCTCCTGCACTAAGTTCACCAACAGTGCAGTGACTCTGGCTCACTGGAGAACTACCAAAACTAAAAGAGATTCCAGTTTTCATCCCTGAATGTTTGTTACTTTCACTCTCCATAGGTGTGAGTGTGTGTGACACAGTGTCAGTGCGTGTGTGCACGTGCGCGCGCGCGTGTGTGTGTGTGTGGGAGGTTTAGCTTGTTAGCTTGTCGTATTAGCTCTGCAGGGAGCTTACGATGATGAATGGGGATTTAATCTGCTTTTTATGGAGAATGGGAACAATCACTGTGAGAGCAGAATACCGTAACACACACACCCTAACTGTCTGAGTCATATTCCTGCAGTTTATAGGCTTACGTAACTCTGAGGGCTAATGGGCTGTTTCTGATGACTGATGGTTAAATGAGTTGCAGTGTTTCCTCTGAAGGTCGAACTGAAGTGCAGGAAGGGCCGGAGTATGAAATGACTGCCTGCTGCTCAGTTGCTGTTGTTGTTATCTGTGGGTATTAAATTGTCCACTCTGCCTGCTGTTGCCAGTAACACAGCAATCTTTTTTTTTTTGGAGGGGGTTTAAATTCAGTGTGATTCTTTGCTGAAGGCGATGAAGACGGCAGCTGTTTGGACCGTCCAGAGATCAACATTTTATATATATATATATATATATACTGACTTTAACTGATTCATTATAATTACGGTGTTAAAGCTGCCGAGCATGAACGCAGGAAACAAGGATGTGGACCAGAATGCAGACACTAAAGCTGGGCAGGTTCAGTTCAAGTGAGTGAAAACTGATGAAGCAGGCAGTCTGGGAAACGAACAAATCCAAGAAGAGCAGAAGATCCAAAAAACAAAACCTGAAATCCAAAAGTAATTTGAGATACAATAGAATAATCCCCCAAAACAGACAGAGACACTTGACAACATCTGCAAACCAATGATCCAGTTCTGGTGTCAAAACTTTACAACCATAGTGGTTTTTACCCCCAAAACCTCTCTTTGAGGAATCAGGCTGGTAATATTCAGTATTTTGTTTGTTGTCAGCAAATCCCATGAAACATCAAAAAAAACCATTTGTCAGTCCGTCCTATACTTCCTGTCTGTGTCTCTCAGCTCCAAGCCCATTGGTTCCTAGTGAAGACATAAATATTTTTACATTTCCTCTATTTTCATCAAGCAGACAGGAGAAAATAGTGCATTTGTTAAACTACAGTAAAAAGTGTGTCAATCATAATGAAGGAACATGTCACTCACTGATGTGTTTATAATCATTTCTGGACAACGATCTCCGTGACTCAGAGGACGAAGAGACATCAGGCTGCGAGACACACAGGACTTGTTAGCAGATACATTCAGTGTTAGTTTGAGTCTCCACTGGCTAAATTACTATTATTTAAATAGCAGAGACTACTGGCACAACCAATTTGAAGGTGCATGAAGAAGTACTAAACTCCGGCACCACTTGTGGCGTAAAGAGCAACTTTATTGTGAGACCAACACATTTTGGCTTGTTGCCCTCATCACATCTCTCAGGGTTAAACTTTTGATAAATGACATTTTTCAACATTTGATTCTGTGGAAACATTTTAGTCAGTACTCAAAGCGTTGAGGTTTAATTTCCAGCCCTACTTGTGAGGTTAACAAACTGGCTCATGGGATGTGACAAAGGATGGAGTCCATGCAAGATACTTACTTAAAAAAGTGAACTAAATAACACTGAGGCGTGTGTATGGGTGCAGCATATGTACTGTATAGGTGTTGCGGTGCAAAAGGGGTGCCGCATCACGGGTGTAAACTATAGGAAGACCGGACTGAAAATGTGTCACCTCAATCAGCTGACGATCTAGCACTTTAACTTTGATTAGAATGAATCATCGGCCAAAACTGCGTCTGAATCACTATGTTAAAGGTCTTTCCTTTTCAGTTCCTGCATAACACTGTTCCCCCTGTATGAGGAGCACTTATTGTATATTTAAAGTTCTTTTCACGCGGTGTGAAGTTGATCGTAGCTGCGTTCTGTCTGAAAGCTGAGGGGTGTAATTATTTCTGCTGTGTGGGCGCATTCAAAGGTAAAATCCACCTTCAGACCCTCTTCTGTATCATTACTGTTATGAGAGGTTTTGTTGCTTCCAGTGATCTGCTCATGAACAGAGTTATGATTGCAGCCTCTAACCCTTTTTTGTGTTGTAGCTCCAATGCTGCCTGGTCTATTCCCTCCTTCTGTGTGTGTAGGAACTGTTTGTCTTCTCTGTACGCTTGTTGAATTTTAACCCGACGTGGCAGCTCTACAAAGAAGCTCGGTCTTTAATTTGAGTTATTATTGAATGTTGCATCAGTATTGAAATATTTATGTTCGTCACTAATTGATGATTTCGAGGCTGAATGTTCCTTTAACATCAATCTTTTCTCTCCCTCTTTCTCTCCTGCAGGTGAAGTATAAGAAGGATTTTGAAGAGAGTAAAGGTCGAGGGTTCAGCATCGTGTCCGACACTCCAGAGATGCAAAGACTCAGAAGGACTCAGGAGCAGATCAGTATTGTATGTACACACACACACACACACTATCTCACTGGTTTTCCTGATATAAGTGAATGTGTGTTTCGTAAAGTGAAGCGTGCAGGTGAAATGTATGAGGAAAAAGTGAGGGGTGCACTTTGGTCAGTGAACGCAATCACACACACACACACATGCGCAAACACAAACTGCCTACATCATCGAGCCCTCCAGCGTTGACGACATCAGCTGTTTGAAGAGGAGCTTCTTCTGAAACCAGTGAGGGTAAGTGACCTTGATTTTTTTCAGTTATTTATTTTGAGGCAAGTCAAGCTTTCAGTTATTTGATTACAAAGGAGGCAGTGCTCAGTTTTGAAAGGCAACAGTCCTCCAGGGAAGCTACTCCAACAACTAGAAGCATAGAAGCTGAAGGTAGCAAGAGTACTAGAGCCACAGGAGCTGATCTGAGAGGTCGGAGTACATGCAGTGCAGTATATGATGGAGCAAGGCCATTCAGAGTTTTATAGAAAAGCAAAATGAAGATGAACCAGTATCTAAATAAGTAAGTAAGCAATGGTACATGACACTGTGTCCTTAAACAAGTAAATAATGAATGAGGTGGAGGTGAAGAATCCAATGATGTAAAGCAGAGTCATTATTATTTATATCAGATATATTATATATATATGGTACTTATAGCACGACCACGGAAGAAACAGAGGTTGTGTTAAATTGTTCCTCCATCTTTGGAAGTGTGTTTGTAGTAAGCTGAACTCATGTTTAAGTATTGTTGCAATAACCTGTAGTTGATTAAATCTTGAACACTGATGTAGGACACTGCTAAACTGTTGACCAAAGCCGTGTTTTTTTTATGTCCAACTGAAATTAAATGCATTTTTTTGGTCTGCTACAGTGCATATCTCCTCCTGTGTTCTCCTTAGAGAAAAAATAAATCAGAAACCAAAAGGAAGACTTTTCTAGTTTATATACATTTTTTTGTTTCACCATGTCTTTGCAATACTTAGATAGAGAACGTGTTTCCATACGGCCAATTAAATTGCTTTATTTTAAACATCAGTGTTATCTCATGTGCAGGCAGCCACGGTGACGTAGAGAGAGACAGCAGCGTGCTACGCAACACGAGTGCCACAGACTTTGAACAACAATCAACATTAGCCTTCACGTTAAAGTCCCCGTCTTATCTAACCTACAAAAATGAACATACATCTTTTCCTAGCTTCCAGAAAAGTGCACCGCTAACGCCGTTTTTTTAGGCTAGATAGCTGCTTTGCTGCTGCACATTAAACAGCACGTAAACGTAACGTCACTGTTCAGTTTAGACGCTGGTCCTGCTGACAACTCACTGTCTGCACATGGCTTCTGAGCTAGTGTGTTTACTTTTTCTCTCAGTCCCCTGTCAGGTCTCAGCTGCTGTCAGTCTCAGACTGATTTCCCGTAAGATTACCCCCCTTTTATTTTTTTTAAGTGATAAAAACCACACTTTCAAAAAAAAACATGTTGACTTTATTTTAATTGCAAAAATGAATGACAACATGTGATTTCAGTTTGACTTTAATAGGCACCTGCAAGGCAATCAAAACCGGTATTTTCCTTGGCTGCAGTATAAGACGATAATAAACGGAAGCAGAGCCGTTTATTTCAACAAGGAGTTAATTTTACGGTTTTATTGAGGCCATAGAGCTTCAAAACCTAAAAAGTTACAAGAGTGTTTGTTTCTGTGGTGTGAGTGTGTGTGTGTGCGTACAGATGCTCGGCCCATGTGTGTCCAGATGACCCAGTGACCCTCAGCAGATGATGCCAAGGTAATGTGTTTATCTTTCCCTGTTGTCCCTCCTGTAGATTTGATTGACTAAGTTTTAATTCTGTTATGTCATTTTTATTCTGCTGCCTTTTGTCTTTCCGCTCGTCATTTTGGTATTCCTCCTCTCTTCTCTCTCTTTTTCATTCCCATTGTTTTCTTTTCTTCTGCCAGTCCATCTTCTGCCCTCCCTCCCTCTCCCTCTCTCCCCTCTCTCCCCTCTCCCCTGTGTTTACCTGACCGAGTGATCGTATTATTCCGCCGTGTTAATACGCCACAGATTCTCCCTCGTTTGCGCCGCTTTAATTAACACACACATCGCCTCTCTTTCAAATGTTGTGACATTCACCAGCCCACATATTTTATTGTATTACTCAGCTCTTTCCAAGGCTGACCCGATGGTGAAAGAAGATGAGGCAGGGAGGTGGGAGGAAGAGGAGGAGGGTAGTAGGAGGAAGGCGGAAGAGGAGGACTGAGAGTTTTATGTGAGCTGTCTGCCAGTAGAAAACAATTGTTTCTGATCTCACGAAAAGCTCCAGATTTGGATTAATGTGTAGTGAAATACAGTGTTTCAGTCTGAGTAACACTTCTAAGTCCAAACGTCTGAAGAGAGGTGTGTTTTTTTTCTGCTGAGCTGTGGCTGGCAGTAAACCTGGTTCACATCAGGACGAGATCACACGGATTTCTCCCAGGAAAAGCTTTGTGTTTCTGAATTCATTAACAAGATCTGAGGGAGAGAGAGCTCCTGGTCAGCGAGGCAGCCTTCAGTTGTTGTTGTTTTTTTTTTTACCAGCTATGAAAACTGTGTCTCCCAATTTAGCTTCAAGAGGAGACAGATTTATAGCAAAGCCGTTATTCCCCAGAGAGCCTTGTTTACTGTGATTCTGGGTGAGACAGCGATGACTGCAGGCATGAGGGCAGCCAGGACTCCGCTGGCAGGACTCAGCTGTTATTCAGGCCACTAAACCGATGATGTGTTTAAAGACCTGATTAATTAGTTGTCAGCATTGGTCTCTGTTTTTATTGATCTATGCAGATTTTTGTAGCCTGGAAATCAAAAGAGGACGATGTATCACAAAAGACTGTCTCGGCACTTGACACTTAGCTGAGGTGGAAAAACTGGAGTACCAATAAAGAGAAAAGGCCTTTAAGACATCAGCAGTTAAGAAGAGCTCATTCTACCACTTCTGGGTTTGAGCACTGTTATTTAGTTGTTTTTTTTAATGTCTCTTTTATGCTTGTGTCACCTCGAGCCCGACCGATATTAGCCCATTGCAGATATTTTGGCATAGATATAGATGTCAGCCGATAAATCACAAGAAAAGTAACGCTAAAGATATGTTTTGGAATATTTTAATTGAAAGATGTCCTGCCCCGTACAATCATTGGTCACAATTGTTTTTAAAAAAGCATTATTTAAGGGAACCTTGTCAAAAATCTTTCTTTTGTAGTTTGTGTAAAGCAAATTGATATCGGCCGATATATCATTCTCAGATGTTTTTACACTCTCAAATAAATATCGGTAAAGGCCTCAGTACATATCCAGTCCTAAGAAACTCAAAGTCGTACCTGATGAATCTGTATTTACCAGACACAAGGTACAGAGTGATGAAAATGTATTGTTGTTATGGATAATAAAAAGCATCTCTGGCTGTCTGAAGTCTGCTGCACTCACCACACTGTCGGTCATCATTGGTCAACATCATTTACCATCCAATTGTTTTACTAACTAATTACTGCAACTTGAGTTAAAGATGCACCTGCACATGATAATGTATTTGTATGTCACAGTACCCTTTGTTTGTATTAGAGTACTTCAGTACTCAGCACTTCACTACAAACCTTATCATTACTTAGATACCCGAGTGGATGTAAACGCACTAAATGTTGATGCTGGTGGGCTGTGAGTGCGTTGTGGTCTGGACCCTTTGTCTAAAGGGATCTAACACACACAACACTTTTGTGTCTTACACACACATCAGCAGGCTCTTTATGTGGTTCAGCCTCTGGGTCATGTGCAGCTGTAGTAGTTTGGTTTCTCCCTGCAGGTTCTTGTCTGTCATCAGGTCTCATAAACCAGAAAAGGCTCTAATATTGACAGCAGCACGACATCCGACGAAAAGATCCCTGTAGCTGCTGTAGTTTCATATTGTTTGACTGTCACCTTCAGATTCTCATCCGCTGCATTTTGAAATGAAAACTGAGCGTTTTCTTGTTTTTCTGCCAAAACCATTAAATTATTTTTTCGTTTTTATTAATTATTTTATTTGTGCATTTATCTCTTTTTATAATTTAGATGTTTAACTACATTCTGCAGATGATGCAGTGATAGAGAAATGGAGATAAATGAGTCCTTGTTGTTGTGGAGATGGGGTTTGTGAGTGTTTGTGCAGCGTAGCAGCATATGCTCATTTGGCTGAGAGACAGTCAGATCTTCTGTGGTTGGGCTTCATCAGGTCGATGTCCTGTTTACCTCAAGAGCCATCTGACTCTCTGAACACACTGCCAGACTACCTGCTGCCTTTCAGTCTCATATTGGCAGATTATTCATCTTAACAGTGATTAAATACCTCAGTGATGAATCACACAGAGAAGGTAAAGGTAAAGAAATGTTCTTTTTCTTTCTTTTCTGATCCTCATCCTTTACCTTTGTCTTTTAAATTCACTCTGCCCCTCTCAGTGTGTTGCCTTAATATCTGAGGAAGAGGGCCAGGGCCTGACATGAATTTCATCTTTATAACTACAAACACTGCCTTCTCATTGTCAGTAGGTCAGAAAACACAGACAGACAAAGCACTCAGATGTTTATGTTTAAAGAATATCTAAATTATTAAATATTGAATTATTAATTAACCAAAACGCAAATTTTAGTCTGTAAACTAGACTTTTAGAAGACAATAAAACAGGTTGTGGATTCTGTTGGGGGACACTTTAAATGTCCCCGAGGGGTCGGCAATAAAAAAAGAAAAATTATATACATAAAGTCATAGAAACATAGGTATTAATACAAGTATCAGAGCTTGACTGATGAATTGACATGCCGAAATTATCGGCTGATAAAGAAAATTGCAGATAAATCAGAATCTATGTTTATAACAGCGATAAATGAGAATTTACAAAATGGTGAGATGAAAGACAGACCTTCAATCATGTTATGAGTGTTGTAGTTACATAGTTTGTCCACCAGAGGGCGCCCTGCAGCTCCCCTGTTGGCAATCACAAATCCACCACAAAACAAAATGAACAGCTGTGCTTTAGTACAAAGTACTATTTATTACAATAAAGTGTATTTTTAAACTGCATTATGTCATGTTATCTACACATGACTAATTATGGCTTATAATTTTTGTTTATGTTTTGTGTTTCCGAAAAGAAGGGAAAGTAAACAATATTGGCCAATTTTTAAATTTGCAAATATCAATATCTTTCTTAAAAATCCTATATCAGTCAGGCTTTAATATTTATCGGATTTGTGGGAGTTTATGTGCTTGTTTTTACTTATAAATTGCATTTGGTGATTTAATAATGTTTGGGAGTTTGAGAGTGGATTGAAAAAGGTTGGAAAGCTACGACTCAGAGTTAGTAGGGTTCAAAAACATAAAAATCCACTAAATTGGAGCCGGAGTCTGAATTTGCACCTTACTTTCAGTTGAAATTTGAAAAACTAGTTATATATTTTACAAGCAAAACCATCTTTACATTAGCTAAAGAAAACAATGTCAATAACTGATACAGTAAATGGTATGAACAGAATAAGACTACAAATTCCATCATCCTCATATTAATCTTTGTATCATTGACTAAAAGAGTTTATGTATTCTTTTGCCCTGCAGCTGGTTGCATCATTGTTTATTTACCTTGAACAGTTCATCTGTGTGTCAGCAGTCAGTCCGTGTATCACAGTGTCCAAACAAACACACTCTGACCAAATGACGTTGTTACTTCCACCTAAATACACAAGCATGCAGGCAGATATAAACCTGTACAGACACATGACATCATTCTGTCTTTGACTCCAAACGAAACTATTCCTGACTGTTAACTAACCTCTTAAAGATATGAAGGTATCCAAAATGATGTTAGCCAGCAAGAAGCTTCTGCAATGAAAACAGATCAAAGACACTCTCACAGCTTCCCACACAGTGGAACGATGCCTACAAATCAAGGAGAAGCTTTGACCTAATTTTGATATGTTTTGTTTCATTTACATCAAGCATCATCAACAATAAGCTTTGAACACCTATTTAAAAGATACAGCAAACACAATATTTCAAGGTGAAAATGTGCAACAGCTTGTCTGAATGTGGCTTTTTTTTTTTTTACTCTTCAGCTGAAATTGAACTCGTGTCCTTAAAGCCTACATTTACACACAACATACAACTACATACACACAACTTGGTAAAAGTCGTGTTTTTTTATTGTGAATGACGTTAATATTTCATAATGTGATTCAGGGGCAGGAGAAGAGTTTCATATAGGGTTGTTATTATAAAAACAGTGGAGAGAGTCTGTGTAATTGTGGAGCTTTGGGGCAGGTTGAAGAACTCTCCAGCTGGAACAAAACACTAAAACTTCAAGCTGAAGGGTAAATGGACTGTAACTAAAGTGTGTGGATATGTGTGTGTGTGGATGGAAACGGTAGATTCCTTATCCAAGAAAGGTTCAAATCAAGGGCAACTGGATTTGGTTGAAGATACTAGAAGAGGTTTCACCTCATCCAAGAGGCTTCTTCAGTGTGGGGTTGTTGTCAAGAGGGTTGATACCTTTTACTTTATTAGTACTTCTACGTCGTTACGATCGTTGGAGACTCCTGAGGCCAAGTCTGAACGACCATTGTTAGCATTCTCACATGAGGCCAGATGTGAGCGTTTAGTCAGTTTCCTGGGATGAAAGGACAACATTGTAAATGGTGTTGCAAACCTCCTCCCCTGTTAAGAGATGTAAATTAAACAGGTGAAAAGGCTGTTGCAATAATCCAGCCGTGATGATTGGTTGATTGATTGACTAGATTGGTTCTTGTTCTTGTGTTTGCGTGTGCGGTCTTTGGGGTGGATCAGTATCTGTGTGGTCCACAGAGATGTGGTGTTTGTTGAGTTTCTCTGATACTCCAGACACGTACAGAATCACAATGTTGTTGTATTTTCTTTTCTTTTTCTCAGCAGCCGTACTATTGTTCTTGGATCTTTTGGCTGTTTTCATAAAGGTTCAGTTTGGATATCCACAAGCTGTAAGTGCCTTCTTCAGGGGTTTATGTTCCTTTAATCGGGGCTTGGTGGTGCAGGGTTCTGATGAGCTTATGCTCCACTGGGTGGGAATAAATAAATAAATAAAAAGTAGGTATTGCTCTGTGTGTGTGTGGGTTTCCTGTATACACTGAAGTGCAGGCTCCTGTCCTCTTCAGTGTGTACGGTACATTCCTTCCAGCTTACGATATTTCTGAACTCACCTTCATCCCCTTAACCTACATACACTTAAACAAACACACAGACAGTGACACATTCATACAGGATGTACCCACAGTCTTTGTTTTAGTGCACCTAAACACACAGACACACTGTACCCAGCTCTGGCACTGTGATTGAGATGAAGGGCACGGTGGCGATAAGGTCTTGAGTAGAGGGCTAAATGTGGAAGTTAAAAGTGATAAGAAGTACCCAACGAACTGACACCCAGAAGACAGTCTGCCAACACAGGAGGCAGTTGAGACTAGACAAGGCAGTTCAGTCGCACACAGGTTTATGCTTTGAGTTAGAGGCAATAATAATGAGACGCTAAAAGTTGACGAAGAAGTTGAAAGGGCGAAAACAAAATCAAAGAAACTGAAAGAGTGTCCAAGACATCCAGAAGCTGAAGGAGGGATCACAACGCTGAGAACGCCTTGAAGAACCTGAAAGGAACGCATGAGAAGATCCTGAGAAAACAAAGAGTTTCACGTCAAGAGAAGGCAAAATAAACTGACTGCAGTGTTTGGAAAGCTAAAAGACTAGCCCAAACACCCAGGAAGCCAAAGGAAAACTTATTAAGAGACAATAAATTCGACAAGGTGAGTGCCTTAGAAGAAGATTCGGGGAAGGTCGGTAAAAGCTGAAAAGTATGAAGACGCTTCGACATCCAGAGGCGATTACTAGTGATACTGATAGGGTGACCAAGAATCTGAAAGAAAGGCCACGACGTTAAGTAATTTAACACGGTGACTTTGATGAAGCTGAAAAGGTGACCTTGACACGTAGAGCAGGAAATGGTGACCATGACTTTGAAGAAGTCGCTAGCAGACGAAAGTATAGACAGCCATGATATGGGTTGTCTATACTGGGTCGTCAGTGAGTTGTAGTTTGCAGTTTTAGTAATGAGTGGTATTTTCAGTGTTTAGTTGCTTTCATTCCTTTTATAACCTTACTAGAACCGTGGTTGAGAGACCTCGGTTTTTGAGCTAATTGAGTCAGTTTGGTAGCAACATCTCTGGGGTAACGAATGGAAGAGATGCTGTCATACATGAGAAGGGAGATATACTTTTCTAATAAGGCCGTACACAACTTTGAGAACGTGGAACAAGAGTTTCAATGCAAGTTTTAAAACGCATCGCAAATCTCTCCAGTACTGGAACAGAACACTCTCTTTAAGAGAGTCTATAACGTCACATTGCATCACATTCATTTGACAGACTCTTTGCCCAAAGCGACTTACAAAAAGCAACCGTCTCTTTGCTGTCTTTGTTGTCCTTTTATAATTTGTTAATGGGTTGTAAATGTCTTCATTGGCTGCCAAAGCACCATCCGCCTCCAGCCTTTCCGGCAGAGACACTAAGGCCGACTTTAACTTAATGAAAAAACGTAGGCCTCTCATTTATTTTGGTAACGCAGTGACCCTGGGAGTGCAGAGACTCCTGCTAAATAACACAGGGTAGTTCTGCAAAAAGTTGAGACTGGCCCCAACATTGGCCAACGCAAGGTGCTGCATTGGCCATTCGAATAAATGCCAGAGCATATTCCTGGTAGATTACTTTGTAACACGAACGGTATATTTCTATGGTTTACCTCATGATTGTTGCGATGAAAGATCAAAATAAATGTCTATGCTATGGTCGGTCTGTGCTGCTCCCACCCCCACACCTCTCTACGTCATCACACAATATGTAACCACAAAGCTACACCTCACACAGACATTTTCCTCCCCACCTCTGTCGTATAAGAACGATTCATCGTGGCAGAAATCGAGGGTGGACTTACCCTCGAAGGAGTTATCGTTTTCTGTGGTGTTGCTCGTTTTTCTGTTCACTTTCTGCTACATAAATAAAAAAATTGCATTATAAGCTGAACCTAAAACTTAACTGTCCGCTGTCCTCAGAGGTGAATCACATGGATGAAGAGGCCCCAGCTGCTCCGGTGTTTGTTGAAGAGATGAAAGAGGTTATGACAGTGGAGGGAGAGGAGGAAGAGGTGGTAACAACGCTGAAGATGCTGACCACGGTTGTTGACACGGTGAAGCAGACGGACGTGGGGGAGGAGGAGGAGGTTGACACTGAGAAAATAACAGAGGAGGACAAGGAGGAAAATCAAGCAGAGATGGAGGGAGGAGACGAGAATAAAGAGGAAGAGGAGGGTCGAGCAAAGAAGTTGTTGGGAACTTGGGAATCCGAGGTGAGAACTTCCTGCAACTTTTAAAACTCAACATAAACAACCCAAAATATTCAGCTCAGTTAAAGCCTAAAAATGATCAGATAACTTGGAACTTTGACAAGAAAGAACTCAAAGAAAGGAAAATGAATATGACCAAATCCTCAAGCGTGCACACCTGCGAATCTTAAATATGTTCAGTGTGGAATTCAGTCCTCCCATTTGTGAAGGAACCAGGTAATTAATTTGTTATCTTTTAGATTAGACTCCATGCTCGTATTTTAACAATGCAGAGATCTCTGTCTCAGCTGGTTTAGTTAATCTTATTTCAGATCAGAACCTGAGACTTTTAAAAAAGTTTTTTTTTTCCTCACCATTTTCTATTGTTAAAGAGCCGTCAGGTCTTTTCAGCCAAATCGTTTTTTGATCCTACCTTTAACCCATTTAAGCTGTCAGTCTACTTAAAACAAATATGACTTCATATCATATAGGTGATCTTCATTTCATGTGAGAACTGCTTCTTTAAAACCAGAACACCAGGGTCTCAGAGAAGGCTAATAAAGTTTTCTATTATTTACTTTTGGTTTTCTGATTTTGAAATTTTCAAATTTGCAGTTAGACCTCTTGGTCTTTTAAGGAGGTTGTTCTTTCTATTAAATGATTTCCGTGTTCAATACGCCAATACACACAGTGTTCCCGAACTGTAGCTAAGTCCTGTGTACTGCTAAACGTCTTTAAGGATTTTGCTTTTCTTTGATGAAGTCTGCTGAGAGGCAGATTTGGTTCCTCTGCAGAGAAAGCCCCCTCTCAGCTCTGACTGGGAGTCTTTGTATTGACCTTGGCGTGGGGCATCGCCTGGCACTGCAGGTTTTTATACGGGCTTAGAGAGGATTAGTGGAACTACAAATGAAAATGTGCCATTATTAGCCTTTGATAGTGGGATTTTTAGGACTCAGTTGGGCCTGTTAAGAGCGGCGAGGGATTAGTGGTGCATAGAAGAGTTTCCTATGGTTGACTCACAGGTTTCTCTCTCTCAGTATTATTAGTATGGATAATTCAGTTTGCCGATATTGTACTTTAATTACCAATATTACTAAGACATTGTTTACAACTGACTTTTGTCTAAATATTGTCCGTGTAATTATTGACCTCAAATTCTTACGTGCACTTGTGTGTTTTCAGGCCTCCTCTGATGTCAAGCCTCCAGTACCAGACCCAGCCTTTAACAGGAGATGCAGCTTACTCGCCAGTGATGTAAGTTCGTTCAATGTCGGTTCAGTTTACTATTTTATTCACATCTGTAGGTGGTTTCATTTAGTCCAGGTTAAAGGGGGGAAAAAACACATGGTTGTTATGGTGCGGTCCGTGGACAAACAGGACAAACACAGCGCTGTGAACATAAAGTACCAACAGGTAACTTTCTGTTTTGGCGACTGTCATTCTGTAATATCAGCCGTGCTGCGTGGAGCCATGTCGGGGAAATGAAATTCCAGTGAATGACTGCAACTAATAGTGCACTTTACCGAGCCTTACAGTCGGATGTGTGTGTATTTATCGTCTCCGGTGTCACATAGAGCTCACAGAGTAGTTGGCAGTGCAACTGGACCTGATATTTTCAGGAACTGCTGAGTGACAGACAGTTTTGGGCCCAAGCGAAAGACACAAGAGAGCGGAGTACAGTCTGAGGAGAAATTTATTAACTCTCACAGAACTCAGGGCGTACACATATACATATATATCCAAACAGGGTGAGCCCATGCAGTGATAAACACAATCCACAACTGACAGATACTTAAGTCCACGGCGGAAAACACATACAGGAAAAGGACACTCGACATACGACGCAAGACAGAGCACAACAAGCTACAGTGATCCAGCAGTGACCAAACACAACGGCAGTTGAGATATATATAGATATATCTATACAGTATATCTATAGATATAGATATAGATATATAGATATATAGATATAGGGCTGACGAGCATGGAGGGAATAAACAGGGGAGACATATCAGGGGCGTGTTCAATCTCAAAATGGTTTGCAACGTTTTCGGATTGAACGACATGTTTCGTTGAAACGTTGTGCAACACTCAAGGTAGTTTTCTCCCGTTTGGTGGGCGTGTCACAGGTGTTATCAGCTGCAACAAGTTTGTAAAAACAAAGGTGTTAAAAAGGCAAGAAAATGCAGAGCGCTTGCGTACACAGCAGGTATTCAAGGCACCACCGTTTTGCTACGTTTTGTCGGCGCTGAAGTCGCTGACAAAATTTAATTAAGACAAAACAGGAAACAAGCAGGATGCCAACAACAGACACAGACAACTGCAAACTAAAACAGGAAACCGGACAAGATGCTGAGACACGACTGACAGGAACTGAACGGGGCGACTGCAGACTGACAGAACCAACAGACTGAACTCAAGAATGAACAAGAACAAGTACAAACAAACCCGGCATGATCTGTAACCATAAGAAACCAGATTCAGACAAGCAGACAGACAAACCAAACCAAAACACCAAAACAAGCACGCGGACATCTGACACAGACCATTTCAACATCAGACAGGAACAGGAGTAGAACGCTGATTCAAAACCAAAACCTCAGAACAGAGACCATAACTATGTAAACAGAGCGAAACAACAATTAATAAACAGAACACAGAGAAGATAAGGCCAAAAGTAATAGTAAAGAATCTTTTAGCATTATATCAAAGAGGATAGTTGTAGTTGTGGTTGTAGATAGTTGTGAACTGTGAGGGAACTGATCTTAAAAGCAGTCTGTTTAAGCAACAGACATTAAAAATGCTCATCATCAGTTCTTCGTGACGCCAGGGAACATCACCAAAAACCAGCCAAGAGAAGACGTTGATCTGACCCAGTGTTAGTGTTATATTTTATGTAACTACTGTGTTATTTACCCAAATCTGCAGACTGTTCCAGTGTAGCTCTTTTTACATTTCACTTATATGTTTCTGTTAATAAAACATTTTTGACAGTTTAGGGTTAAACCTGAGCTTGTTGTGTCAAACACTGTCTCAAAACCATTTTGGTAAATAATCCAACAGTAAAAACACTTAACGCAGTACTGCATCTGATCTTTATTTATTTATTTTTATTTTTTATCTTTTATTTTTAGCATCTGTGCTTTGTTGACCCAAAGTCATATTTCACTGTGTAATATCTCCTGCTTGATTTTCAATGAATACAAATGCTTCTGGATGTGAACTCTTACACACGTGTAAAGGAAGCGAGGCGTCGTCCTCTTCCTCCTCCACATCCTCACAAATGACCTAAACGCAGGGTTGCCATTGGTAACCATCCCTCCAACGATCGAATGACTGGCCTTTATTCAACACAGAGGAGGTCACGTATACTGAAATGGGAAAAAGAAAAAAAAACGCCATTTGGCTTCTGCAGCAGCAGTTTGAAGCCTGTATTTCACAGTAAAACGGTGAATGAGGGTGAATGCTGTTGTAAGATGTGGGAGGGTGAGATATTGATTCCCTGGTGTGAGTCTAACTTGACAGCTTGGCTGTTTGCAGAATGACTCATCAGCTACAGTGGAAGCAAGTCAACCCACTTTAAAAAATCATCTTCATTTATTCCTCCAGCTGCTGTCGCTCCGCTGTCTCTCTGTATATCTCTCTGCCAGTGAAAACCTGCCTTCAAACGTCATTATTAATCATCACACGCAGTAGGAGAGTTCAGTTCATCACAAGTTTAACACAAACATCTCAAGACTTTGCACTCGGCTGTAGAGGCAGAATCTTTATCTCAGCAGGTGGGATGAGACACGCTCTTCACATTTTTTGTTTCCCTCGCCTGTGTGAATCCTAAAATTCCTCGTGCAGCTCTGCATTAAGCACAGTCCTGCAGCCAGTGTAGAGATTTTGCTATTGTAGCTTAGAGTATATAACAGCACATAGAGAAGAAATTATACAATAATAAACGCTACATAATATACAAGAGGACATTTATAAATACACAGAGCCTCACTGAGTGTTACGTTTCCGAAAATGTTTATATATTCATTTCTAATATATCATAAAACTTGTGTGTTTATTTGCGTTGACGCTGAACTTGGCCACTTCCTGGACTATCACATGCTTGCCGGTTAGAAGCCGTTTATTTAGTGCCATTAAGCACCTTTTGTTTTGTTCCCCACTCTAGTTTCCTCTCACAGATTTGGGCGAACAGCTTGTCTGTGGATTAATTCCATTTTTCTCCTGGGTCTTTCCAGAAAATCTGCCCGTCTGTTGTTGGACCAAACGTCCAGTCAGACTCAGGCAAACGCCAAAACTGTGGCACATGTTTGAAATGAAGTTCAGTCCATCGGCACTGTGGTTGTTTTCCTGTGAAGTTCTGCACTGAATGAAAAAAACATGTTGAGCTAGCAAACAAAATGTGACAGAAGTTACATAAACAGTCATCCTGAGACGGACCAATTAGACTTTTGATATGCTTATAACACCTCATATTTTACTGTGAATATGGACCAGCTGTAGCTCCAATGCTAGAGAAGGTACTGTACACAGATTTGAGGTAATATTTATTGCACTTTGGATTTCTTCTTTATATCCTTCTAAGTAATAAATTACCACGGAGCAGCTGATCATGGCTTCATTTAAAATCTTTTTGACAAACCTGACATGATTTCAAACCTGAAGTTAACTGATATTAGGCACACTAATTTATGAACATGTCAAACAAAAACTAAAAAAATTAAATATTACCAGTACATTATTATTCAATATTACAGTAATGTTATCATGTTCTCCCCTTTAAGTAAAAAAAACATAAAAAAATAATGAAAAAACAAATCTCTTCTTCAGATCTTCTCTTTAACGAGAGAAATGTATTACTTTATATATTATTAATTATTAATATCTTTTTTTTCCCAGTTTGTTTTCCAGGCATAGCTTTAGTTCAGAGTGTTGCTGCAAAGATCAACTCTTAACACAGTGAATATTAAAATATATTGTGTGCTGCAGCCTGGCATGATTAGAGGGATACATCACCAGGACAGTTAGTGTAAAGGGGTCCACTTATGCAATTATTGTTACCAGGATAACACCACGTAATGTCTTTATGCTTAAATGCTTTGGAGATTAAATAGCAGTAGTTTTGTTTATGCTGCACACAGCCAACAAGACGACTCCTCTGTGAGCTTGAAGATTAAAACTCTGCAAAACAACTAACACAACATTCCTCCTGGGCACGGAGCACAAGTGCAGCAGGAGTTCAGGTTGCATGAAATATAAAGTCATATAACACAAACACACACTCAAACACACTTTAATATCTCCTCCTCCCTGCAGGTGAAGTATAAGGAAGACTTTGAGAAGATGAGGGGGCAAAGTCTGTTTGTTCCCGGAGCTGAACTCATCCACGCCAAGAACATCAGCGCTGTGATATCTGAGGTCTGCACACACAACATGCATGGTTGTTTTTCTTCACTTTTCTTCAAATCTAATCCTGATTCTAACCGTAAACCCAGACTGCTGGTTTAAGAAGCGAGGACTGGGCCAAATATTGTCACTTTTAAAAAAAACTAGTCACTAGTCCTCACAAAGTACAACAGCACACTCTCTCTCATATCCATCCACCAATATGATCAGTTTTGCTGTTTCAGTCAAAGTACAAAGAGGAGGGAAAGAAGGAAGCGTCGATGTCTCTGTACTCCATCCTGCCACAGACTCCTGAGACGCAACACGCCAGAGAGGCTTCAGAGCTGCAAAGTGAGGTTGTTACAAGATTTGGTTCAACTTGTGTACCTGTGAAGTACAGACAGTGTTGATGGCAGTAGACAAACAAGAAACAAGTTTTTATACGCTAGCAAGAATAAGTAATATATTTACTTAGCCTCTAAATATTGTACCTATAAGGGTCCGATGATTTTAAATTGGTTTTGGAGTTGGTATTTGTGATCATAAAACCTGATTCTAACAAAGGTTTGTTTGTTTGTTTGTTTCCCAGATTAAATACAAAGGAAATGTGAAGAGCTCCTCCTCTCTTTATTCTCTGCTGCCAGAAACCACAGAGACCCAGTTTGTCAAAGAGCTGACTGAGATACTGAGTGAGGTCAGACATGATGGATGATGGATGGAAAAATTGATAAATAGATGGATGGATGGATGGATGGAAAGATGGATGGATGGATGGATGGATGATGGATGGAAAAATTGATAAATAGATAAATGGGGGATGGATGGATGGATGGATGGATGGAAGGATGGATGGAAGGATGGATGGATGGAAAAATTTATAAATAGATGGATGGAGGATGGATGGATGGATGGAAAGATGGATGGATGGATGGAAAAATTGATAAATAGATGGATGGAGGATGGATGAATGGATGGATGGAAAGATGGATAAATGGATGGATGGAAGGATGGATGGAAAGATGGATGGATGGAAGGATGGATGGAAAGATGGATGGATGGATGGAAAGATGGATAAATGGATGGATGGAAAGATGGATGGATGGATAAATGGATGGAAAGATGGATGGATGGATGGATGGATGGATAAATGGATGGATGGAAAGATGGATGAATGGATGGATGGATGGATAAATGGAATGATGGATGGAAAGATGGATGAATGGATGGATAAATAGATGGAATGATGGATGGAAAGATGGATGAATGGATGGACGGATGAATAGATGGATGGCTGGAAAGATTGATAAATGGATGGATGGATAAATAGATGGATGAATGGATGGATGGATGGATGGATAAATAGATGGATGAATGGATGGATGGAAAGATGGATGGATGGACGGATGAATAGATGGATGGCTGGAAAGATTGATAAATGGATGGATGGATAAATAGATGGATGAATGGATGGATGGATGGATGGATGGACGGATGAATAGATGGATGGCTGGAAAGATTGATAAATGGATGGATGGATAAATAGATGGATGGCTGGAAAGATTGATAAATGGATGGATGGATAAATAGATGGATGGATAGAAAGATGGATGAATGGATGGATGGATAAATAGATGGAATGATGGATGGATGGATGGATGGACGGATGAATAGATGGATGGCTGGAAAGATTGATAAATGGATGGATGGATAAATAGATGGATGGATGGAAAGTTTGATAAATGGATGGATGGATAAATAGATGGATGGATAGAAAGATGGATGAATGGATGGATGGATAAATAGATGGAATGATGGATGAAAAGATGGATGAATGGATGGATAAATAGATGGATGGATGGAAAGATTGATGAATGGATGGATGGATAAATAGATGGATGAATGGATGGATGGATGGATGGACAGATGAATAGATGGATGGCTGGAAAGATTGATAAATGGATGGATGGATAAATAGATGGATGGCTGGAAAGATTGATAAATGGATGGATGGATAAATAGATGGATGGATAGAAAGATGGATGAATGGATGGATTGATAAATAGATGGAATGATGGATGAAAAGATGGATGAATGGATGGATAAATAGATGGATGGATGGAAAGATTGATGAATGGATGGATAAAGAGATGGATAGATGGAAAGATGGATGAATGGATGGATAAATAGATGGATGGATGGAAAGATGGATGAATGGATGGATGGGTTGTGATGGTGGAGGGGTGGATAGATAGAAGGATGTAACATGACAAGCGTCCAAAGTTTGGCTGGGCAGATGTATGGCTGGATGTGACAACAAGGAAAAACAGCTGTTACCAGTCCAGACCTTATTGACATGTTGTTTTCCTGAGACTCACGACCACTCGTCACAGTGAAACTCTCTCTGCTCCTCAGAACAAGTACAAGGAGGAAGGAAAGAAGGAGATGAGCAGCAGTTTGTACTCTCAGCTTCCCGAAACAAGTGAGACACAGCTGGCCAAGGCCGTCCACGAGTTTCAGAGCGAGGTACTCAAACACGATGCTAATTCTGAGTCATACAGCAGCTGTGTTTCAACATATTTCATCAGTTAACTTAAGGATTCAACACGGGGTTTGTTTCATGCAGCAGTTGCAGGTTTAATTAAGCTGCAGGTTTGACTGAGAGGCATCCCACTGCAAATTAAGTAAATACACAAAACAAACACAGAAACTTTATTTAAAGTTTAGCTATCAGGAGAAATCAAAGCTACACCAGCACCACTAACATGTACTGCACAGCAAAGTTATGTACCAACAGTAATTTCAAGCCATCGTTCCCTGTCATTACTCTTGTTGCTTATGCTTATTCATTATCCTTTTACAAGCTTCTGTTGAAAACGTCTTGAACTGACCTGAAAGAGATGATCTGTTCTGTTTCAGAAAAAATACAAAGAAGAAGGGAAGAGAAAAGCCTCCATCTCCCTCTACTCCCAACTCGCCGACACTCCAGAGATACAACACGCTCTGGAGGTGTCACAGCTGCAGAGTGAGGTACACACACACACAGAAAAGACACTGATGATATCGCTCTGAAACAGGTAACAAGCTGTCTTGGCAGCAGTGACATTGTTGTCTTTCTCTCTCTCTCTCTCTCTGTTTGTCTGTCTGTCTGACTGTCTCTCTCTCTCTCTGTCTGTCTGACTGTCTCTCTCTCTCTTACACTCTTATCCTCCCTCTCTCAGGTGAATTATCGGCCCAAGTTGCTGGTTAGAGGAGCTCCCTCCTCGCTTTACTCTCAGCTCCCCGACACCACAGACATCCAGTTTGCCAGAGAGATGACTGAGATGCAGAGTGAGGTAGAGCACACTGTGTACCAAGAGCTTGAAATCTTTGCAACCAATTTTGGTCTTTGTTTAAAGGTCATTCCGTCCTATTTACTTGGAGAGTCTTCTAATTTAGTCAGAAACCGCTGCATGTTTGTGTTTTGATTAAGCAATTCATAATTCAGGCCTTAAAATGGCTGCATAATGACAGTCTTCATAGCTAATTCTCATTGACAAACAGAAAACGCCATAAAGGTATTCAGTTTGTAATGAGACTGTAGTGAAAAAAGAGGCGATCTAGAAGGTGTAAACCAGCACTTGATTGAGATTTTAATTGATTGATTGCAGTCAGTCAACCAATCTCATCTGCAGCCCTCCAAACTGAAATTTAAATCTGCTTTCTCCACCTCTGATTTGGTCGTGTACGCACATGAACATCATGTTCGGGTTGGTTGGAATGCCTGCACATTTGATTGAAAAAGAAACTCACTTGGTCCGGCCAAACTTTCACAAAGATCAATGAACTACATCTCTTGTCTTGCACAATATACGTCACCAACATGTTAACGCAGTAATGCTAAGCTAATGTTCATTGCCTGCTTGATTCTAGCTAGCTAACGTGGCTATGTTCCAGGCACAGATGTATCTCACCTGATGAGTTTAATCCAACAACTCCTGTTTTGTTGTGGTCTTTCTAATTACATATTTACAGTTTTACAACAAACAGCGACTTTCTTGACTTTCAAAATTATATTTTAAACAGACAAACATCATGTGTGTAATTCAGATCACGCTTCAAACTGGATAATAAAATCTGTTGTCTCTTGCCGTGGAAGGAAATTCATTTACCCCGCGACCCTGTACGCAGGATAAACGGTTGGCGATGGATGGAAATTCATTTAAACAAAGCATTGCCATAAATAACACACAGTGTTTTCACTTTGTGCTAACAGCAGAGGTTCAGTGCTGACAGGTTGTTTTATCCTCTCAGAGTAAGTACAAGGAGGGCGGCAGGAGGAGCCTCTCCCAGAGCTTCTACTCTCAGCTCCCTGAGACCGCCGAGACTCAGTTTGCTAAAACTGTTGCTGAGCTGCAGAGTGAGGTGAGACAGTCTTTATCATTATCGCTCAATTGTGAATCGCTGTTTTAAAAAGCTACAGTACATTAAAATGTGTTTTTATGTTCAGATGCGGTACAAGGAAGCGGGAAAGAAGGGCGTGAACTCGTGTTTGTACTCTCTTCTCCCGGAGACTTTAGACACGGCTCATGCCAAGGAAGTCTCTGAGCTACTCAGTGAGGTAGGATAACTATAACTAATATTATTAGATAAATAAATCTGCTTCCTGTGATGACGGCCATTGGTATACTTTCCCTATTCGAGACCTTTTTAACCTCCGACCAGGCCGTCACTGAAAATAAGAATTGATTGACTGACCTGCCTTGTTAAAAAAAGGGGGGGATAATAATTCAAATAAGGTAGAGAGATAAGGTGTTGCCATTGCAGCTCCCCTGGCTCAGACAGGAAGTGAATTAGGTAAAACAATCCTTACCAATCTTCATGCAGAAATGAGAGAGGGGAGACTTTTATTGACATGAGACCATAAATTCTACATTTTATTCTGATGTATTATGGCCTTGTATTACTGCAGGTGAAGTATAAAGAGGACGGTAAGAAGGAGATGAGCATCAACCTGTACTCTCTGCTGCCTGAGACCATCGACACCCAACACGCTAAAGAGGTGTCAAACCTGCAGAGTGAGGTATATATATTACGTTTTGTATATTAATATATAGAAATGCTGTCGTTATCTCTGCTGGCCCGTTTTCACTCGATAAGTTAAGTATTTTAAATCAATGAAATAACAACTGCTTTAGCATTCATTTCCAGTGCATGGCTCCTCTCCTGTCTCCTGCAGGTGAAGTATAAAGAAGGTCTGAAGCAGAAGATTCAGAGCAGTTTGTACCATCAGCTCCCAGAGACCACAGAGACACAGCTGGCCAAACAGCTGTCTGAACTGCAGAGCCAGGTACGGTACACGACGCCACAGTTCTTCTCTATAAAACGTGGCTGAACAACATGTTCAAGGTCAGAAACAAGACCAATAACAGAAACAAGAAAACCATGGAGTCTTTTTACACTTTTAAACGTAGATTTCTGTTCTTCTGTAATGACGGTGGCAGCACTCGGGGGAGAACAGCAGCGAGTTGGAAGATAATGTCACCAAAGAAGAAGAGTTCTTCTTATCCAGACTCAGAAAATGATGGATTTTAATAATTATTTTTAGTTTAAATAATTAATATTTTCTCTTGAGAGCTAACTGGTGCTGGAGAGAATCAACGTGGCAGAAACAACCTTTATGGTAAAAACAACTCAGGCTCTTATTTAGCTTTATGTCAGAGCATTGAGACAGTAATATGTACGTGTAAAATACGTTTAATATACCTGCCAATAACATCTCAACAGAAACAGAAAATCCCAACAGCAGTGAAGCAGCATGAAATAAAATTTAGACATTTGCAAAATCTGTTGAAGATGAAAAGGGTTGTGCTAAATTTGCTGCTCTGTAGAGCTGCTCTCAGGCGGCGCTTTGAGCTACTCCAACTATCTGAAGCGTCACTTCTCACTCATCCAAAGCTTTCATTGAAAGTCAGACCTGTGAAACCCAATTTTATTAACTTTATTACTTTATTATATTCATGTTACATGTTGTTACCAACCCTTCAGTTTGTGCAGTTTTTTTAAATTCTATGGAAACACTCATTGAATCACAGTGACATAATTCAGGTTTAAGATTTCCTCTCTCCAGAGGTGGAGTTTGACACATCAACACCAGCAAACAAGACTAATTTAATCTGAATTTACTCCCTAAAAATACCAAAGAGACCTTAGTATAAATCATGGTATTTTAAGGTCACTTAATTAAGTTCTCCTTTAATATGTAAGAGTCCTTAACCGTTAATTAAAGTAGATTTCCTTTAATCACACATGAAATATTTCACATCTGTTTGTTATCTATTTAAGCATTTACAGTATTAATGGGTAAAAAGGTTTTAAATATAAATCAAAACTCAATTATCTAAATCTCAGGAGTTTCATGTTACGTTACTCTGAAATGCATTTAACAACAGCACATCTCTGTTCAAAAGTCTTGAGCACTGAATTTAGTTTCGGTCTGAGAAGGTTTTAAAAAGTCTTCAATTTAATTTCCTCTCATCATGTTAGATGTAGTATCAGTCAGTGGCATCAGACCTGTAGCAAACACCGTCACTGCTGCAGCTACAGCAGCTCAGAAGAGCTGATTTTATCTTAAACTTTAATTGATTAATAATGTTTCATTGGTTAATACATCCATTCATTTTCTGCTGCTAATCCAGGTCACAAATTTGATTTACCAGGTCATTAGGAATTATTGTCAGTGCTGAGAAGTACTGAAAAAAAGGGTAAATTAACAAATAATTCTAGAGTTTATCTTCGCTTCTGATTTTACATAATTGTTTGGCCGCTGTGAGTGTGTGCCATGTATTAAATGTCATGCTATGTGGTATTAAAAAGTCTTTAATTTACTGCAGAAACCCTGAAAAAAAACAAAGAAAAGACACGTCATTTATAGACTGTATAATGTATACATAAAGACAAGAGACTTGCAGCAGGAATTGACTGAGAGGTAACATGTAAATAGCAAGAAACGTTGTTCTTTGTGACGTCTGCAGGCAAAATATAAAGAAGCCGGAAAGAAAGAAGTGAATAGCTGCCTGTACTCTCTTCTGCCTGAAACTCTGGAGACACAACACGCTAAAGAGTCCACAGAGCTGCTCAGTGAGGTACAGTACAGACATGACTCTTCACTCTCACTTCTTTACTGCTTAAATACTGTCAACATGGAGGGTAAATTAAACTACAGCTGCCTTATTGAAGACTCTGTATGTGTCTCTTTATACATTTTCACAGATTAAGTACAAGGAGAGCGGGAGGAAGGAGATGTCCAGCTCCCTCTACTCCACTCTGCCTGATACTTCGGAAACCAGCTTCGCCAGAGAGATGACTGACATGCTGAGCGAGGTGCATTTATTACAACAAAATTTATTTTATTCCAGTCATGATAGATATCTGACAGAGCCCTCTAATCCAGTGTCCAAAGTACCAACAACACATCTCAGGTGGATCGATATCACAGAATTTAATGAGAAGACGAGTCATCCTGTAATCACACGTCATGCTCAGTGCAGTATGGGAGATGGCTCTTGCATATAATCCTCTCAAATGTGTTTCAGTTAATGTGTTAAATAGCTTTAGATGCAGTGTTAAGTGTGTTTATGTAAAACAATAATGAGAAAATAAATCTTTTACACAAAGTGAACGAAAATATATAAGTAGTAACTTTTAACAAGTTTTTTCCCCCAGTGAACTATAACTAAAATATCGTTTGAAAAAAAGACAAATGTACACTTGAACTAATTTGTTTTGCTAATTAACTTCTTGACCGGTTCGCTTATAAGCAGCCTCTTGTGTTTCAGTAATGTTATGCATCTGACTAAATTCAGCTACAACCAAACTGAAAATTAGACAAGCAGCAACAAAACAGCTCACAGCATGCTTTCAGTTTTTCTTTATTACATCTAATAATAATCTAAATGTTATAAATTAATAGAAATAATAAGAAACTACATTAAATTAGATATAAATGTGATGTGGTTGACGCAACATTGAACACTCACCACTATCCTCAGATACACCGACAGGGTCCAGAACAGGAAGGCGTCTCCTGCAGAAAGCTGCAGTGTTATCAGCTCATCATGAATTGGCCATCATCAAGTGTGATTATCATCAGAAAAGGTTCAAAGAGGTTATCTACGCTGCAGCCTTTAATTTGCATTTTAAACAATGCTGTACAGCGACGGTCCAGACTAATGAGGCTTGGCTCACCGTCAGCGTTGATGTGCGAGGACACAAAGACGTGTTCATCAAACACAGACGACGAAAGGAAAATTATTAAAAAGACACAAAGAAGAAAAGGAAAATATAAAAGCCACAATAATGGCTTTGCTATTTATAGGAGTTAATTGTTGATATGTAGATACTGAGAAACACTCAGTTTTTATTATTTAACCCCAAACCAACAGTTTAAAGAAACATTCCTGTTCGACTTGTATGATACTGAAAAATAAGTTCAGAGAATCTCAATAATCGTGATTTTCTGTCTTTTACAGACTAAGTACAAGGAGAATGGGATAAAGAGCCTTTCACAGAGTGTCTACAGTCAGCTGCCTGAGACCACTGAGACTCAGTTCGCTAAAACAGTTTCTGAGCTGCAGAGCGAGGTGAGAAATTAACATTCTTACCTCAAAACACTTTTCATACTGAAGATGCTGCTTTCTCCGTCGAGGCAGAGAAAGTGAAGACAACAAAAATGAGCACAGAATCTGACCTTCAATTCCATGTTCAATGTATTACAACATCAGGAGTAAAAAGTGCAGCTGAATCAGTAACACTGATGACACATGCTGCATCATTTCCTGTCAGTCCCTCATACGTGTGAAGGCAATTTGTATCCAGCCACTAACAATGAAAATGAATATACTGTATAAATATGAATACCTGTTGTTGAAAAAATTGCCGGCCATAAATAGTTAAAAAACGGTTTGATTTCATGAAAATGTTATAACTTTAAACTTTATATAAAAGCGATATGTTTGAGACTTTAAACTGTTAAATCTAAATTTTATATGCTGCACACAATACATTACGGATTACAATGACGTGCATCCCTTTTGATAGATTTTAATTTATAAATCAAGCTGTAATTAATTTTCTTACCGTACTCAGGTGACAAGTTCAGAAATACAATATCTCACAAAAGTGAGTTCACATGTTTGTAAATGTTTGATTATATCTTTTCATGTGACAACACTGAAGAAATGACACATGTAAATTAGTGAGTGTTCAGCTTGTATAACAGTGTAAAATTGCTGTCCCCTCAAAATAACACATCACACAGCCATTAATGTCTAAACCGCTGGCAACAAAAATGAGTACACCACTAAGTGAAAATGTCCAAATTGGGCCCCAAGTGTGAATATTCTGTGTGGCCGCCATTATTTTCCAGCACTACCTTATTTGCCATGTTGAACTTCCACTGACCAGTATGAGGAAGTATGAGAGCGATAACACCAAATTAAACACACCTGCTCCCCATTCACACCTGAGACCTTGTAACACTAACAAGTCACATGACACCAGGGAGGGAAAAAAGGCTAATTTGGCCAATTTGGACATTTTCACTTTGGGGTGTACTCACTTTTCTTTAGACATTAATGGCTGTGTGATGTGTTATTTTGAGGGGACAGCAAATTTACAAGCTGCACACTCATTACTTTACATTATAGCAAAGTGTCATTTCTTCAGTGTTGTCACATGGAAAGTTATAATAAAATATTTTCTAACATGTGAGGGGTGTACTCACTTTTGTGAGATACTGTATGTCTGAATTTACAGCAGCTGCAAATCTGAAAGCCACGTTGTGTTGAATGAATTATCACCATGTTCTGTCCCTTGAAATGTCAGGGTAAATAATAATTTTTTTAATGAATTTTAGATGTTGTACAAAAAGGGAAAGAAAGAAGTGTCCAGCTCTCTGTATTCGACTCTGCCTGAGACTCTGGAGACGCTGCACGCCAAGGAGGCTTCTGAACTGCAGAGTGAGGTAGAAACACACCTCTACCTGCGGCACATCTGGTCTGCACACGGAAACAAACATGCGCTCATCGCTCCTGTGTCTTTTCATGGAGGGATAAACTGTCTCTGCTCCTGTTTGTGTCCAGCTGAAGTACAAGGCGGCTCTGAAGAAAGGTCGTTCCTCCAGCCTGTTCCATGTGCTGCCCGAGACCTTAGAGACAGCCCACGCTAAGGAAGTATCCGAGCTTCTCAGCGAGGTAACAACAGGAAGGAGAAAAAAATCTGAATTTACTTTACACGTGCAGCAGCTTGATAAACACAGACATTTTCTGTTGCGTTTTTTCAGGTGAAGTATAAAGAGGACGGCAAGAAGGAGATGAGCATCAACCTGTACTCTCTGCTACCTGAGACCATCGACACCCAACACGCTAAAGAGGTGTCAAACCTGCAGAGTGAGGTATTCAAACGTGTCATTTATTTAGTGGTTCGTTTGTTATTTGTTTCCCCTTTCATGAGAACCTCTATGAGTGTCTTTTTTCCACAAGCTCTGTAGGAAGAGAATGATAAGAAAATTATGATGTGACATATTTATCTCATCACATGTTTGGGCGTCATTAGCCCACCTAAAAGCCTAAAATAGGCTACAATAGATTACTTAAAGTTGTCTAATTAATAGTTGACTTTGTTAACATTTAAATGTTATTGAATCTCCTTTAAAGGAGTGTCCTACCATAGTCCAACTCCAAAAACTCTTCCAGTGTGAGCTGATGCCATATGAGTTCATATGTGGAGTGGCCAGGTGCTCACTTTGTTCAATTGTATTTAGACTTTTCCACTGCAAAATGTGAGGCGTTTATATCTGATGTTGGACTAGTGTATTTTTCCCAAGGATTGGATGAACGCACCATGTGATGTTTCTTCCTGCCTCCTGCAGGTAAAGTATAAAGAAGGTCTGAAGCAGAAGATTCAAAGCAGTTTGTACCATCAGCTCCCAGAGACCACAGAGACACAGCTGGCCAAACAGCTGTCTGAACTGCAGAGTGAGGTACAAGAACGCATTTTAAATATTATTTAATTAGAAACAGGGAGAATGAGAACGAGATAGAGCTAAGTATCAGTCAGACCTGAAGGTTAAACTTGGGAGAAAATTAAAATATAATTAGAAGATTTGCTGTTCTTTGGTTGTGCCAACAAGGTGCTCAGAGGACGAAAAAAATAAAAAATAATAAAACATATTTCCATTGAGGTCTGTTCTGAAAACTGGTTTAGTACAGGGTGATGAGGGCTAGCAGGCTACAAACCACCACGTCATGTAAACTGACTGTGTTCATTTCAATCTGCAGCTCAAGTACAAGGAGGCGGGTAAGAAAGAGGTGAATACAAGTCTGTACTCCCTCCTGCCTGTCACCATGGAGACGCAACACGCTAAAGAAGCTGCAGAGCTGCTCAGTGAGGTAGTTTTTCCAGAGATGGGAACTAAGAATAGCCTCCTAACTGTTTCTGATAGTTGCGTAAGTCTGACTATACAACCATTATGCAAAGCAATGGTTAGAAAAACACTTGAAGTGACGGTTTCAGCCACAGTGACCATCTAAGTAAACACAAATTCATAACTTTCCTCATCAGCAGTCCATCCTCCTTTGCTTGTTGATGCTGTTATTTCCCAGGTCAAATACAAGGAAGGCGGGAAGAAGGAGATGTCCACCTCCCTCTACTCCACTCTGTCCGACACGTCAGAGACCAGCTTCGCCAGAGAGATGACTGACATGCAGAGCCAGGTGAATTAAAAACTGCCATTGGTCACACAACTTTCTTGACATTTTTAGATTTTAACACAGTCGAACTCCTCCTCATATTACATGTAGAGGTTCAGATGGGGTTACATGAGGTGAAATGAAACTGAAAGAATTAATACAGACAATATTTTACCCCCCTTCCTAGCTTTTGTTATGGTGCCTAATGATGTCCACAGATGTCCTCACAGTGTGCTAAATCCTGTACATACAAAAGTTCTACTTGATTGCTGAAATGGGAATGCTTAAAAAGTCTGTTTACTTGTTGAAAACTACATTTTATTTGTTTTTTGTTTTTGAAAATACCCATCAGTACTGTTTCTATGGTTACGTGCAGCTTAATTTACCTTGTGTGTTTTAGAGTCATGGTTATATTAGAGGTTTCTCCATATACAGTTTTAAGAGAAGCGTGTCAGACAGCGCTGACTAAAAAAATGTGAAACCAAGTAAAATAAAGTTATTCTAATGTGGGCACCCGTGTATTTTTTCTTCACCCTCAAAACATTTTGGAGTGAGATTAAATGAACATGCAGGAGGGATGTTCTTCAGGTGAGAGCTGATGTCTCCTCAAAATAACTGAAGTGCAGAGAGAGCTGACATAAGAATGATGTTTGATTAGTTATAAATAATCACTACCTCATTATCCAATGCTCTCTGATGTTTTTATACCATAGACACTCATCACAGGCCAGATTAGCATCAGAAACAGGATCAAAGGGGAATCTGTTTGTATTGTGCATCGGAGAAGAGTCATTAACAATATCTGCTCTGTGGCCAGGGAAAGATGGGATACCAGATTTGTACCACTTTTTTTGGAGCCACAGGAAAAAAAAACCTTTTTGGGGGTCTGATAGTGGAGCTGCTTAATATTCAGACCCCTGCTCAGAAAAAAATATGTTCCCCTCTCCATCTGTGTCTGTATATAAAAATCCTACCCTGTTTGTAAATCAGACTCATCTCTTTTCTTCATCTTTTTGCAGAACAAGTACAAGGAAGATGGAAGAAGAAGCCTCTCTCAGAGTTTCTACTCTCAGCTACCAGAAACAAATGAGACTCAGTTTGCTAAAACTGCCTCCGAGCTGCAGAGTGAGGTGAGGGGGAGAATTACTCCATGAACAAAGCGCTGCTCTTTTTACCTTTCACCATGTCTCTGACTGCAAAGTATTTTGTACTTGGTTTGGAAACATCTGAGTGCCCTGTAATTTTAATGCAGTTAGTCTTTTTGATGTATAATGTTTAGTAAGTATTATGAACATTTCACAGAAATATATGTCTCCTAAATTTAGTTCTGATGCTCACTGATGGCCCCTAATGTCCTTGCAGTATGCAGTATACAAAACTTGTACATCACTTTTTAACAACTCATTACTGTCGTTTTATCTCATTTCACAGCTGGTTCCAGCTATGCAGATGACACACAGCTCTATATTGCAGTGTATTTCTTGGAATGAGCACTTCATGTATAACATGAGAAATGATAAAAATCTCTGCAGGCTTCAAAAGTTGAAGTTCAGCTGAACAGGGAAAGAACAGAAATTCTAGCATTTGTGCCCAAATCCCAGGGTTATTATCGATGCTCATGATGAATTTGAACAAAATTGATTCAACAAACTAGATTTGAGGTGACAGCTTGAAACCAGTTCGAAGCAATAAGTTCATTTTTGATTTGCGTTCTGTTTTAGATGAAGTACAAAGAAGCAGGAAAGAAGGGAGTGACGAGCTCTCTGTACTCGACTCTACCCGAGACTCTGGAAACACAGCACGCTAAAGAGGCTTCACAGCTGCAGAGTCAGGTACAGGCATTCAAACACCACAACATCTGTCCAGCTGTCTTTGGCAGACATTTTTGTTTAGACTGATCCTGATGTACGTGTCTTCATTAGCCTATTCACAAATCTAACTGCAATTTCCAGCAATGTGCAAATCATAGTAAGCTCCACTCCAGTCCAGTGGGTGGTGGTTCATGCTCCTGAAGCTCTTTGGTGACTTGCAAAAATATCAAACATGAAGTATCTGTGCGCTTTAGTCGTTTAGTTACAACAATATGAGTTTAGGTAGGTAGCAACAACTATGCATCAACTAATAGAAAGACATGGATGACTTTTTCGTTCTGTCTCAAATGCTTCTTTGCTGCTTATACACATTTAAATTTTTATTTTTATTGATTAACTAATCAGCCAAGATGGATGAGTGTATATTTGGTTAACTTTAAGACAGATTTTAAACTTTGCAGCTTTGTACAACAAGGAAAGTTATTTTACAGGCTTATAAAAATATACCTGAACAAAAGTCAGACCTTAAACTGTCTCACATGAACCTGAACAAGGACCCAAATTCAGACCTGAACTTGATGGGATCCATGTTTAGAAAAAGGAAGTACGGTAGTAAACACCAAAAGAAGCACCTTTCCTTAGCTGTCGACGTGTTGTATTCTTTCTTTTTCCTTCCTCATGTTCTCTCAATATTCTTTCTATACATTTAAAGATTTATTTGAACTGACTAAAGTGTTTTGACCATGTGTTCACCAGCTTAAGTACAAGCAGAGTTTAAAGAAAGACGCCTCCAGTCTGTACCACCTGATGCCGGAAACCATCGACACTCAGTTTGTCAGACAGCAGACGGAGATGCTCAGCGAGGTACGACTGTTCTCTAGCTGTTCTTCCCTTTAGAACAAATCATGATCTTCGTCAGCTTGGTGTGGGAACCTGGGTAGTTTGTTTCATCCCAACGTTCAAAATTGACTTTGTTCTTTGTTCTCTGACTTTGTTGTTGGTTCTCAGTATGATCTGTGTAGAAAATATTTCCCAGACTCTTTTCTCTTTCTGCTGTAACATTTGATAACTCATTTGTGAGTGACTGCTGCAGCAGATTTGTGCTCATCCTTCTGGCTGTATTTTGTTTCATCTCAAGGTCAAGTACAAAGAAGATGGTAAGAAAGAGATGAGCGTCAGCCTGTACTCTCTGCTCCCCAACACCATCGACACCCAGCATGCCAAAGAGCTGACAGAGATGCAGAGTGAGGTGGGTTCAGGCTGCTGTCCGTGGACTGAATATCCATTGCACTCATCCCTCATCAGTTCACACTTACAGAGAATTACCTGCAGACTGCTTATGATTTAAGAATTCAGGATAAAGCCTGTCAGTTATCAGATTTACTAAACACATCTTAATGATTACTATTTTTTACCCCAAATGCTTCCCATCTTTCCAGATTTCTTTTCTTTCTGTGACTGGGTCTCCATGTAGAGTAGGTAGAAGAAGCTGTTGTTGCTCCCAAAATCCACCCATCATGCTGTTTCTTAATGCAATGAAGAAAAAGGCACATAAATTCTAACTGCTGTCTCTGTCTGTATTTCCCCTCTATCTCTCTACTCTACTGCAAATTTCCTGAACAAAAAACTATACATTGAAATGCAGATTCACACAGGATTCATTGTGTCCTGTGAGCTCAGAGTTTGTTGAAGTATCGTCTGTGATTTAATCTAAAAGTCTTCCTGGGAGCACGAATGTTTGAACCAAACTCAATGGCAAATAGTTGGATATTTAACTCCGAATGAAACTATTGGATCGACCACTAGTTTTGCTAATATAACTACCGCAGAGGCCCCAAAAATGCACTGCAAGATGTGAACAGTCATAACGAGTTTTTTTCAAGCATGAAACCTGAATCGTATTCCTATTTTTGTCCCCCAGGCAAAATACAAAGAGGCCGGTAAGAAGCAGACATCAGCGTCTCTGTATCAGCAGCTACCTGAAACTCTGGAGACACAACACGCTAAAGAGGCTTCACAGCTACAGAGTCAGGTACACACAAAGATCATGCACCTTTGACTTCCATAATGTATGTAACAGAAAGAAAAAATACTCTTCATTGTTGGTACAATCAAAGACGGTAAAACACCTGATATTTGAGAGTCAGCTGCTGAGCTGCAATTTTTAAACAAAGAAAACGGCTAAATTCCCCAGATTTTTGCAGGATTTAAGTTGTCTCTGCAAGTTGATTCTCGCAGCATAGACATTACTGTGTAAATTAAAAGTATGCTTTAGATAATGGTGTAGTAAGCATGTGTAAAGTGTTTGTAGTCTGAGCTATCACATGCAAACCTGCCCTCTCCCTGTGTTTTTGGATGTTTTAGCACTTTCACAATCTTGTTGGATTATTTTAAATGTCTTATTCTTCCTCCTCAGTCAGCGTCCACATGTTGTCCCCTCTTTTCTCTTTTAGATTTTGTATAAAGAGGCTGTTAAGAAGGAGTTATCGTGCCCAGTTTACCACCAGCTGCCCGACACTCTGGAGACCCAGTTTGCCCGAGAGCTCACCGACATGCAGAGCCAAGTAAGAGCAAAATAAATCTTTGCAGTGAAGGGACACAGTGAACAAGTTTTAAATACATTGAAGCAAGCTGTATTCAAAATGTTGTGGCGTACGGAAGCCGTCTGGGGCAAATGAGAAAAAAGAGATTCCCGTGAGCCATTTATCTAAATAGTTTTCTCCTGTGTTTGACTTAAGAACTGTTGAAAAAAAAGGTTTATAATCTTTGGAGTTAAAAAAAACAACTTTATGCAAGTGAAAAGTTTTTTATTTGTCAGGATCAGATTTTGTTGTTGGAATACTCATTTTGGCACAAGAGGCAGAAGTGCACCAGTTTCCCGTGTCCTCAACAGGACTGAAAGCATTAGGTGAGGTATCCCATGCACTCTTAACAAAAGGTGCATATATTGTATGTTAGCAAGTTATGTAACATTACAGCCATGTCTTTCTTTTGGCTAGAACTGAATTTAAATTGGCTAGGGGTTAAGGGTCTTACTCAGGGACATGTTGATGTGTCACAGTGGGGAATTGAACCCGGGTCTCTTGCACCAAAGGCATGTGTCTTATCCACTTCTCCATCACCACCCCATGAATGATTTCACTCACTTGCAAAAACTCTTTTGTCACCTGTTCTTAAGTCATGAACACAAGAGAGAAAATCATTTAGATAATAAAAAAAATGGATCACAAGAATTTCTTACTTGTGTCTCAGGGCTACAATCTGCAAAAAAGATCCTCAAGCAGATTATCCTGATGAGAAAACACTGAGACAAGCAGGAAGACTGCCATGTCAATAGAGGAATGTAGTTTTTAGAAAATTATAGATATCTGTGGCAGCTCGATGCAACTTTAGTCACAGAAAATGAAGCAGTGTCTCTTCTTCACATCCTGTTTGTGAGGAGAACATGGGAGTCTACTCAGGACGCCATGATGCGATGGATTTCTGTTGTGATGCACCGGAGAACAGGCTGCTGTGTTTAGTTATGAATGAATGAATCCATTATGAATGAGTGACTTTTCTTGTCAGTTTTGAGTCCATCTGTTTCTGGGGAGTTCTCTGTTCTTCTGACAACACTGGCAGCTATTATTAAACATGTATCAGACTTTGGCATAAACTCTATTTGCATTCAATAAAAAAATCACTCAAGTTGTATTTTGTTAATGTTATAACTAATTATAATGTGGCTGTTTTCTGTCTCTGACTGTAGAACAAGTATAAGGAGGACGGGATGAAGAGCCTCTCTCAGAGCTTCTACTCTCAGCTGCCAGAAACCGCTGAGACTCGGTTTGCTAAAACCGTTTCTGGGCTGCAGAGCGAGGTGAGATGAGAGAAAAGAGGATCGTTGGTAAAGCATTACAAACTGACATATTCATGCACAAATAGATAAACTACAGATATAAGACAACTCGGCACTGTTTGTTTGAATGAATGTAAAGAGAAGTGAGGTTAAAGCTGACGTAGCTCTGCACATCGCCGGCTTTAGGTTTAAATAAAGTGAAAATAATTTGAGTTCTAAAATCGAGCAACTGGAAACAGGAGGATGTTGGTGCTTTATAGAAAAGGAAAGTCAAGAAACAAAGAGACAAATCTTTAGTTAGATGAGAGTCTAAAAGAAACCTTTGCTAAGCTGTTGTCCTCTGTCTCATTAAAGATTTTTAGTTTTAGCTATTTTTACACATAGCCAACTATCAAATACAAGGTGCACCGAGCTGCTGTAGCCTTTATCTGATCCCTGATCAGTTCATTAATCTGTACTGAGAGAGCAGCATGACTGGGATAAAAAAGACTGCTTGCAATAGGATTTGTGGTCTGAGATGTATAAATGAGACCAAGTGTCATAAATTTCATCTGGATTTCATCCAGATTTCAGACACTTGAAATGTGTAAATTGGGCCTATAAATCGTGGGCGGTTCAGTTAAAGACTTTTCTCTTCATAGTTGGGTTTTTTTTGGATGATTTTCCAATCCCTAGAGCGGTAAAACTACAAAGTATTCCACAAAGGAGAAGCAAAGATTAGAGAAAATTTAGGAACATCGACTGAACTTTACCTGGGCAATCCTGTCAGGACCCACTACTTCCATTTCGTGACCCAATCCCAGCCTGGGAACCCCTGGATTAGGAGACTTTAGATGTAAAGTTTTGTTTTCATTGTCATAATAAGGTTTTCATGAACTTTACTGACACTAGAATTTAATCTAAACAAACAGGATGAATTAATCAGCAGTGTTATAGAGACTCGTCCCATTGCGTCACTTTTCATAAAAACACACGCACATCTTTTTTGCTGCTAACTCAAACCAAAAAGAGATGTATAAATGTCTGTCAGTGTTATCCAAGGATGGTTAAAATCAAGGGCAACTGGACTTGGTTGAAGATACTGTATGACGTATCGCCTCTCTTGCAAGGGGCTTTTTCACTTCTGACTGACTGGCAGGGAATCAGAGCCATTTAACCTCTGTGGGTTCGAGTGACTCCAGCGACCACTAAAGACCCAAGCGGTATCCACCACCTTAATAACGACCCCACAGAGGTTAAACCGCTGGGATTCCCTACCAGTCAGTCAGAAGTGAAGAATCCCCTTCGGAATTAAGGTCGAACATCTTCAAGTATCTTCAACCGATTCCAGTTACCCCTGACTTTCTTTAGTTAACTATGACCTGGATGACTGAAAATCTTCAGACATTTATAAATACATATTTTCTTTTTTCAGAGAACGTACAAGAAGTCAGGGAGGCGGCAGGCCGGCAGCTGTCTGTACTCTGTGATGGCAGAAACTCTGGACACCCAACACGCCAAGCAGGCCTCACAGATTCAGAGCCAGGTACTGCATCACACACATCCATGTCCTTCACTAAACATTAAGCTTAAACCGAAGATCTTCTTCTAGTTTTTCATATCCTTTTACAAAGATAATATTGTCAGAAAAATTAGGGAAAAGATGAGGCTAGAAACAGTGAAAGAAAAGTCAAAAAGAAAAGAAAGGTAACTTACAGTGTGTTCAAAAACTAAAGATACTGTTCAGGACACACATCAAACATTTCCTGACCCTCAAACAAACTGTGTCGTCCCTGCAGGTGAAGTACAAAGACGACGTGCAGAAGGAGTCCAGTCTGTTTTCCAGCCTTCCTCAAACCCTCCAGACGGAGTTGGCCAAGGAGGTGACGGAGCTCCAGAGCCAGGTGACAAACTCTTTACTTCAGCAGCTGCCCGTTCATTAAACACAGCGGCACTAATCAGTCCCTCGTGAGCCGAGTGCTGGTGGTCGGCGGAGGTTTAAAAGTATTAAAAACTATTTGAGAATCAGTCCAGAATCATAGCGAAGCACTCTCACAGGAAAATAGTTGATGGATTTAAAGCCTGTGGTAATAATACAAGCCTTGTTCATAGCATTAACGCCAGTGCAAACTTGGTTTCAGCTATCAAGAATTTCTCCATAATTTTAAATATTCCTAAATTAACAAGCGAAGTGATCATCCATCAGGATTATTATTAGGGTCTAACAATAAAAGCTCACAATCGCCAAGACTGTCCAAGTGTGGTCGTATCATATTTGACTGTGACTAAACAACCAATCAAGTGTAACGTGATGCATTTTGATTCAGGGCACAGACAAAAACACAGAAATCTGTCTTGTGAAGAAACAAAAACTGCGTCAGTGTAAGTTCTGTTATTTCTAGTTAGAAGTTGGTGGACAAAATTAGTTTTCAGACCCTTTAAATACATAATGCTCATGTATGTGGACCATGATGCAAAGCTTTTTCAGTTTTCCCTGTTTCTCCCGGACTACAGCCTACATATCAGGACAAGAAGGATGCCCAAAAAATAAGATGTAACTTACGTTGGTACGAATAAATTCTGCTGTGTGTGAAGCTGCAGTTCCTTTAACAACTTTTATCACGCTGAAATTCATTTCAAAAAACCCTATCTAGAAATAAAAAAAATCTAAATTTGTCCAAAGCTCATGAATTGAAGTGAGACATCTTTAGGATGCAAAATTGCCGTCGAGAACAAAACCCATCACTTTTCATTCAGTCTTGCACATTAACACAGCTGATCTCATGTTGAAATACATCTTTTATAAATAATAATTTAATTTAAAGAGGTGGTATTCTGCTTTTTGGCTTTTTCCTTCTCCTTTATTGAGTTATATACCTTTTTTGTGCATGTAATAGGTTTGCAAAGTGAAAAAGCCCAAAGGGAGTTCCCATCTCCCACAGAAAACTCTGCTCTGAACTGCCTGAAAACAGCTCATTTGTAGTCCAGCTGCTTTCCTTTCATCCCTGTCACGTCACAGGATAAAGTTGTTCCTGTGATGTAGAGACAGAGCTCAGTTAAAACTTTATGGATGAAAGATACTTTTGTTACAGATTAATAACTCACTGCTCTGAAACTCTTGCTCCAGTCCATGTTGCCAAGCTGGTCGGCAACATGTACAGCTGAACCGAAGCTGTGGCTTCTCGCTGACCCGCCCTTCTCTGCTTCTGATTGGCTAGTAGTCCTTACCTGGGAACTGCGCATGTGCAACTCCCAACAAAGGTTTTGTACAAGTAAGATGCATCACTCTGTAGCTCAAGAGCAGAGCGTACAACACACAGGGTGAAAAGAGGAGCTGCAGCAACGTGCAGTGTGACACAAAATATGGTGTTTTTTGATAATTAAACCATGTAAACCTGTTCTGGTACAACCCCTAAATAAGATTATGAACCTGAAAATGAGCATAATACCACCTCTTTAATAAATAAATATTTGTTTGTTTGTAATTGAAGCTTTGCAGTGAAAAAACAACTTCATCCTTTGTTTAGGCATCACAGACTGGGAGCGTTTGTTTTGCTAGAAAAAGCTAAATCCTTAATAAATAACTTGAATTACTGTCCTGTATGTAAGATACAGAGAAAGATCATCTTGAAAACTTTGGGCCTGCTGAGTGTGTTCTGTATGCAGACCGGTGTCATGGCTTTGTTTTGTGATGCAGGTGAAATACAGGGAGGGCTGCAAGAAAGCAGCGTCCTCGTCACTCTACCACCTCCTCCCTGAGACAGCAGAGATGCTTTTCGCCAAACAGATGTCAGAGATCCAGAGCGAGGTGAAGCTCCCGAAACGCTGAAATCCTTTCCTTTAAGTTAAATATTTTAAATGTTAAATGTTTACATTTTTTGTTCTTTTTTTTTTCTCCTCTCAAGGCAAAGTACAAGAAGGACAAAGAGGATCTGCCCGACACTTTATACTCTCTGCTGCCTGAAACTCTGGAGACTCAGTTTGTCAAAGAGATGGCTGAGACACACAGCGAGGTGAGAACTCGGTGTACTCATGAACGCTGATCAAGAAAATCCCCCCTATCTTATTGAGTCCCTCATCGAATCTGTATTGAGCTCAGGATATAATGTTACTGTCCTTTGGGCCACACTTCTTTGTCTTGAATGAAGATGGTCAATCACGGTGAAACAAACAAACATCGGGGCGTGAGAACCAGGATGACTGTACAGTACAGTAGCTACTCGTTGCAGCCATTAGTGAGGTGGCCAGTACATTTCTTGACCGCAGCTATGTTTTGCTACAGTTTCAAAAACTTTTTATTGTTTTTGTTTTTGGCCAACATTTTATTTCAATTGACATATGTTTATATATTATTTAATATAATTAATATATATTTAATAATATTTAAGACTTTGAAAATGAGCAACCAAACAGACATCAAGGTCTGAAAACACAGTGGATTAAACATTTTCTACTCTACTGTCTTGAAGTCTTGTTATACTATTATATATTATTATACTTATCTTTGAGGGAGACAGCTTCGTTTAGATGAAATTCAGGCATCAGTTGGTAAAGTAATTAAACCATTTGAGGGGCCCTGCTGCATATAAACCTCATCTAACTTCAGCTGAACCACATTTTATGGTTGTGCTCTTTCTCCTGCAGTGTCTATATACAGAAGTTTCTAATGTGACCCTCAGTGTAGTCACACCAAGAGGTGAAGTCGTGCAGAGAATTAAAAACAAAAGACTAAATTAAACTGAATCACTACAGCAGGTTTTGTAGGATTTTTAGGTTGTCAGTAGAGTTGCTGTGTGAAAACATGTGTCGCTGTTGAAATGGATGGAGGTGCAGAGGCGGACAGCTCTGAGATGGAGGTCTGGATTTAGCTCTGCTGTAGACTCTGGACCTCTTTTATTTTTCAGCTAATAAACACGAGCAGCACAAGAGTAGAAACACAAACTACAAAACAAAGAAGATGAATCCAGCAGTCTCACCACTAAACTAACGATGTCTTTCATTTGAGAGCAAGGTCACAAAGTTCACAAGAAGTCTAAAATAACACCATACATGTAGTAATAATAATAATAATAATAAAATTTATAATCTTTCTTTTCAAAAACAAGTTACAAAGTGCTTTAACAAGTGTAAAGACAATAATACCCAAAAAACAACAATACAAAAACAATACAAGATAAAAGCAAGAAAACATTGAAAAGACTAAAATACACGTTTAAGATAAATATAAAATTAGTAAAATACAATAAAATAAAAGGGATAAAATAAAGTCAAATAAGATCGGGAAAAGCTCTCCTATAAAAGTATGTTTTAAGAAGGGACTTAAAAGAGTTCACTGACTCAGCCGACCTGATTTCCTCGGGCAGGCTGTTCCAGAGCCTCGGGGCCCTGACAGCAAACGCTCTGTCCCCTTTAGTTTTCAGTCGAGACTCTGGAACAGACAACAGACCTCTGCCCGAGGATCTCAAGGTACGTGCTGGTGCGTATGGGACTAAAAGGTCAGAAATATAACAAGGCGAGAGGCCATGAAGAGCTTTAAAAGTGATCAATAGAATTTTAAAGTCAATTCTAAAACATACTGGGAGCCAGTGTAATGAAGCTAAAATAGTAGTAATGTGGTCATATTTCTTTGTTCTGGTTAAAAGCCTGGCAGCTGAGTTCTGGACAGTCTGGAGTCGATCAATAGATTTTTGGGTTAAACAGGTGAAATTCCATTCCAGGGTCTGTGGATCTGACGGGCAAGTATATTTGTGTGTCATCAGCATAAATATGAAAAGAAATGCCATGTTTATGGATAATATGTCCAAGGGGAAGCAGATACAAGGAAAACAAAATGGGTCCTAAGACCGACCCCTGAGGCACACCATATTTAACTGGACAGAATGAGGAGACATAGTTGTTTACAGACACGCAAAACTTCCTATTTGACAGGTAGGATGAAAACCATTCTAGGGCAGTACTAGAGATCCCCACCCAGTGCCTCAGTCTGTCTAACATGATGTTGTGATCAATGGTGTCAAAAGCAGCGCTAAGGTCCAGGAATACCAGGACTGAGCACATTCCTTCATCAGCAGACATTAAAAGGTCATTGGTGACTTTAAGCAGGGCAGTCTCAGTGCTTTGGTACTTCCTGAAACCAGACTGAAACTTTTCAAATAATTTGTTATTTTCCAGTACAGTGAGCAGCTGTTTGGACACAATTCTTTCTAGAATCTTTGCAATAAAAGGCAGTTTTGAAATTGGTCTAAAATTTTGTGGGAGGGAGGGATCTAAACCAGGTTTCTTTAAAAGTGTGTGTGTGTGTGTGTCAGGTGAAATACAAGCAGGCTGGGAAGCAGCAGAAGGCGTCGTCTCTGTTCTCCAAACTGCCCGAAACTATGGAGACCAAACACGCCAAAGAAGTGACTGAGCTGCAGAGTGAAGTGAGTGTTTCTCTCTTCCCTTTATCTGTCTCTTTCTCCCTTCAGTCAAATTCAGATAAATAAAAGCTGTTTAAACTAAGTAAAGCAAGTCTATACATCTGTTCTTCCGCTCTTTGCAAGAAAACAAAACTTACACTCACTATTTGGTTGCTGAACCTTCACAGAGCGTGATTTCTCGCTTGCCTCTAGGGGTGCCACAATATGCAGATAGTTTTGGTTCTCTTCAGGTTCTGAGATTTCTGCCTCTAACTGGAATTTTTAAAAACTTTTCTTTATTGCATCAGTTCAACAACAACAGAACAACTCCAAAACACAACGGAGATGATCTTGTCGAAAAGTAGAAATAAATAATACAACACATTTTTACTCTGCATTAATATTTCTCTATCCAATAGAAGCTTTGTCGTGAAAACAACAACTTCATCTGGGTTTTTTTGTTTCAGCCAGGAGAACTGTGAGCGTTCGTGTTGCTATAAAAACCAAAATTCTTTTTATTATTAAATTATTGTCTGGTATGTAGGATACAGAGAATTAAAAGTGTTCGATTCAGATTCACTGCAGAGCACCATGACAGGAAAGGCAGAGATTTCAACTCTGTCAGGCGCCCGCAATGATGACGCAGTGAATAGTGACGATTCTCTCTGACCAATCAGCAGTCTGCTGTGTTTTCACGTCACATTTTAGTATTGCCTCAGCTCGCTTGGAACCTCGACGGAGGTGATACGAAAACAAAGTACCTGGAAACAGGTGCAGGTACAACTTTTCCCCAATGGAAAACCAAACAAAGCCGAGCCGAGCCAAGCTGGTACTGTGCAGTGGAAATACACACAACCTTTAATATGAGGAGATAGTTTTTTATCGAAAGCACCTCTTTGGTAGACAGAAGTTTAAAAAATGTAAATGTAATGTAAATGTCACTGATGAAGTACAATTTTTCACAAACTAAATTCCATTCACTTCATTGTATTGGAGGCAGAAATCTTAGATCATATCATGAACGGGTTGGTTGTGTAAAACTGAGACAGATTTTACTGGAGATGAATCACATTCAGAGTTTTTTTTCGTTTGCGTTGTCTCTGTGTTTCCAAAAGAAAAAGTACAAAGATGAAGGGAGGAAGGAGATGACGTCGTCTCTGTACTCTCAGCTCCCTGAAACCTCAGAGACCCACTTCGCTCGAGAGATGACTGAGATACAGAGTGAGGTACGGCACACACAATCATACTGACCTATCTCCTGATGTTCTTTAAATCAGCTGAAATTTCTGCTTCTGTTTCTCATCACCAGAACAAGTATAAGGAGAGTGGGAAGAAGAGCCAAACCATCAGTGTTTACTCCCAGCTCCCAGAGACCAACGAAATCCAGTTTGCCAAAGCTGTATCTGAAATGCAGAGTGAGGTACGGCAAGAGAGTAGTTCATTTAATTACATTTAACTACAGCATGTTATTATGATCACACAATGACTCTGAAGGACTCAATGATTTCCTGTAAGAAGGTTGGAGAACTTCTGTCCTTATTAGTTTGCTGATGATTCTTCTTCTTTAATCTTTAATTTCTGTTTTTAGAACAAAACAATCTGATGCAACCAAAGTTTAAAAGAAGTGTTTCACTCTCTCCCCTAAAACCAAACGTCAGAGTAAAATGTGGCTTTTTAACTGCAGCCATGTTTCCTTTGTTCTTTTCAGACCAAATATAAAGAAGCAGGGAAGAAAGACGCGTCCAGCTCTCTGTACTCGAAGCTGCCTGAGACTCTGGACACTCTGCACGCTAAAGAGGTTTCACAGCTGCAGAGTCAGGTGTGTACAGAGACAGCATGGTGTGTTCAGGTCCAGGCTTTCCACTGGACCTTTGGCCATGAGCTAATGGGAGTCGACAATTAATAAGAAAGTGTTGCTCTGTCCAGTGAGCTGCATAAACTGCATAATTTGGGGAATTGTTAATCTTCAGCTTTCTCTAGAAAAGCAGATAGAAACAATAATGATTTCTTTTAAACCATTAAATCCTGATTTGTTTATTTTAGAGTGGGAAATTTAAATTTGAAACCTCGTGAAAAAGCTTACTTCTGTGTGTTTTCGCTCTGTCCGGCCATCTTTATGTAGGTGAAATACAAGCAGGATGGCAGGAAGGAGGCGAGCGGTTCTCTGTATCACCAGCTGCCTGAAACCACAGAGACACAGCTGGCTAAAGAGCTGAGAGACATTTACAGCGAGGTGAGGAACACCCCGACACAAAGGCATCACCGCAGGGTATCTGTACGGTAGAGTAAGCTCTGTGTGCTCTTTCTCAGGTGAAGTATAAAGAAGGGGGGAAGAAGGACGTCAGAACGAACTTGTACTCGCTCCTCCCTGAGACGGCAGAGACCCAGTTTGCCAAGCATATGTCAGAGATACAGAGCGAGGTGAGGACCCTGAACGCCTCATACAGGTGGTCTGCAGGTGGATAGGTCCATCAGAAGTGTGTGTTTTTCTAATTATTAAAGCCAGAAATTATAGTTGAGAGTTCACAATTAATCATAAAAACTGCAATTACACCAACAAAGGAACTCACCCTCTTAAATTGTTGAATGTTGAAATCAATTTCAAGTCTCAGATTTTTGAACAAATGAATAAAGAGCTTTTTAGATCAAAGTCATTCTCCTTGTTAGATATTAATATTTGTTCACTTTTTATGAAACATAATCTAAATACACACACAGCTGGGTGAATTTCACACCATGACTCTGGTTCAAAAGAAGTAAGTGAAGGACGTAAAATGTTTTCATCAACGTTTCTTTATTTGTTTTGTTATTTCAAGGCAAAGTACAAGAAGGACAAAGAGGATCTGCCCGACACGTTATACTCTCTGCTGCCTGAAACTCTGGAGACTCAGTTTGTCAAAGAGATGGCTGAGACACACAGCGAGGTGAGAACTCGGTGTACTCATAGTTAATTCTCATTGACAGACATATTTATTCAGAGTTTCCATTGACCAAATTACCAGTAGGCTCAGCACCAAATGGAAATAATTGGACCAATGTTTGATTTCCATGGACATGTTTTATGTCTGTTAAACTATTATTTTATTAATTACTTACAAGGATTTAATAAAAAAGAAATTACAAAAGAAAAGGAGCAAACAAACATCGAGGTGAGAACCAGGATGACAGTACAGTAGCGAGTCGTTGCAGCCATTAGTGTGGCAGCCAGTACATTTATTGACCGCAGCTATATTTTGCTTTATTTTATTGTTTTTTAGCCAAAATTTTGATTTCCATGGACATTATGTTTTATGTGTGTTAAACTATATGTTTAATAAGATTTAAGAATTTAATAAAAATATTTTACGAAAGAAAATGAGCAACCGAACAAACATCAAGGTATGAAAACAGTGGATTGTACATTTCTACTCTACTGTCTTGAAGTCTTGTTATACTTATATATTTTTTTAATTATCTTTCAAGGATTGTTTAGATGAAATTCAGCCATCAGTCGGTAATTAAATTAAACCATATGAGAGGCCCTGCTGCATTATAATCCTCATCCGCTACATTTTTTGGTTGTGCTCTTTCTGCTGCTGTGTCCATCAAACAAGTTTCTAATGTGACTCTGAGTCTAGTGAGCCACACCGAGAGGTGAAGTAGCACATTAAATACTGAAGAACTGAATCACTTCAGCAGGTTTATAAGGATGTTATCAGTAGTGGAACAAAGACCCCGTTCTGATCCTGTCACAGCAGCAGGCAGAGTCGCTGTATATTTCTGCCACATGTGACTGTGTGTGAAAACGTGTCGCTGTTGAAATGGATGGAGGTGCAGAGGCGGACAGCTCTGAGATGAGGAGGTCTGGATTTAGCTCTGCTGTAGACTCTGGACCTCTTTTATTTTTCAGCTAATAAACAGGAGCAGCACACAAGTAGAAACACAAACTAGAAAACAAAGAAACTGACTCCAGCGGTCTCACCACTAACAATGTCTTTCATTTATCCCAAATATAAACGTGTGCTGTGTAGGTAGGGTAAGCTTATTTGGTGTAGCACCTTTCACAGAGGAAGGTCACAGAGTTCACAAGAAGTCAAAAATAACATCATACATGTAGGGTCAAATAGGGTCTGAATCCTATTGGTCTACAGCTGATAAATTGGATGATGTCACAGAATGGTTGCTATATCAGCTACCAATAGGATCCAGAGCTGATAACGATGGTCAAAAGAAGGAAGTTGTTTGTACATTTTTAGTTGTTGGTAGTGAAAGATTCAAGAAGGACGGTGGTGGGTTTGGTACTTCAGAGCACACAGTGGTCATTTAGTGTGTGTGTGTGTGTGTGTGTGTGTGTGTGTGTGTGTGTGTGTGTGTGTGTGTCAGGTGAAATACAAGCAGGCTGGGAAGCAGCAGACGGCGTCGTCTCTTTACTCCAAACTGGCCGAAACTCTGGAGACCAAGCACGCCAAAGAAGTGACTGAGCTGCAGAGTGAAGTGAGTGTCTCTCTCTCTCTTCCCTTTATCTGTCTCTTTCTCCCTTCAGTCAAATTCTAGTGCTCTGACTTTAAACTAAGGAAGTCGCTCTGCATATTATCTCACTTACCTCTAGTGATGCCAGGACATGCAGATAGTTTTATTTGTTCAGGTTCTGAGCTTTATTTTATTGCATCAGTTCAACAGCAACAGAACAACTCCCAAACACAACGGAGACGATCTTGTTGACAAGTAGAAATAAATAAACCAACATGTTTTCACTCTACTTAAATATTTCTGTTTCCAATTGAAGATTTGCTGTGAGAAAAAACAACAGCTTCATCCTTTGTTTTGGCTTCAGCATTTGTTTAATTAATAACTTATTTTGAACTTATAATTATTGTCTGGTATGTAGGATACAGATAATAAAAGTCACATTAAAATCCAACACCAACACCAACTCTTCTCTTATTTTCATATTTTGCCAATATGCTGGGAGTTTTGGGCAGCCTGTAATATACATTTAAAGCCCGTTACCCCCACAACATAAGTTATATATGATTCATAGGCTGAATATGTAACAACTGCCCAGGGACTACAGAGAAAAAATAGTCTTTTATCTAACTCTGTCGCATTTACTTCAATGTTTTATTAACGTGTACTGACCCTGCTGAATTAAACTGATTAAATTAAATTATATTTTGACTTAATATGAGGATATGTTGGTGTTGAAGTATAACTTTTCACAAACGAACCATTCTCCTCCTTGAATTGTGTTGGAGGCAGAAATCTTAGCGACAGATCAGATCACAACACCTGGACAAATAAAACAAAAACCATGGCGAGACATCAGTAGGGGTGAATGTGAAAGTGGCCCTTTAAATCATAAAGCGGTTATGAAATAGATGCTTGTGTAAAACTGCATCCGGTTTTTACTGGAGATTAATCAGAGGTTTTTTATGTTCTCTTTGTTTCCGACAGAAAAAGTACAAAGATGAAGGGAGGAAGGAGATGACGTCGTCTCTGTACTCTCAGCTCCCTGAAACCTCAGAGACCCACTTCGCTCGAGAGATGACTGAGATACAGAGTGAGGTATGGCACACACACACACAGTGTTTCTTATGAAACATATATCTACGTATCTAGTTTGATTGGCCTGCGTGATGGAGAGAACAGAAAACACTCTCTAAGCTAAACATCAGAGACAAGCACAACTCTTTTTATAGTTCACACGTGAGAAAAACACATTTTGAGCTTGTTCAGTTTGATGATGAATCTGGACTCTGGAGATGTTTTGCTCAATACACAGTGTGGAAATACTAAATGTAAAGGTCCTGCATTCAAACTCTTAATTTAAATAAATGTACATAAGTATGGGCTTAACAATGAATGTAAATTAGAAGTAAAGTACTCATCATGCAGAATGGCCCGTTGCAGAGTAATATATAATATATAAGAGGTTTATAATCAGTGATCCATTAATGAGCTAATTTAAACTGCTTTATAAACTGCTGGGGAGCTCATTTATTAGTTGATCTGCAAAAATACCAGTATATATAAGCTATCAAATACTTGTGGTGGAGTAAAAAGTACAATATTGTAGCAATAATTGGAAATACTTAACTTAAAATGCAAGTATCTCAAAACTGTACTTAAGTGCAGTACTCACCCTGTATTTACTAGTAAGTAAATACAGGGTGAGGTACAGCACACACAGACTCACACTGACCTTTGAAAACTTTGAGAATGAAACTGAAAAGAAAGAATTTGGCGTTTGTTGCGTTTTCTGTAGATGGCGAGCCGATTCTGAATCCAATCATCTTGACTTGCACTTTTGTAGCTGCAAAAACAAGCGAGTATTTAAGCGTGTAAAAATACACGTAGAGTTTGAAGAAGACATGCATCTACTGCAAACAAGGGCTTGATAAAATGTCCCTCTGAATATGTCCTGTTGTCTTCTCATCTCCAGAACAAGTATAAGGAGAGTGGGAAGAAGAGCCAAACCATCAGTGTTTACTCCCAGCTCCCAGAGACCAACGAAATCCAGTTTGCCAAAGCTGTATCTGAAATGCAGAGTGAGGTACGGCAAGAGAGTAGTTCATTTAATTACATTTAACTACAGCGTGCTATTATGATTAAAGTTAAAGCAATGTGCTGAATCTGAAGGACTCAATGATTTCCTGTAAGAAGGTTGGAGAACTTCTGTCCTTATTAGTTTGCTGATGATTTATTTTAGACCAAAACAATCTGATACAACCAAAGTTTAAAAGAAGTGTTTCACTCTCTCCCCTAAAACCAAACGTCAGAGTAAAATGTGGCTTTTTAACTGCAGCCATGTTTCCTTTGTTCTTTTCAGACCAAATATAAAGAAGCAGGGAAGAAAGACGCGTCCAGCTCTCTGTACTCGAAGCTGCCTGAGACTCTGGACACTCTGCACGCTAAAGAGGTTTCACAGCTGCAGAGTCAGGTGTGTACAGAGACAGCATGGTGTGTTCAGGTCCAGGCTTTCCACTGGACCTTTGGCCATGAGCTAATGGGAGTCGACAATTAATAAGAAAGTGTTGCTGTGTCCAGTGAGCTGCATAAACTGCATAATTTGGGAATTGTTAATCTTCAGCTTTCTCTAGAAAAGCAGAAGAAACAATAAATTTTTTTTAAATATAAAATTGATTTGTTTATTTTAGAGTGGGAAATTTAAATTTGAAACCTCGTGAAAAAGCTTACTTCTGTGTGTTTTCGCTCTGTCCGGCCGTCTTTATGCAGGTGAAATACAAGCAGGACGGCAGGAAGGAGGCGAGCGGTTCTCTGTATCACCAGCTGCCTGAAACCACAGAGACACAGCTGGCTAAAGAGCTGAGAGACATTTACAGCGAGGTGAGGAACACCCCGACACAAAGGCATCACCGCAGGGTATCTGTACGGTAGAGTAAGCTCTGTGTGCTCTTTCTCAGGTGAAGTATAAAGAAGGGGGGAAGAAGGACGTCAGAACGAACTTGTACTCGCTCCTCCCTGAGACGGCAGAGACCCAGTTTGCCAAGCATATGTCAGAGATACAGAGCGAGGTGAGGACCCTGAACGCCTCATACAGGTGGTCTGCAGGTGGATAGGTCCATCAGAAGCCTTTTCTCAGTATTTTATACAGAAATTTAATTTGAAGAACCTTTTTTTGACTATTTTGATTTCACTAAATTTCCACAGTACAATATATTGTTTTAGATCAAGGTCCTTTTCCTAGTTAGGTTATAATATAGTAAACCTTTTATGAAATACTCTGAACATAATCTAAACAGCTGGGTGAATTTCACACCATGACTCTGGTTCAAAAAGTGGAAGATGTCACAGAATTTTTCATCAACTTTTATTTCATTTTCTTTCAAGGCAAAGTACAAGAAGGACAAAGAGGATCTGCCCGACACGTTATACTCTCTGCTGCCTGAAACTCTGGAGACTCAGTTTGTCAAAGAGATGGCTGAGACACACAGCGAGGTGGGAAACTCATCATGTTGTGACACCATAAATCTGTTCACGCTGTCAGATTGTGGGGACTTAAGCTGCTCTTTACAGAGGAAACCAGTAATTCATAACACTGCTAATATTCTTTTTTTTTTTTTTGGCAGTAAACCTCATATGTAGACTCAGACCAACAATGAATGTATCTCCTCACAAGTCCTGAATATGTCTCACAGCCTGATGTCTCCTCTTCCTCCATTGTTGTCCAGACACTATTAAAACATCAGTGAGCCTCAATGCTGCACCGGCTGACATGTTCCTTTATCACCATGAACACACACTCTGTAGTTTATTCTGACTCAGACCCACATATATAAATAATAATAATTATCTTTGTTTATAGAGCAGTTTTAAAAAAGTGCTTTTACAAGTGGGGAAAATAAGATTTATAGATAAGATTTCCTCGGGCAGGCTGTTTCAGAGCCTCGGGGCCATGACTGCAAACGCTCTGTTCCCTTTAGTTTTAAGTCAGGCCAGACAACAGACCTCTGTCCAAGGATCTCAAGGTACGTGCCGGTGCATACGGTACTAAAAAGATCAGAGATATAGCCGGGGTAAAGGCTATGAAGAGCCTTAAAAGTAATCAGTAACATTTTAAAATATCTTATCAAACATACTCGGAGCCAGTGTAATGAAGTTTAAAAAGGAGTGATGTGATCACATGCACTGTCCTGCTGTCCCAAACACTCACTGGAGCACCACATGTGGATTCATCCGCCGCCGGAAATAGTCCCCAGCAAATGCAGTCTTTTTGAACATGAAACTTTATAATTGTGAGGTGTTAAAGATATGCATTTTTAGTAGGAAGCAGTGTGCTTCGGACGGCCAACAGACCACGGACAGGTAGGGAAGACAGAAAGTACTGATAATAAGACATTGTTGGTTTTTATCATGAGATGTGTTCACTAACAGAAAACCACCTTTCATATGTTAGGGAAAGTCTTCAGGGAATGTGTGGGCGTCAGTCCTAAGAGACAAAATGAGGTGTGTGTGCTCCGTCTCAGGCGCTCCAGCATGTTAACACGTTGTAGATAAACTGACCACTGTTGTCTATTCTGGTCTCGTTATCAGAAACCGTTTCAGAGCTGCTGGATACCTCTCTCCTCCTCCTCCTCCTGTGCTGCTGAAACACATTCAGAGTGGATTTACTCTCTTCTGAAAAGCTCTATTATGTTATCTGTGTTTAATGTGTTTTCCTCTGGTGCCTCTTCACCTGTAGCTCCTGCCTTTTGGTTTTTAAGTGAATCTGACATCTGCAGACAAAACGGCAAAAATGTTCATTTTAGTTCTTTTCAAATCAAGTGGTGCTGAGAATTTAAACAGTTCTGAATAAAAGCCAGCAAAACCACAATAGTCAGCCACAACAAAGAGAGGTGGACATGTATTAAAATATTTGCTGCAGGCGCCTCTCATAATGTGATATTTGTTGTGAAGGAGGAGAAGCCGTAAAAATGTATGTGATCATGAAACAAACAGAAATTTGACCTGTTCTTCCTCCTGCAGGTCAAGTACAAGGAAGCAGGGAAGAAAGAAGCCAGCAGTTCTCTGTACCACCAGCTGCCTGAGACTCTGGAGACGCAGCGTGTTAAGGAGGTTACTGAGCTGCAGAGCGAGGTACACCCATCCATTATTCACTCATCTGCATGCTCAGTTTGTTCGGCAGTGAACAGTCAACTGTCATGAAGCAGCTGATTGTCCTGATGTAATTCAATGACAGATTTGAGATTTGCATTCTGCACACTCACTGTCGTGCATTATTCAGACAGCGAGAAGCTCAAACTGAGTGCAATCGTCACTCTTCAAAGAAGTAATGAATGAGCCAGTTATTTTGTGCTTTGAAGACACTGGGCTAAATGTGGTGGATATTTTCAATGCTGTTGTAGCTGGTACAGCAATATTTTGTCAGCATTATCTCGCTGAGGAACGGAAATTTTTATGTAAAGTAACTGAAATATTCAGGAGAAATACAACAGAAACTACTCATGCAGTCTCCTGAAATGAACAATGCTCTCTCTGGTCTTCTGCAAATCAAAAGTGGTGGTTTGAGGTTTGGACCAGGAGATTAGTTTTCTTTTAGCTCATTAATTGCAGGCTCAAATTTAGTCTGCACGAGGTGGCCATTAGGACTGAACCAAAGTGATTCAGAGCTTCTTGTCAGTTTAAATGTATTTCATCTGATTGCTTACTTTGTTTGACCAACAGGCGAAACACAAATCACACTAGTTAAACATAAAAAAACAGTAAATCCTTAAAAAAGAATCAATATAAAGTTTTCACTTGGTTGAACGTAAACCCTGTGGGATGATGCTGATCATGTGTAATTTTAGTTTTTGCTCCTTAAAATGACCAAATCAAAGAAACACACAGTGATTTCAAGCTGAATTAAAACAGTCTGTCTGAATTAATTTTCCACCTGCTGCCGTTTCCTTCAGAACAAATACAAGCAAAGCGGGAAGAAGTCGATGTCGTCCAGTTTGTACGCTCAGCTGCCGCAAACGGCTGAGACGCAGCTCGCCGCCAAGATGTCCGACCTGCAGAGCGAAGTAAAGTACACACGTTTGGGGATGGGCGATACAGAGATGTTTTCCCATTTTACGATACATTTTTCAAAGTAATGGCTATTTTCAGAAAAAAAAAAATCCTTACTCTTAAATTGGAATCACATGACACAATCAATAGCACATTTATCACCAAAGCAAAAGTACTGAGTGTGTAAGCAATGACCAGATGTTACAGAAATACTATGATTAAATAATAATTGATACCAAAGCTTGTGAGTATTGAAATACCGATCCTGCAGTAACGATTCATAATTTACACACACTTGTAATAATATGTACACATGAGGATGTTAACAGATGTCACTCCGCCTATCCCTCAGACTGTTTTAGTCCTGATGTCAGAATGAGTTGGATGTCGTCTTCAGTGTCTTCTGCCTCTCTTTGTCCAGAGCAAATACAAGGAGGACGGGATGAAGAGCCGCTCTCAGAGTTTATACTCTCAGCTACCAGAAACTGCTGAGACTCAGTTAGCAAAAACTGTCTCAGAGCTGCAGAGCGAGGTGAGCTGCCCCTGTTTCTTTATCTTTTTCACTGGATTCAAGCTCAGGACCTACTTACCACTGAGACGCTGTACCACCGAAAACACAATCACTGTCAAATTTAGCACAGTTAAAGGTCAGGGTCTTTTCACATTAATAACATATTTATTTTAGAAACAGGTTTATGGCCAGGTTATCACATATAAAGGAATGCTTTGGTGTTGTGGTGCGTAACGATCAAAATATACAAGTTAAAGAGGTGGTATTATGCTTTTAGGCTTTTTTTTCCTTTATTGAGTTGTATATCTTTTTTGTGCATGTAATAGGTTTGCAAAGAAGTCCAGCCCAAAGGGAGTTCCCATCTCCCACAGAAAACTCTGCTCTGAACTGCCTGAAAACAGCTCGTTTGTAGTCCAGTTTGTCTGTGACGTCACAGGGATGAAAGCTAAATGCGCCTCATATAACGCTCGCCAAGCGGCTACTCCGACACGCCCTCAAAAACAGCGGTGGAAAAACAGCGAGCTGCAGCACACACCTCTCCTCTCCTTCCAAACACTAGCTACCCTCCAGGCAGTCAGTGGACATAAAGTTGTTCCTGTGATGTAGAGACAGAGCTCAGTTAAAACTTTATGGATGAAAGATCTTTTGTTACAGATTAATAACTCACCACTCTGAACTCTTGCTCCAGTCCATGTTGCCAAGCTGGTCGGCAACATGTACAGCTGAAATAAAGCCGTGTTGGCTTCTCACTGACCCGCCCTTCTCTGCTTCTGATTGGCTAGTAGTCCTTAAATAGGAACTGCGCATGTGCAACTCCCAACAAAGATCCTGTAGAGGTAAGATGCATCACTCCATAGCTAAAACGAAGCCTTCAACACACAGGGTGAAAAGAGGAGCTGCAACAATGTGTGAAAATTAAACCATGTAAACCTCTTCTGGTACAACCCCTAAATAACATTTTGATCCTGAAAATGAGCACAATACCACCTCTTTAAGATAAAAACAAATATATTCTGTATTGAAAAGATATGAACACATCAGATAACCTGTTACTCAGGCACAAATGCATAAAGAAGTCCCTGAATTTGTAGAACCTCCATTAGTAAAACCATGAATTAATAAATGAAGCAGTGGTCTGTCTGGAGAGAGCCACCTGAATCAATAAAGAAAGTCCACCCATAGGGTTTTATTGACAGGTCATTGCTGTGAAGAGCAGAGCAAAACAACACAGCAAACCTTTTTTTGTTCACCTAAAGCCAAACATACTCCCTAAAATGGTTTCAGTGCAGACGCAAACAGCAGCACTGGCTCACATTTCTGACTGCGAGCTAAAGCAGAGGTGTGTGGTGGAAACGGCGTCTAACTGGTGATGTTTTTCTTTCAGGCCAAGTACAAGGAGGCGAGCAGGAAGGAGGCGAGCAGTTGTCTGTACCACCAGTTGCCTGAAACCCTGGAGACGCTCCATGCTAAAGAGGCTACTGAGCTGCAGAGTCAGGTACACAAACACTTACATGCAGAGGACAGATTGGTAAATAGAGCACAAAAAGATGAACACCTCCAGGCCTGCTGGTTCTTTGTGGACCTTCAAATGTGGGAGTTTCCAAAACAGTCCAGGACTTTCTTTTGAATCATCAGGGGCCCTGGTCTACAAATGTTCTGCAGCTTGGGATCCCTGGACTGGATGAAGACACTATCTTATTCTCTGTGAACAACAAACAGCTTGTTTATAACATGTGAAGACAGAATTCAGTCAGCATAGCATGGTGTCAGCTGAGTATCTGACTTTGACTTGTCCTGTCCTTCACTTTCCTTTCCTGTCCTGTCTGATCCTTTACTTTGCTTCCTTGTACTGTCCTTTCCTTACTTGTACTTTCGTTTCCTTTCTTGTCCTGTTCTGCCCTGTCCTTACTTGTACTGTACTTTTCTTTCCTGTCCTTTCCTTTCCTTCACATTTCTGTCTTTTCCTTTTCTTTTCTTTCCTTTCCTTTCCTTTCTTTTCCTGTCCTGTCCTGTCCTGTCTGTCTTCTCCAGATGAAGTACAAGGAAGCAGGTAAGAAAGAGCTGAGCACCAACCTGTACTCACTGCTGCCTGAGACAGAACAGATGAAGTTTGCTAAAGCCGCCATGGAGCTTCAGAGTGAGGTGGGTGGACTTTTTACAAGGCATGATCACACCCTTTGGTTTATTTTCTCTGCTACATACCTTAGTGGATGGGTTGAATGTTACTTATAAAAAGAAAAATTGGGCTCAAGATGTCATGAAATGTTCCCTTGATACACATAAACTCTATACTTAATCCTAACAGACTGTTTCCTGTAGGAGGGAGACTGGGGTTTAATATGATTGTTTAGTTTAGGCTAAAAGAAAAGAAACATCAAGATTAAATAACAGGACAAACAGCCCGTTTTTGTTGTATATACATCTTGGTGTGTGTGCGTGTGTGTGTTGCAGAATAAATACAAGCAGAAAGGCAGACAGGAGATCAGCAGCAGTGTTTTCCACCACATGCCGGAGACCAAAGAGACCGAGTTCGCCAAGCAGATCTCTGATCTTCAGAGTGAGGTTAGAGGCCAGAGCAGTGTGTGTGTTTCTTTAAGTTATCGTTGCATGCAGTGTATTTCTTCACATTGTTTCATACTCGCTTATGTTTTCAGGAGTGGAAATGACAACATGTTCTCTGAAAAAAGTATATATTCATATCTGCATATTTATTTTGGTTAGACAAAGTACAAGAAGGACAAAGAGGATCTGCCCAACACGTTATACTCTCTGCTGTCTGAAACCCTGGAGACTCAGTTTGCTAGAGAGATGGCTGAGACACACAGCGAGGTAGGAAACACTCACTCTCTGTGTTACTGTGCACATTTTAGTCTGTTTGCCTGAAAAAGACAGCTTGTGCGCTGGGTTGATAACTCACAGTGTGTGGTTGTGCTTCGCTTAAGGTTCTTAGTTGTTGCTTTGTTAGTCATGCATCACCACAAGGTGACTTTATCCATTCACCAGATTCTGTAAATAATATTTAAATTGTCACTGTTAATTAACTGATATTTCACAATGTGCCTGCAGGCCTTAAGTCTTACATTTGAATTTCAAAAATATTTGATCAGATTATATGTTTATTTTTGTCAAAATTAGTTTTATGGCATCAGCAAACAAGTTTATAGTCCTGTTCTTTCCCTTCCTTTTCCTTCCCTCTACTTTCTTGTCCTTTCATTTCATTTCCTACACCTCCCTTCCTTTTCCTTCCCTTTCCATCTTTTTTCTTTCCTTTCCTTTCCCTTCCTTCCCTTTCCTTAACTGTCCTGTCTGTCCCTTCCTTTTCCTGTCCTTTCCGTCCCTTTTCTTTCCTTTTCTTTCCTTTTCTTTCCTGTCCTTTCCTGTCTTGTCCATACCTTCCCTTTCTTTTCGTTTCCTTCTCTTTCCTTTTCTTTCCTTCTCTTCTTTCTTTTCCTGTCCTTTCCTATCCTTCCCTTCCTCTCCCTTCTCTTTTAATTTCTTTTCTTTTCCATTCCTGTCCCTTCCTTTCCATCAGCAAACATGTTAATATTCTATTAAATCATCATCCTTTATACTTCCCTGCTACGCTTGCCCGTTTGGAAATCATCTGAAATGTTCCTCCGTGATGCCCAAAATAAGCATCAATAAGCAAACAACCTAAACTGGCTCCTTTCGACGCAAAGGAGCAGCGACTCTACTCTGAGCTCCTCGCGGATAGCTGAGCTTCTCACCCTATCTCTAAGGGAGACACAAGTCACTCGCCTGAGGAAACCCATTTCAGCCGCTTGTACCCACAATCTCGTTCTTTCGGTCATGACCCAACCTTCATGACCATAGGTGAGGGTAGGAATGACAATTGACCGATAGATCGAGAGCTCAGTTCTCTTTTCGTCACAACGGTGCGGTAAAACGAGTGCAATACCGCCCCCGCTGCTCCGATTCTCCGGCCAACCACCTGCTCCAGTCTCCCCTCACTCGTGAACAAGACCCCGAGGTACTTGAACTCCTTCACTTGGGGTAAGGACTCATTCCCTACCTGGAGTTGGTACTCCACTGGTTTCATGTTGAGAACCATGGCCTCAGATTTAGAGGTGCTAATCCTCATCCCAACCACTTCACACACTGCTGCAAACCGATCCAGTGAGAGCTGAAGGTCACGGACCGATGATGCCATCAGGACCACATCATCCGCAAAAAGCAGTGACAAGATCCCAAGCTCACCGAACCGCATCCCCTCCCCACCACAACTATGCCTTGATATCCTGTCCATGAATATCACAAACAGTATTGGTGACAAAGCGCAACCCTGGCGAAGGCCAACCCTCACCTGGAAAGAGTCCGACTTACTGCTACTTGTACTCGGACACAGCTCTCGCTTTGGATGTACAGCGATTGGACAGCCCTGAGAAGGGACACCCTCACCCCAAACTCCCGCAGCACCTCCCGGGGGACCCGGTCATATGCCTTCTCCAGATCTACAAAACACATGTAGACTGGATGGACAAGCCCACTCCAGGATCCTTGTGAGAGTAAAGACCTGGTCCGTTGTTCCACAACCAGTACAAAAACCGCATTGTTCCTCTTCTATCCGAGGTTCGACTATTGGCCGAACCCTCCTTTCCAGCACCTTGGAGTAGACTTTACCGGGGAGCCTGAGAAGTGTGATAGCCCTGTAGTTGGCACACACTCTCTGGTCCCCCTTTTTGGACACTCCTGCCACTCCTTGGGCACTATACCCGACTTCCACGCAATGTTAAAGAGACGTGTCATCCAAGACAGCCCCTCCACACCCAAAGCTTTTAGCATTTCTGGGCGGATCTCATCAATCCCTGGGGCTTTGCCACTGTGGAGTTGTTTGACTACCTCAGTGACTTCCACCAGGAAAATTGATGAGAATCCCCCATCAACCTCCTGCTTTGCCTCTACTAGAGAGGCAGTCGGATTTAGGAGTTCCTCAAAGTGTTCCTTCCTCCTCCCAATTACCTCCTCAGTTGAGGTCAACAGATTCCCATCCTTACTGTACACAGCTTGGAGGTAGCGGAAAGTTCTCCAGAAGCACTTTGGTGCCGACCAAAAGTCCTTCTCCATGTCTTCTCCAAACTTCTCCTACACCCGCTGCTTTGCATGTGCCACAGCAGAGGCTGCAGCCCTTCGGGTGATGGAAACCAGCGAGGCTGCGCAGTGAGTAAACCTCACTTCTGACAACTAAGGAGACGTAATGAGAGAGTACGAGTTAAAACCACCTGCTCCCGTGCGATTTGTGTTGGGTCCCGCAAGACCCGTGGGATCAAGAAGGCCGAGTACTCTGAACTGCTGCTTGGTGCATATGCACAAACAACAGTCAGAGTTTTCACAACCCGAAGGTGTAGGGAGGCGACCCTCTCGTTTACCGGAGTAAACTCCAACATAGCAGCGCTCAGCTGGGGGCTTGTGAGTATCCCCACATCCGCCCGGTGCCTCACACCCTGGGCAACTCCAGAGAAAAATAGGGTCCATCCCCTATCAAGGAGTACGGTTCCAGAACCGAGACTGTGCGTGGAGGTTGGCCCCACCAGATCTAACTGGTAGTGTTCCACCTCCCGCATAAGTTCCGGCTCCTTCCTTTACAGAGAGGTGACGTTCCACGTCCCCAGAGCCAGGCTCTGCCGCCTGGGTCTGGTCCATTGAGGCCCCTGACCTTCACCGCCACCCATGTGGCAGCGCACCCAACCCTGTGGATCTTCCTATGGATGTCCAAAGTATGGAGAATGGGGTGTCACGTTGCTGTTTCAGGCTGTGTCTGGCCGGGCTCCATGGCAAACCCGACCACCTCCTCTTCCTCGATTTTTCATGAGGGTCTGTGTGAACCATTCTCAGTCTGGCCCCTCACCTAGAACCACGTTTCCATGGGAGACCCTACCAGGAGCACTAGGCTCTAGACAACAGACAGCCTCCAGGGGCACGCAAACCTCTCCACCACAGTAAGGTGATACTGAATGGTTCTCATTCATTTTAAAACAAAAATGGAAACTAGCGAACAGTAAAATATTAGCAAGTAACAGTAAACTTGAAGCAGAGTGAGGAAAATCTCCCTTTGTGCGCTGAAACTATTGAAACACGATGGAGATAAGAGACTCTACAAGAGACAAAAGAAATTTGTTGTGTTGCTCATTTCTGTAGCAGGATTGTACACTGTTTCACTGTGCAGTTATTGATCTGATGTTGTTGTTGTTTTCTATCCCCAGAGCAAATACAAGGAGGCGGGTAGGAAGGAGCTGGTTAACAGTCTGTATTCTCTGCTGCCTGAGACCAAAGACACTCAGCATGCCAAGGAGCAAACTCAGCTGCACAGCGAGGTACAAAACTTTAGTCACAGTCTGCAAACATGTTTTCATCATTGATATTTAAACTATCATCTTCTCTGGGTACCAAGTATGAGATTCTGTTTGCTCAGTAACATGTAGCAAAAGCTTCCAACACATAAATCTACTTTGGTAACTATATAAGAACATCCTGCTGCCAGGGAGACGAGGACAAAACCCTTTAATGTTCAGATGCAGAGATATCTTTAAAGCCTATCTTTAAAGTTTCTTCATGGTCCACAGTTTGGATGAGCTGTGAGTAGAATCTCCTTCATCTCAGTCGTGTGTTAATTAGTGGAACAACGGTGTCCATCAACATCACGACGAACGATCGAGTGATTAAAGCCTGTAAACTGGCATTTTTAATTATGTCTTATTAAACTCATAACTCATTCTCCAGTATGAATACATCACACACCCATCAGTTCACAGCTTCTACAGCTAATTTGGAAATCATTTGATAGAGAGGAACAATAGGGGCTATGGGAAATGTGGTCTGCCGTGAGATAGAGGTCGCCATCATTTTGATCCCTTTTAGTAAGGTTAATTACACCAAAGGATCTAATTACAGACGCATCGATCCAATCTTCACCCCAAATCCTGATACCGATCCCCGGGATCAAATTGGTGTATTTCTAATCCTAATTAAAATGATATTGATATAATAATATTTAAAACTGGTACTTGTGCCTTTGTATTACACTTTGTATTCAAACTAGCACATTGGTGAGGCAGCGAAACCACTTGAGGCATAATTTGATCGGTGCTTTTAATATTTTGCACAGTAAAATGTCAAATGTTTTGTTTTGCAGAAAGCTTACAGGAAGGAGGGGAGGAAGGAAGCCGGCTGCAGTCTGTACGCCCAGATGCCCCAAACCATCGAGACCGTCTTCGCTAAAGAGCTGACCAAGACGCAGAGCGACGTGAGTCTAACGTAGCTCTGTGACCTTCACAGTGTGAGATAGAAAATGACTCTTTGCAATGATTTTAATAGCTTCAAACTGTGACTTTCAATGCAGGAAGAGAAACTTTGAGCGCTCTCACTGCTGTAATAAACTTTGGGTATAAAGTAAATGTCAATCAAATGGCATAATGGCTTTCCTGTAGTTCCACTTATCAAGATCTCTCAGTCCCCGTACACACTGCTGCTTTTTCATTTTAAAACTGAGGCCCAATCCCAATGTCCCCCCTCAGCCCTGAACCCTCACAGACTTTACAGACGAGTTTAAGAGGCTGCAAGGGCTCAAAATGCTGTAAACAGGAACGGGACAGCACTTTGCCACTTTATCACGTTACCTTGACGACGCTGAATCACGTTGCACACTTTTTATTTTATGTTTTTCCTTATTTTTAAGTGGAGGAGAGGTAATATGAGGTATAAATCAATATATTTGTAATTAATCAATACACTGTTAAAGGGTAAATATAAAATAAATAAGGGCCTAGTTGAATAAACTAAGTGTGTAATAAGGTGATTGCATTCTTCTGACTTCATGTGTTCCATGCAGCATCTTAAGTTAAGAAAACTCTTATAACGCGGATTTGCCGTGATATTTCTCTCGCTTCCGGGCTTCCCCTGCTAACCCCCGTGTTTCACATCATACCGCTATGAACTGTGGGCTATTCCCTCAGTCAAAGTCTGCAGAAACTTACGAAAAGGGTCCATAAGCCCTCACGGACTTCCTGGGAACGCGCCTCAATGTCTGAGAGTCTGTGAGGGTGGCACATTGGGCCTGAGAACTTTTTCAACATTTGCATCTACTGTCCAGACTAAAATGGTGAAAACGAAACCTAAAACGGAGAAGTTTGAAAACACTGCCAAACCCGTTTTTGGTTTTAAAACTCTGGGTAGCGTTTTAGTGCATACGGGCAAAAACGGAGGACTTTAGAAAGAATGACACAGACGCTCACATTTGGCTCTCTGATTGGATCTCTGATTGGATCTCTTAAGTCATGCAAAGTAGAAACTACTGACAGAGTTTGGTTTTGGTATTTCTATTAAAATATTTTATACCGTGCAAATAACACTTATAGCCTCCACTTGTACTGTGCATGTCGCTGTATTTACTTTGCGATAACTCCGAGTTTTTTTCCCGCCGCCACAGACGCTTTTACGTCCCGTGTTACATTCAGTAACAGTCCCAGCTTGTTATTGGTCCATGCAAAATAAAATCTGGTGCTGTTCTTTGTCTGCAGTACTTTATTCTTTCGCCAATCTTCTGTAACTACCTGCGTTATGTTTATGCGCATGCCAAGTATACGTTAAAGGCCACTTGAAGTGCGTTTTCAGTCGTTTTAATGTAGACGGAGATCAACTCTGATATGCAGCTAAAATGCTGGTGTGGACGGAGAGCACATTCGTTTTAAAACTCTAATGCGAAAGTGTTGTAGATGGGCCTTAGAGCAGACTGTCATCATGGCTGTTGTTTTACAGTTACAGTAAAGTAAAGAGCAGCCTTTTGGGCGTTTATAGCTTGTAATTAAGAGCTCAGTTTGCAGCAGGTCAGGAGAGACTCACAGCAAATGTGAGGCCTTTAAACAGCAACATCCCAAGATGCTTAACACACACATATAGAGGGAGAGGGTTGGTATCATTTTGTTTGCTGAGGCATGAACACGGAGAGCAGCTGTGTTGTGCTCTACCGCCTGAGGACACAGACACTGACCTACTGCCTACACACACACACACACACACACACACACAGTGAAGACAAACAGCAGTGGCAGGTTGAAGCTGATAAACTGGGGCAGACACACATTTCACCGGATCGCTTCTGAAAACTGACACCTCTCAAAATACCACGGATGTAAATCTACTTTAAACTATCTTAACTTTTTGATGCTGCCGTTTTCAGGCAAGGCCACTCAGAAAGAGTTAAAACCTGGAGCAGGTGGAGTACTCTTATGTCAACTTAAAAGGGATTCAAACTTTATGAACCTTTCACCAAGAAGGACCAGATTGGATGATAACGGTTTGCCTCAGATGACCTTCACTGTCTCCAGCAGCTGGAGGTTTTTCCAACATGACATTGATTTCATTATTTACAAAAATGTGTCAGTAAATGTGCTCAAACTGAGATTTGTATGCAGCAGAACAATTTCATTTTGGTGCATTTGAGTGACAGTAATAGGACCAGAACACATCTATACTGCTTTAAATAATGCAGGAGATCATAAACTCTAAACTGATCACAGAGCCCAGAAATAAGCAGAGTCAGGTGTGAGGAAAATCTGGCCTGATGGATTCAGTTTAATACAAAAATACAAAAGTGCCACCAGGAATCTGAAGGAGTGGAGCTGCAGTGTGATGAAGATGAGTGTAGACTTGGACTGCTTGATTCACAGATGAGGTTCATTGCTTGGTGCCTATCGGGCCCAGAGGGCAGAACATCACAGCTCCGGGTAAACTGGGGCACAGGGCCTGATGCTTTCTGGTTTCACGTCTGTTGACCGAGCAATGTTGACGCTAACTGGAGCGTATAACGTACACCACCTAGACAACAGCAGCCCAGACTGCCCTGCTTCTCCAAAACGCTGTTACAATAAAACTGATCCACGGGCTGAAGGAGCACGGGAGACATATTTTGTGTTACCAGCCCGGTTAATTTGATCATTATCTGAGAGTTTTACTGCATTCTTTTAGACATCACAGTACATTTTCTATTGAATGATGTGTGCCCTCGTTGGTTTACTGTATATTATGCATTGTCTCCTCATCCCAGATGCTCTTTGACATCTGAGTTTTACCTGATAAAAGTCTACCTACTGAACGGCACCATCTTTTCATAGATTGAGAAAGAAACTGTTTGGTTTTACATTGTACTCTCGTTAGCAAATAACTGGTTTTGAAACATGAAATCCTTAAAGGTAAAGCTGAACGCAAAGGGCAGCGGGTTTGTTCTGCAGGCCTGTTAATCTTCACTCAGTTTAATATTCATTTCTGCGTCCTGCTGTGAATTTCTCATTTTCACAGTTGGAAGCTGCTGGTCTTATTTTTAGGCAAATGAACGAATGTGTTTTCGCTCGTTATTCAGCAGCAGGCTGAATTAGTCATCAGATGTTTTCTCCCTCTATCCATCATGTTAATTTTTTCTGTTTTCTTTATTTAACTGCCTCCTTTTCTTCCTTTTTTTCTGACCATCTCTTTCCTTCTTGCCTCCCTTTTATCCTTTCATACCTTGTCTCTCTTTCTCTCTGTGTCTCTGTAGAAGCTCTATAAGGAGAAGTATAATCGTGAGAAAGGGAAGTGCAGCTACACCAACATGAAAGCGCTGCCGGAGGTGGAGCACGCCATGGAGGTCAACAAGAACCAGAGTGATGTAAATACACACACACTTGCATGTTTGTACTTCTTAGTGTAATATATATATATATATAAACAAGTGGTTATGTAACTCTCTGTGACTGTGTGGGCTACAAACAAGCGAGAAACTGAGCACCAGCTCATCTGTGTGGAGTTTGGTGTTAACAGCACAAAATCTTTTTGTGCCATTGTTTTACACTGTACTGTCAGCAGGCTCGTACAAAGTGGGTGCATTAATCCAAAGGGCATGACAAATTTTAATCTCTGTGTAACTAAGCTAGTTCAGTCTTGTTTTCATCAACTCAGGAACATTGCAGACATGCCTTCACATCATCACATGTTAATTATTGTGATTCAAGATTCAAAAAACTGTATTGTTTATCACATCATGAGTAGTGCGGGGCAACAGTTCGCGCATTGTTACGCGCAAAATTGAATAATGAATTCTAAAGTAGTTTATTGTACACTTTTAATTTAAATGTACTGCTATATACACAAAAGTGTAATAACGTGTGGTTTGCAAACACTTTAAACAAATAAGGTGCTTTTTACCAGCAGCATTCCTTTTACACAGTAGCAATAAAATAGTTCTTGTAAATCTCATCTTAAACATTAATGTTATCAAATCACTTATAAAACCAAAGCTATTTGCACTTCCAGGGCTTCACCTTTTATCTAGCTTGTTAAAACAAGTTATCATCAGAGTGCAGTTTTCTTGTTGGTTTTTTTATGAACAGGTATCTGCAGAAACGTTTTTCTTTTATCAGGGAGCAGCAGAAACAGTATATGTTCAGTAGCAAGTGTCCCTGTTAGAGTGAGGAGAAGTGCTCACCTCACGCATACGCCCGTCTGCTGCCGAAGTTGAATTGTCTTCAACTTTTCAAACTTCAGTTTCCAGAAACTATTACTGTTTAAACAAATGGGACATCAACAGGAGAGAATTCACACGGCAGAGCATCCCTGCAAAACTAGATGAAGGCCTATCAGGTAAAGTTACGTAATGTTAGCTTTAATTTTAACTTAAGTTAAACAGGCTACAGCTGTGTAGCGCACAGAAGCCGTTGTCATGGTTACTCTCAATAGAGCGCCTTCCGTTTACCCACGCTGCACTCTGCCGAAGCCTCCCTCCACTGCTTGTTTGGGTGGGTGGTTTGCAGGCTGATCAATATCCCCTCCTGTGACCCATGGTTTGACTGTAGCATGTGTGCAAAGCGCCATTAAAAAGTGAGTCTATTTGGCCTTGTTGGATCTTGCTATGGGAAGTTTTAATGAGTTCTCTTTTTGGCCAGAGAAAGTTAGAGGCGACTAAATGTTATCTTCTCAACTTGACTGCTGTACAGCACCTGACCCTCTCTGGGCAGCTGATGTCACGGGTTTGAAAAAAATCTCTGTGTGGGAGGAAGTTTTGGAAAAGCTCCATCATAGGAGGAGAAGAAGTTTGGAAGAACGGCGAAATGGACAGAGAGAGATTTTTGTGTGATGTAAAAATTTAACCGGCTTAGTGTGGACATACTTGTAGTTCACAAGACTGATTAGCGCAGTGGGCCGGTGGAAAGCACAGTGGAGTTTGCATGTTCTCCCCGTGTCTGCGTGGGTTTCCTCCACCATAAAAAACATGTTAGGTTCTCCAGTCAGTGCCTTACACTTGGAGTTGGTCCCCGGGCGCTGCACAGCGGCGGCCCACTGCTCCCAATACGTGGGATGGGTTAGTGCAGAGATGAAATTTCACTATGTGATAATAAAGTACCTTACATGATGTGGCCAAAGAAAACCGCTTAAATAATTTCTCAAATTACACTTTTATCGTATAGCTTACCCTAAATGTAGTGACTTCATCTCCTTCTTCTGTTTCTAACCCCTGTGTGCTCTCAGGTCGGCTACAGAAAAGGCAGAGAGGAGCTTCATCACTACAGCACGATGGCAGACAGACCTGACATCATCAACGCCACCAATGCTGCTAAACTGGCCAGCGACGTGAGTCTGTGTGTGTGTGTGTGTGTGTGTGTGTACTTGAGTGAGTGTACATGTTTCACCAGCTTTTCACCAGCTGTTCTCTAAGTGGAGCCACTGATTAATTATAGAAAACCTTCTGCTGTTAACGCTGAACAGTCATTATGTAAGAGAGTCCTGCAAGATTCATCTTCATGGGAAGTGTGTGTGCGCGCATGTGTGTGTGTTTGGGAGAGAGAGCACGGGAGCTAAATATCTCCAACAACTATAATCTCTCCTTAATTTTTCAAGATACCAAAGTGTGTGCGTGTACGCATTGTGTGTGTTTTTGTTATTATTTATGTGTGTGTCCTTAGATGTTGACTCTGTAGAGAGCGTGTGTTGCGCTGTCTTCACATGTTGGCGTTTGTGCATCTTTTAAACATTTGTGTTTTACTTTTTTTTTATTGTGTGTGTGTGTTATTTCCACAGATCGCCTATAGGAGCAGCACCAAGCTGCCAATTTACAGCGACGGCTCTCTTTTGGCCAGAACCGACATCCAGCACGCCAAGGAGGTTTCCAAACTGGCCAGCCAGGTAAACCACACACACACACACACAGTTTACCCAGCATGCATTGGGCAGATGACAGTAACATTAGGGATGGATCACCGGCTCTTTCTCTCCTTCCTGCAGGTGAAGTATAAGGAGAGTTTCGACAGACTCTTAAAGGGCCAGAGGCCTCGTTACAACCCACTGGACTGTCTCTCCTTCAAACACACTCAAGCTGCTGCTGCTCTGGCCAGTCAGGTGAGTCAATCTCGCGGTCACATGATCTTTTCAGCTCTATGATGAACAGCTTACTATAGCTTATGGCATCACAGCTTTATTTTTTTTATCATCACGTCGTAATGCAGCTGTCAGGTGGACCACTCAAGATCTGAGCAGCTCACTAATCCAGTTATTAATGCAAGAAATTTTCAAATCACGTCCATTTTTGTTCAGGATTTGATTTTTCCAACAGCGTACTAGATCTTGAGTTTGATTTTTTTGCGTTGGATGTGGGAGTGTAACCTAATTTCACCACACAGGAGACTTTTGAAAACAGTAAATGCTTCACCACAGAAAATAAATGTGATGTAGCAGAAATATATCTTTAATAGTTCAGTATTTCAAGCAACGATGCAAATTGATCCTTGTGGAAATGATGGTATAGTTTCACAAACAGTCCACCGTAATCTCCAGTGTACATGAGATGTAGTTAATTTTCTTGAACACACAGTTTTTTTTGTTGTTCTTTGGTCTTTTTAGGACGATGTTCCCTATTTGTAATACATGGGTCTGGTTTCTGGATGAGGGAAGAAGGGAAAGTAACACAAAGAAGGAAAAAAGACTAAAACTGAGACTACCTTGATTTAGTTAACACCTACTGTACATCTCTAAAGCACTTTTAGACGCCATTTTCACACAGAACAAGAACTTTTTATATATTTTAGTGGTATAAAGGGATCACTTCTCAGACAGTATGGACGCTTTTATCCAAAGCGACTTCCACTTGAGGAACACACAAGCTTCAATAAAATAAAAGATCTGCAAGTAACAACAGAAACTAGTAAGAGCTAATAAGGTATACTGCATCAATTAAATAAATACCAAGGGGAAGAAATGACAGTTAACAAATGGACAAGAGAATTTTAAGGGGATAGAAGAGCACAGGAAGTCTTTGGATGCACATTTGGGCACCGGACTAGTTGTTTTTAGACAGACAGCTAGTCAGTCTAAAGTGTTTACTGTCTCAGGGTCTTTACTTCTGAGGATTTATCAGTAAAAACTAAACTTCTTCTTGGAGCTGGAAGTTCAGATCATGTTGTTCTGATGCTCAGGGGACAGTTTGGTTTCACCTTTAGCTTTTGATTTGTCGTGTTCAGTCGGAGCAGGCGAGTCCTCAGCCGACAGAACGCGCAGACAAACAGGACGAAGTTTCTGTGGTGAAGCAGCAACACAACAGATCAAAGTGAAAATCACTGTGGTTTTAATCATCACTTTCACTTCCAGATTTCTTATTAAGATACAACAGAAAAGAATATTCAGATTTTGTCTCCTCCAGTTCACCTGAAGACATTTATGTTGTGTTTTTTTCAAGCGTCGGGATAAACGAGTCCAAGGGGAACAAACTGTTTCTGTGTGTCTCATTCACTTTGACTCTAAAGCTCTCGTCTGTTGTGTGGGCGTAACCATGGCAACCTTTTGTAAGGCAAACGGAGAGGGATTGTAGGATGAGAGCTGGAGAAGTTGAAGAGGTTGCACACACACAATGGACACCCACGTACACACAGACATACACTACATGCAGTCACACACATGCAGAGATACTGAGCAAACATACACACACGTGTAAAAATGCACGTAAAGATGGACCCAGCAACTGATGTACCCTGCAAACACACACACAGATGAAGCCATGGTTCAGTTTTAGTCCGCTTGCTGCCCACACAGCCACAGAAAAGAGCCTGTCCACTTCACAACGTTACGTAACGGCTTGTTGTGCTGAACGCTGCTCGTTCACTCAGAGCTGCTTTTTTCGGAAAAGCCTCTTACCGAACAAGAGACCCTCCGCATCACGATGCACAGGCAGGTTTCTGAATGCAGGTTCTCAGTAAGAGAATTTGGCAAAAAAAAAAAAAAGTGGCTTCATGTGAAATGGATTCTGGCACCAAATCAGCGAAGAAAAACTTCAAAGAGATGCGGATGTGTGCGGAAACTGAATGAAGAGGGAAGGGACATTTGTTGAGCTGTGTCCGCAGACTGCAAAGGAAAACGGCCCTGAAGGGGTTTGTGATGTTTTTTTAGCCTGTAGGACTGCTCGCCGCCGTAATTAACTGGAGCCAGGAAATCCTAATTTTAGCAAAGATGGAGGAGGAAGCTAGAGGCAGCTACCATGCCTGAGTGTGATAGGCTGTCAAGTAAACATGCACCACAACATAAAGTACTAAAGAATATCTCTGCCAAAGAAGCTGATTTGTTAACACTTCTTCTGTCCTCCAGGTGAAATACAAGACCAACCAGAACCAGAAACCAGAAGGTTCTTCAGACCTGCCGAACCTCCTGCAGCTGGAACACGTTCTGCACGCCAGCAAGCTGCAGAGTAATGTACGACACCATCATTCACCTGTTTAACATGTACTGGACTTCTACAGCTGTACAAGTCCAGGTTAGGCAGATAAAGTGTGTGATCAAGCTGTTAATGTAGTGTGTGTGTGTGTGTGTCTTCAGGTGGAGTATAAGAAGAAGTACGAGCAGACGAAGGCTCAGTACCACGTCCCTCTGGACACGGCTGAACAGCTCCACCACAAGGAGAACGCGGTGCTGCACAGCCAGGTTACCCTCACTGCTGCTGCCTTTTCTTTTTCCTTCTGACGTTCTCTTTTTTCAATCAGTAAACAAATGTCAACAAATGTGTTTGTGGTTTCAGGTGAAGTACAGAGAGGAGTATGAGAAGAACAAAGGTCGCTCTCAGATGGAGTTTGGAGACACTCAGACGTACAAAGTGTCTAAAGAAGCGCAGAAGATGCAAAGCGAGGTGAAACACTCTCTCAGCGCAGAGTATCTCGGCCCTCTGATGCAAACTAGTGAAATATGGGCGTCTAGGAGATTATAATAGTCAAAGAGTGTGTTTCTATACCTTTACACTTGTTCAGCATGTTTTGCTTCTCTGTTTGTGCTCCAGCCATGTTCAGCGGGGCTTTTCTTCAGTTAGAGGCGACTAAAGTGCTTTTGTTTTCTTATTTCTTAACTGGAAAGACATGAAGGCTGTTCTGAAAACTGCTTTGGGAAAGAAACATGCAACACAAATACAAAGATCATGTATCATCAGCTTACCTAAACTCAATTATTTAAGGAGGCTCCATAATCCATTTTCTTTATTATAACTTGTTTATTTACATAGAAGTAAAGAATATATGCTGATTAAGATGTTAACACAAACATCCAAAGCTAAAACACATTTGTGTTTCTTCCTGGCAGGTTGTATTATTGCAGAGATAATTCACACTACATTTTACTCTCTCTCTCTCTCTCTCTCTCTCTCTCTCTCTCTCTGCTGTTTGTCTGCATGTCTCTCTTTCTCAGAAAGAGTATCGGAGGGACTACGAGGAGCAGATGAAGGGCAAAGCAATGACTGATGTAGACCAAACACCTGGATACCTGACAGCCTGCCATGCTAGCAGCCTGCTGAGCGAGGTAACACACACACACGCATTTTAAATTATGTTTTTCTCCAACCCGTTCAAACAGCAATAAGAATATTCAGTATTAAATGATATGTGAATATCAAGTACCTCCACTGCTCTATGATGTCTTAATGCATTAAATAAAGTCAAAATGATGAAAACCTTTACCATTCATTCATTCTCTAAGCATCTGTCTCTCTGTAGAAGACGTACAGGAAGGACCTGGAGCAGGAGGTGAAGGGGCGGGGCTTATCCGGCATTGGGCTGGAGGAAACACCTGAGCTGCTGAGGGTTAAAAATGCCAATCAGATACTGAACGAGGTAAAACTCACACCAGACATAAAAACACACAAGTGATGTGGCTTTAACCTGAGTGTTGATGTGTAATGTCGGTGGTGTGTGTGTCTGCCATCTACAGAAGGAGTACCGCAGGGATTTAGAGAGGGAGATCGTGGGTAAAGGCATGGAGCTGAGCGCAGACGTCCTCGAGATACAAAGAGCCACGAGAGCCTCAGAGATCCAGAGCCAGGTAACTGTGTGTGTCTGTGTGTGTGCTGTATATCACTACAAAAGTTGTAAATTTCAATCAGTGGCATTAATTTTCAATCAAATCATATTTTTTGCGAGCTGTTTTCTGTGTGAAAGGCAACTTGTTTAGCTGATCTTTTAGTTATATGTTTACCCTTGACAATAATACCATTCTAGTCTGGAGGGCCTGGAAATATAATTTAAAAGATTTTGTTTATCAAATTAGCACAAATGTGTCTGGAGAATTCTTTAATGTTGGTTGTTCCACAGTCGTTGACTCAAACTCCACATATCCTGCTAAGAGTTTGTTTTTAATGGGTACAATGCAGATGTTTTAGTAATAGAGTGAAAATACATCAGTGCATGCTGGATGACATAAAAAGTAAATAAAGGATGTAATTATTGCTGTATGAAAGAAAGTTGTCATAAAGCAACAGCAGTGATGGCAGCTCCAGTTGTCTTCAGATCATCCATCACACTCATTACAAATCAGCTGATGGCGTGTGTCTGTGTGTCACAGAGGTCCTACAAGAAGCAGGTCAGGGAAAACTCATACGGGACGGTTACAGATACTCCTGAACTGCTGCACGCCTCCTACCTCAAAGACGTCTACAGCCAGGTGCGTGAGCCGGCAGGGCGAACCTGGGTGGGAAGTGAAAAAGAGAGCGTTACTCTCAGCGGAGCTCCCCTTCTTCTAACTCCTTCCCTTTCTACTCACAGAAGAAGTACAAGGACGAAGCCAAGCGTCTGAAGGGAAGCTACAGTCAGGTTTCAGAAACCCCAGAGATGGAGAGAGTCAAAGCCAACCAGAGACACATCAGCTCTGTGAGCACACACACTTTCAGAGACAACTCTAGTCCCGTCCAAATACAGCTTGATAATCTTCTGTTCCGGGTTTAAAAAGTCCCGCGTTGCCCTTTGATGCGTACGAACTCCGTGTTTTCAAAGCAGCTCTCTGTCGCCCTCTAGCTGCGGTACTGCTGGGACTCCAAGCTGATGAGAGGCCTGATGTCTTCAGTCACAGAGACGCCAGAGATCGTGCTCGCCAGAGAGAACGCCAAGAAGATCAGCAATGTACGTATACGTTAGTCCTGCAGGACGTGGTGGTAGATATAGTCAGTAGTATTTTCTTCAAAACCTTTGAGTGGCAAAAGGATCAGGAGAGTCTTGAGAAGTTCTGAAAGCTCAACAGCCGACGAAGACATCATGAAGTTACTGATGAACAGATGTAAAACGCTGCTGTGCTGCTTCTTTAAAAGCTGTAACCAGCAGCTGGTCCTTCGCTCTGTTCAGGTCCAGTACAGAGAGGAAGTGGGTCGTGGCACCGCTGTCATGGACACACCTGAGATGGAGCGAGTCCGACGCAACCAGGAGAACATCAGCTCAGTAAGGACGCACACACACACAGTAATGATCCTGAAACAGATGAGGGGTAAAGAGCAGCGTAATAATGTGCGGTGGTTCTGAGTTCAGTTTATCTGGTGGTTGTGTGAACGAGGGGAGTGTGTGTTCGTACTAATGGGTGGGTGCTGTCAAGAGGAAGTGATGGAGTTGGGATTGGCAAAGTGCGTGTGGATACAGAAGCAGTTCAGTGAATGAATAAAACGATAAATGAGCAAGGACTTTGTGTGTGTGTGCGTGTTTTGCAATGTCATTAGCAACTGTTAGCTGACTGTGCAGAACAATTGTCCATTCACACACGCGGTCCAGCTCTGGTGCCACGGTGACCAGGCCAGGTCACTGTTGGCAGCTTTTCCACCACTCGATCTCTAATGAGTTCATGGCAGTATTGTTTTCTCTGTGGTGTGTGTGTGTTGGGGGGGGGGGGGGCAATAGGTCTTTTCACAGCAGACATTTTGTCTTGTCGTAGCAGGAATAGCACAGCTGTAGATTACACCATTTAAAAACAAATGCTTCCTATTTAGGTTTAGAGCATGCTGCGTCACTGTCATGGCTTTACTGGGTCAGTGGGAATGGTTCTACTTGTGCTTTTCCTGCTATTACAAAGTGAAAATGTCAGCTGTGAAAAGGGACATATGTAGCACTGGCATAGTGGGATCATCAGTGAGTATCCAGGACACCAATAACACCAACAACAACAAGACTTACAGACTAGGCTGGATTCCTAAACGGGCAGGCAACTGTCAGAGGCCCAGACCCTTTTTATAATAAATTCATTAATCGAAATGCTACATTACTGTGAAAAAATACAGCTCCTACAGGAGTAATAATAATAAACTTTATTTACAGAACACTTATTGAAACAAACAAGCACCGTGAGAGATTACATGACATACCACAGTGAATAATAAAATACTGCACATGAGGGGCAATAATAATAACAGTAAAATAATAACTAAATTAAATAAACTAAATAACTAAATAAAATATAACATTAAAATAGGCAGGATTAAAAAAATAAAAGAATAAAAACTGTAAAATAAGCAGGTGGTTCAGATAAAATCAGGATATGCTTGCAGATGAAAGTGCATTTTTAGACGAGACTTAAAATAAGACACTCACTCAGACTAATTTCCAGCCTCACAGCCTCGGGGCCCTGACAGGAAAAAGCTAGGTCCCCAGCTGTGATGTGATCATACCTCTGGTGGTAGAGTGTCACAGAGACAGATAACTGATGCATGTAAGAACCGTGAACACGAAGAAGAGAAATAGGAACACTTTGTTATTTCCTTTCAGTGAACCTGAATCATTTCACTATCACTCTTATGTCAGGAGCATTAAACGATTCCCACCTGTGGGTCTGATGTCACCCTCTTCACGCATATGCTGCGTTCCAGTCGCAGTCGGAGGTCAGAATTTCCCAGTTGAAATTTCCGTGAACAAAAAACATGGCTGACAGTGACAAACTGATTTTTCTTTGTCAAGTGTGCGCACAAGTGAACCCTCAGCAGTACCCTTGGTGTTAATTAAAAAGATGTTTTAATAAAAAACAAGTCATACAAACATGCGATACTTGTTAACTGTGTTCCCGTCGAGCTACATCGGTTTGTGAACTCCAAAGTCAATGAAAGTTGTATATTTCCTGATGTTTTTTTAACATTTTCCTGAATAACTTTTGTGCAGAGAAGATGAGTTTGAGAGATTGTTTACTGTAACCAGCTACCTAATAACATTGGTGACATATGTTGATCATTTTACATACAGAACAGATTTTACTAAATGAAAAGCATGTAATATTTTAATTAAATGCAGCCAAACGTTGCCTTTCAGTTGATGGTTTATCTTTAACAATGTGATCTTCCATGGGTGCTGCCATTCATGAAGTCAGGGAAGATGGATCTGTCCCAAGTTTAAAAGTAGGAACTCTTGACCTTGAGTGACCTTCAGTTATGTTTTTATTAGTTGGAGGTCGGAAATTTGTGAGCAAGCAATTCACAGCAACATGTGTGCAGCTCACACTCTTTCTACTGGCTCAAGGAGAAGGAACAGACATAATAATTTTAATAATATCTGTCTTCCCACCAGGTCAAGTACAAGCAGAGCGCAGTGAAGGCCTCCAGTGTCGGAGTGACTCCAGAACTGGAGAGAGTCAGACAGAACCAGGAGAACATCAGCTCGGCAAGACACACACACACACACACACACACACACACACACACGTTTCTCAGTGTAATATCATGTGTAACATCACGTGTGTGTGTGTGTGTGTGTGTAAACAGGTGAGGTACCAGCGCGGGCTGCAGGAGATGAGGGGGCGGAGCTGCTGCGAGCTGGACACACCTGAGTACAGGCGTGTCAGGAAGTCACAGGACTCGGTCTCCATGGTAGCGGCCTGGTTGCAGTGGCTCCTGCCTTTGCTGATAACATGAGTGGCGTGGCACCATGGGTGGGACTGACGCACCGCTACTAACAGCAACCAGCAGACAGCTCGGAGGACGGCTGTGTGCGCGTGTGTGTGTGTGTGTGTGTGTGTGTGTGTGTGTGTGTGTGTTGGAGGTCCTCAGGTGGACCTGAATCCAGAGACTTTTGGGGACTCAAAGCTGCTTTCTGTCAGGTTCATTGGTTTTGTTTTGTAATATTTAGCGTGGATGTAGTCAACAGAAATAGAAAGTTAAACCTGAAAGTGTGTGGTCCAGCCAGCATAAACCGAACGCTCTGCTGAACAGCAGTGTTGTGCTGGTTAAACTCTATTTGACCTCTGACTGTTGGATGTGGTCATGCGTGTGCTTAATAGCACCTGTAACCACATCCAATCATCCTGGTCCCAGTCCACTGGAGCCTTTAAGACGAGGGGGTGGGAGTGATGACTCAGCAGCAGAGGAGGAGAGATGCCTCTTGGTTGCAGTGAGTAAGTCTGATCAGAAGCTGTATAACTCAGATTGTTTTCGCCTGCAGTTTATACTGTCAGTACATTCATACCCACACTGTTTACCAGTAACAAAATCCATGTCCGCCTGTGCTTGCTGTTTTAAATGAAATTTGGAATCTGCAGCAAAACAAGTTTTCAGACCAGAAGACCTGGAGGGGTACAAAGGCCTAAGAGCGTATGCACTTGTGTGTGTGTGTGTGTGTGTGTGTGTGTGTGTGTGTGTGTGTTAATAATAAAAGATTTAAAAAACATTTCCTTTGTGTGTTTTATTTGCTCACTGACCATGTGCACCCTGACCTGTGTGAGTGTGTGTGTGTGTGTGATATCTAACATGTGTATTAACTCTTTAAATGCATCATTTCCATTATATTGAGCTGTGTGTGTGTGTGTGTGTGTGTGTGTGTGTGTGTGTGTGTTTATCCCCTCCAACAGGCGAAGTACCATGAGGACTTTGAACGGGCGCGCGGCCGAGGCTGTACGCCAGGTATGGACGATCCCAGCATGGAGCGCTACCAGAGGGCCAATCAGATGATAGCAGAGGCGGGATACAGCAAAGGGATCCACCCCCAGGGGATGGAGCTGGACAGACGACCAGGAGGCATCATCGTAGGTCAGTGACCTCGACCTCGAACTGGGGTTAATTTACTCTTTATCAAACTCAGCACTTCCTGCAAACAGGATGTTTCACAGTTTTTTGGGTGCACGCAAGTAAATGTAGGAAATGGAAATCTTATTGTTTCCACCCAAAATGCTGCCACAAAAACGATTTAAAAGTGACGGGCAGTGGTGGACAAAGTACATTTACTCAAATACTGGACTAATACAAATTAGGGGTATTTGTAATTTACTTAAATGTTTTCTTTTCATGCCACTTTCTATTTCTACTCCACATCTCAGAGGGAAATATTGTACGTTTTGCTTCACTACATTTATCTTACAACTTCAGGTACTCGTTACTTTACAAAGTAAGATGTTTACGCACAAAACTTACGAATAGTTAAAAAACTATGACGTTTTGTTAAATTTATCTACCCAACAGTTTATACAAAACAAGTACAGCTGAAACAAGTAGTTGATTGACAGAAATGTAATTGGCAACTATTTTGATGATTGTTTTTAAATTTTGTTTGTCATGTCAGCAACGCCTGAAAAACATAATCATACTAATGTTTTTTACTTTGAGTCAAGTAGAATTTTTAGTGGAGTATTATCAAGGTTATCTGTACTTTTGCTCAAGTACAGGGTTTGTGAGCTTCGTCCACTCCGTCATGCTGATATCTAGAGACAGCTTTTCACTTTGACGAGAGATAATATCACAAACTGCCTTTTGGCTGTTAACACTTTATCTGTTCTTGTTGCAGGTTGTCTTTATTTTATTATGTTTCTGTTTTGAGTTGGGGGTTTTTTTGCTGACCTGCTGCAAAATAATTTCCTCATGTGTGACAGTAAGAGAGGAGGGAATATACCACCTGAACAACTGGAAGGAAACTTATGGGATTAAATCATATTTAAAAACATTAGCCTAATTAATCTGAAAGTAAGACGGACGTAACAATCAAATCACTAATAACTTTTCTCTCTGCGCTGCTCTCTGGATTTTCAGGTTGTTTTTGATGTGATGTTTTTTTTACCTTTTACTGTTTGTAGTCAACAGATCCAGGCTCCAGCTCTTGTGGTTTTAGCTCTTGTTCTTTGATAATTAACAGCTCACAAACTGCAAAATACTGCCTGACATTTGCTCAGGTGACACAAATCAGTGTTTTCTGATTGCCCTGATATGAAGAGCTGCACGTGTTTTTTAGTTGTGACAGGTTATCACAGTCCATGTAGACATAGTCAGTGTTCTTCAAATGAGCTTTCCCTCCTCTCTGAAGACCTGAAGGTGTGGAGGACAGACCCCGGCTCCATCTTTGACTTTGACCCTCTGGAGGACAACATCCAGTCCAAGAGCCTGCGCAGGATGTCTGGTAGTTCACCTGACTCCCCTCTTTCTACTAAAATAGCACGTCTGCCAGTTGCTGCTGGAGGAAAAAACACATTTTGAGGCCATAATTTCCCACAACGAAGGCAGAAGATGTTGTCGTGTTTGCATGAAACTGATCTTGTGCCACCTGTTTTAATCAACACCAGTGTGGAAGCTCCTTCGTCTCTCGTTGTTCACATGTTTCCTACAAGTGTGTGCTTCTGCAATAATAAGTTGTATTTCCAAACACAAATCCCACGTGCAGAGTCAAACCAGCAGTGAATGGATCTCCTAACAAGTCCTGTATGTGTCTCACAGCCTGATGTCTCCTCTTCCTCCATTGTTGTCCAGAAACTATTAAAACCCATCAGTGAGCCTCGCTGCTGCACTGGGTCACATGTTTTTTCAGCACCGTGAACACACACACTGTAGTTTATTTTGACTCAGTCCCACACACACCGTCCTGCTGCCTGCACACTCACTAGAGCGCCACATGTGGATTCATCCACCACTGAAAATAGTCCCCAACAAATGCACCACCTGTTTGAGTAACATTTGTTACAGTGAGCAGCTGTTTAAGCAATTTAAACTGAGCCTTTTACTTTTTAATGAATCTATATATTTGTGAGTTGTTTTTAAAGATTTATATATTTCATAGTAACCAGTGGGCTTGGAGCTAAACGCCACAGACAGGAAGTCAGGAAGTGTTGAGAGACGCACTAACACATTTTTGAGTTTGGTCTTTTAATTAACAGCAACATACACGTATCTGTGTTTGCTCTCGTTCTCTCTCTTCGTTGACTCACTTTTTTGTCTTGTTTTTTTTCTTCCTCTCCTTGTTTTCTGTCTGTGCTGTCATTATTTCTGTCCTGTGCCGCCTCCTGGTGGTGGCTGCCTGTCAGAGCGGGCCGACAGCAGACTGAGCAGGCAGTCTCTCACCCACAGCCAGGCTCAGTCTGTCAGCTCGCTGACCTCTGACCTCTGGGATCGCAGCAGCACCGACACTCCTGGTATCTTTACTCATGTTGTCTTTCTCACTTAGACACACACTAGCAGGATGAAGCCTCTGACGGAGACGAACACTCGCATGTGTTTGTGTTTTCCATGTTGATTGAAGTGCTGAAGAAACACTGACTAACTCACCGTCTTCTTACAGGTTGTGTTGTTTGAATCACATACTTGTCTTTTCCCTAACATTCACGGTGTGGTCACAGCAGAGGAGGCTCTTCAGGTGTCAAACTATTCTATCAAGGCTTTTTAAACTCAGTCATTCTCTCTTCCTCCGTCTGTCTGTTTTTTTCTTTGCCTCTCGCTCAGCTCCTGTCCTTCCTGGAGCGTATCATCAGGGCGTCCAGATGCAGCCGCAGCAGCAGTATCACGGCTACATGCACCAGACCAGCATGTCGTCCGTCAGATCTGTCACCTCCCCGCCGCACTCAGCCTCGATGGTACGTCCCTGCTCAAAACGATTTTCATGTAGCCGTCTTTGGCTGAATTGGCTGAACATTTTATTTTCGGATCCCGTCACCAGTTTCACCCTGATTAGTTGTTTACTGGTGCATTTTGCTGATCGCTGCTTTCATTCACCATATCAGGAGCTGTATTTTGCAAAGATGCACTGGCATTGCTGAAACAAAATCTCCACTCTACGTCTGAAAGCCCTCTGATCATGTAGCTTTTCTATTAAGTGACCACAAAGACATTTTAATAAACCACACTGTCACCCTGCAACATATCTCATTTGAAAGGACTGACCGCTACCAAGCTCCTCACCGAAATGTTTTACAACGTTAAACAAGACCTATTTGTCGGGTAGCATTGATCACAGAGCCTTCCTGTAACACACTTACCGCTGCCATAAACATTTGCTGAGCTCCTTTTCTTCGCTCGCCTTCCTCTGCAGAAAAGCATCAACCACCACTAAAATCTGTGTGTGGTATTCATCCCTCACAATTTTATTAGCCAGTACTTTAAAACTTGACTGCATTAGAAAAAAGTATGCGCACATATAAGGACATAGGACAGCTGATTCACCCCCACTGTCTTTTTTTTGTGAAAATCACAAAGACCGTCGGCTCATGGTTGGTGCCACCAGGGACCAGACCAGACCTCACACAGGAAAGTTGGTACTTACTCTGCAAACACAAACCCAATCTTGCTGACAGTCAGCGTTCCAGCTCATCCTTAAGGTGTTGGATGGGGTTGAGATCATGATCTGTGCAGGACGGTCAAGTTCTTCCACACCAAACTAGGAAACCATGTCTTTATGGAGCTGGCTTTGTACGCGGGGGCATCGTTATATTGAAGGAGACAAACTGTTGACACAAAGTTGCAAGCGTAGTATTGTCTAATATATGTTTGTTTGCTGCAGCGTTAAGATTTCCTCTCATTGCAAAGTACGTGGACGGGTTCATGACAAAATAAAAGTGGGATCACAGTCCACAAATGACCACATGTCACAGTCTAACCTCTCACTGTCCCTTCGTGTTGTTTGCAGCGTGTTTACCGGGCGTTGTATGACTATGCGGCTCAGGACCACGACGAGGTCTCGTTCAGGGACGGCGATGTCATCGTCAACGCTCAGCCCATCGACGAGGGATGGATGTACGGCACCGTGCAGCGAACCGGCAAGTCTGGCATGCTGCCGGCAAATTACGTGGAGTGTTGCAACTAAAGGAAAGAGGGAGGTAGAGAGAGGAGACGGAGGTCAGGAGGTGGTAAAATGTAAAGAATAAAATCACTGTTATAACATCAGCGGTTGGTGATGTTCTTTGCATTTCAGGGATCATTTACATGTTTAATGTTTCTCCTTCCTGTGGAAAACAAATGTAGACAAAGTGACAAAGATGTCAGTCATTGAGTATCAAAAACATCATCTTTTAAAAACAGCATGCAACAAATAAAAGTGAGCAGTTTCCACTTCCACAGGAGCAGGAAGTAGACCAGAATGCATTGCAGAGTGTGTTATGATTAAGGGAGATGGTCTAGACATTTATTTTTCCGTCCATTTTCCCACCTTTAATCAAAAACCAGTTCCTGCTTCTTCTCTGGGTAATATTGAAATGTTTTCTGGGAAACGTAGGCAATCCCTCACTAAAGCGGTAGATAAGGCTTTCTGAGGGGAAGTGGATTCACTCCATAAAAGGACAATTAAAATGATAAATTACAGAAAATCTACTGGAATACACAGGACATCACACGCTGCTGATAACCAGGTGAGATTTTCTAATGTTAAAGAGGAAAGGAAAGAAGGTATAAATCTAGCATGCTGTCGATAAGTTAGTCAAATTTTACAATTGGAGGAAGGACACATGAAGAAAGAAGGTATGAGAGATTGGAAGCATCTGTAATTTATATGAATGACCTGCAACAAGTTAGACTTAGACCACTCAGATTTCAGCAATTTGACCAGAAGATTAACAGCTGAAATAAGTAAGTGAACAAAACAAAAACATTTCAGTCTGATTATTATCAGACTAGGCTTCATACTAGTTTGAAATATAAGTCTGGTGATATTCTAAATTTTTCCTCTTGTCATTAAGCCTGACAAATTAAAAGACAAAACCAGCAATGAATGGATCTTCTAAAAAGTCCTGTGTGAACTACTGATTTCTCTTTTGCCCCAAATACTCACTAGAGCACCACATGTGGATTCATCCACCGCTGAAAATAGTTCCCAACAAATGCTCTATTTCCTCTTGTTTGTTTGTGAGCAGCTGTTTTAGGAAATTACTAAACCTGAGACTATATATTACATCTTCAGTAGGAACCAGTGGACACATTGTTGGCTTTGTTTTTTTGATTTTTTGACAATAAGAAAATATTGAATAACACTGGAATAATCCTTTAAAGATGGCGGAGGAAACGGAGAAAAGCAGAAAGAAAGAAAGAAATGAGTTTGAGAACAAGGAAGTGGGAGAGAGAGAAGTTCCTTTTTTGTAGGGGGGGGGGACGATGCAACCAAAGGAAAGAGGGAGGACAGAGGAGAAGAAGTTCATTTTTAGAAGTCTCTCTAGTTTAATCTTTTATTTATCCAGAGTTTTACTTCATGTTCAGGTGAGTGTAGTTTAGTTTTTGACTTCTGCTATAATCTATGGAAAGACAGAAAGACCACGCCGCACAGCTTCAGTTACAAACAGCAACACTAACGTCTGTGTTTTGTAAAGGACTTAACTAACACACTGTGTCTTTATGTTCCTCCTATCAAAATGATTTGTTTTTATTTTTAACTCTGTGCTGTCCAGATAATTTAACCTCCACGCGCAGTTTATATGGACAGAAATCTGAACAGACTGTGTGAGTACGTTTGTCGCAGACTATTTTGATACACGGGCTCCATGTCTATGTTTTTGGAAAGCTATATTTTACTCTTCCACCTGTATGTATCCAGTGAGTTGTGTGTTTTTAAGGTTTGTTGTCTTGCTGTGTGGATTGCATCCCGATCATGTGTTGAATAAAAACTTGGAGAGCATTTTGTATTCTGTATGGTTGATTTCATAAATACTAGATGCAATAGAATATAATTTACTGAGTATTCATATGTTAACTTGTGTTGATTCTTGGAAGAAGCACTTGTTTATTTTCACGCATTGAATATGTTTTTTTGTTGCTTCTAATGTCACCATTGTAAAGTTTTGAGTTAGTTTGTATGTCATCACAGGTTATACTAAGTTTATTTACATATTTTTTGGAATTATATATCACTCAATCAGTTATGTTTTTTTTCCATATGACAATTGCAATTGTTACATGTGGTAGAAATAAAAAATTGTCAACAGATATGTGGTTCTCCTTTTAATCAAAATGCATATACAATTATATTACATATTAAGCTTACAATTGCACTAATATATTCATATATAAACAAGATTTACTTGAGAAATTAAATCAATTACGGACATTTAATTAAAAAAAATAAATTATGAGGCCTGATCTGTTATATTTACAAACATATACATATGTAGATAGACCTTTAAAAGCAACAGAAATAATATCTGAGATATATATTATATAATTTGTGTTTTAATTCATGTACTAGATCTCTCAATTAGTTAGTTCCAGTCCTCTCTTTTGAAATTTGATGCAGGAACCCAACTTTGTTTTATGTCTGAAACATATTTCTTACATATATCAATCTGTTTTAGAGTAAAAGGGGAAATTTAAATGATAGGCTACATGTTGGCGACAGTCTTTGAGCAGTTGTCATGAAATATAATAAAGGTATTTTTAAAATTCTGCTTTTCCAGGCAGTCTACATTTCTGGTGTTTTGTGTTCATATAAAATCGTCCTTTTCTTTCATTAACAACAATAGAATAAAGGTTTCAAAAATCTGAAACTGTGTTTAAAATAAACCTTTGCCTCTCTGGGACAATTAAGTCTTAGTATTTTATCTGGATCTAGTTTAATTTGGTCTACATTTTAAAACAAACAAACAAACATATCAATTGCCCTTTTATTAAATTACAACTAGAATAAAGGTTTCACAAGTCTGAAATTGTGTTTTAAAGAGACTTTGGCCCCTCCGGTATAATCTCACCAGATCTGATAGCTGTAGGTAGTAGTTATTGATCTGGATCTAGTTTAATGTGGTCTACATGTAAAAAAAACAAAAGAGAATAGAAAACAGTGAAATCGTCTTTGTTTTTGCATTTTCACAAATAGAATAAACGTGTCACAAATCAGAAACTGTGTTTAAATAAACCTTAGCCTCTGTGGGACAACTTAGTCCAAATTTAAAAGCTCTAGGCATTTATTTCTAGTTTAATGTGGTCTACATGTAAACCCCCCCCCCCAAAAAAACAGGGAAATCACCCATTTTTGCATTTTCACAAATAGAAGAAATGTGTCACAAATCAGAAACTGTGTTTAAATAAACCTTAGCCTCTGTGGGACAACTTAGTCCATATTTAAAAGCTCTAGGCATTTATTTCTAGTTTAATGTGGTCTACATGTAAAAAAAAACAACCCAAAACAAAGCAGGGAAATCGCCCATTTGTGCATTTTCACCAATAGAATAAAGTTTTCACAAATCTTAAACTGTGTTTTAAAGAGACATACTGGTTTTTGATCTGGACCTCATAGACTGTTTATAAAAGGTTTACCTTAACTTCTCCTTAAGCTTCTCCTTAACTTCCTCCTTAAGCTTCTCCTTAACTTTCTCCTTAAGCTTCTCCTTAACTTCCTCCTTAAGCTTCTCCTTAACTTTCTCCTTAAGCTTCTCCTTAACTTTCTCCTTAAGCTTCTCCTTAACTCCTCCTTAAGCTTCTCCTTAACTTCCTCCTTAAGCTTCTCCTTAACTTTGCCGAATCGGAGCGTCGTCAACGCCTACTAGTGAGCGTATTTTGCGCATGCGCAGCTGTAATTGTAACGGAAGCGGCACTGCGGCGCTCACGGCTCGGCTCTCTGACCGACACTTGAATGAAAACGCACTGATTTCGATTTAAAAAAATGATGAAGTTTCTACCTAAACTGCTGCTGCTACTGCTGTTAGCCTTCCCGGCGACTATCCTTATCAAAGGTAAGGCTCTGATACGGCTGCTCAACAGGAGGGACAGTGTTTAATCAACGTTAGCAACTAATGCTACTAGTGTTAGCTGTAAGAAAAGAGGAAGGCCGATCTCCATGACATGTGCTAACTGAGAGTGTAACTGTGCTTAAAACAATGACTCGTCACTCTTTAGAGGCATGTCTGAAGTATTTGCCTGTAACGTTTATTTATATGAATGTTTAATTGGCATTGTGTGATCAATAGTTAGCTACATGCACGCAGTTAATCCGCCTGCCTAAACTGACGTGTCCTTACTGTCTGTTAGCCGTTAGCCCGGGAGCTACGTGGCTCTGCTAACGTGCTAACTGCCACTCAACAGCTTCCTGCAAACGTTTAAAACTTAAACACATTTGTATAAAGTCTGAACTCGTCAGTAACTCTATATAAATCGACAGTAATCAATACACACTGACAAAAGTTGGATTAGTTTGGCTAATTCCACATGTTAGTTGGCTAGCTAGCTGTAACAGCTAACGGCTCAGCTCAATATCACTGTTAATTTTTTAAATGGCAACTAACTTCATACAAGTCAATTTATACAGCCAGTGCATTTATAATTTAATTATGTCCTTAAAACGTGTTATTTGTAAATTTGTTTTTGATAGCGCCCTGGTACCAGATGGGCTTTAACATCAAAATGTTGGGAAGTATCAGTGAGTTTAGTTTATTCACAAAACATTAACATACAAATACAATCATAAGTAGGAATGCAGATTTGTGAAAAGGGACACCTCGGTAAGCTAGAAGCTTGTATATAGGAGCCCAGACACTAAGCAAAGAGTAGACATGTATTTGAAGTACAAACATATTGTCTAGATAAATACTACACATAAATAATGCAGTAGTAAACAGTATGATTTCTAACCTTTTATACAGAAAACTGTAAGAGCTAAACTACCCAGTGGTCCCATGAAACACCAGTCTAGCACTGGTTTAATAGGTAAAATACAATAGAGACTAGATGGGCTTTCACATAAAAGCGTTGAGATTTATCAGTATATAGATTTAGTATGAATTTATTAAAGGATAGGTTCTTGAGATGCATCATCTCATTTTCAAGAGGATCCTATTTAAAATATGTGCCAGAGGGGCAGTTGTAGCCTACATGATTAATACTCTTATTGGAGCTGTAGGTTATCTGGTATTTCCTGCAGATGTTGTGTGAAAAATTTTTTTTTAAAGCTACATGGCTGAAACGTTTCTAAAGAAAAAACATATTCAGCCAAATATTTGAGCAAATGTGTAAAAAATAAAAATGATGCACAGGACTTCTATTTTTTATTGTAATTGTGCAGTAGGAGTGGGCAATATGGATGAAACTCTCTGTCATGGTATATCTAATTGTGTACAACTATTTATGTATTACCTCATCATGGATGTCAGTGTTTTGCTGACGCAGTGAATTAAATGCTTGAGAAATCAAGGCACTTTCTCACAGCGTTAAAGCGTTGCTGCTCACTGAAGTGCAGCGTTGCCCGCATTGATCTTATTCACTGAGATATTAAAGAGAAAGCTACCAGAGTAAAACAGTGGGGGAAGATCTGAAGTATAACAATGTATATTGTCACTGAACCCTAAATGGGAGTGTAGATAAAAACTCATATTTAAAGCGACCTTTCATCTTTTACTGTGTGCAAAAGCTTTATGGGCGAGCATTTTTCACACATTTAATGCTCAACGTTATTTCAAATGTAGTTTATGTATAGTCTCAAGTTTATTAAGTACACCTGGCTAAAACTAAAGCAGTCTGATAAAACTGTCCTACAATAAATCCTCCCTTTCTAATGAAGTGCATAAAGTTCAGTTTTAACTGTTTCAGAGAGGTGTTGTTTCAACTACAGGGTCTGTTTAGAGGCTGGGGTTTGTGCTGTAGCTAGGTTTACCTGACACTTTGGCTCCTGTGAGTATGTCGGGCTACATTTAGTCAAAATGTGTAAAACAAGAAATCTACGTTTCTAATTGTTGTAACTGTGCGACAGTAAAAAAAGACACATTTTATACAAAGACATGTAGTGGACAGAAATCACATCCAGAAAATGTGAATCTGAGCTCAGCAGCTAACCGGGGGTTAAGTCCAGTCTTGGGCCTTTACAGCATGTCATCCCCTCTCTGTAATGTACATCAAAATAATAAAAATAAAATAAAGCTTATATATTAGGGGTGGGCGATATGGCCACAGTTTTCTATCACGGTAATATACAACTCGACATAATGGTAACGGTAGATATCACATATATATAGCAGCAGTGTTTCCCCGGGGTCGACTGCTTGACTTCTTGTGTGTGTATATAGACATATGTGGGTGAAAAAATAATGTACAGTTTTAAACCTGAAGCCCAAGATGAAGAAAGATCTGTACTCTGTCCTCCCCTCTAAAACGTGCAGATGAATGATGGGAATAATGCTTGTGTCTTTGTCTCTGTAATAAGGACCTTTCAGTCAAACCTCTCATCGTCTCTGAAGTCCCACCCAAACATCCTTTATCATGTGGAATCATGTTGAACCACAGAAGAAAATTACAGTCTTACAGACACTTTTTGTGATTTTTTTTTTTTTCCAGCTGCTGCTTGTGGCAAAAAAAATTAAAGAGCCAACAAATTGTTTTACCTTTAACTTTCCGTCTATCGTCGAATAAATTACATGAAAAGTCATTTTAATGAAGGTCGTGTTATAACGATGTTCTTCGTTTCTTGTCCATCAGGCCCAGAGGTGAGCGCCCAGGATCTGACTGAGGATGAGGAGGCTGAGGCTGTGGATGAAGATGTCGTGGATGATGTGACGGCAGAGGACGAGGACGACGAGGCGGAAGTAGAAGATGACGAGAATGCGGAGCTGGTGAGTGACGTGAGTGATCCCACCAATTTATCAATACACCAGTGTACTATAATACTTCCTGACATTACTGAAGCCTTATCACACGGAACAGAGTACTGAAGTTAGAGCATGTGTGAGCTTTTCCTGAGGGACATATGTGAGCTTCTATCTGTTAAAGATTAGTCAACAGACTTTTTGTTGAAGCAAAACTATTTGCTCATTTCCAGCTCGTCTAAAATGATGATTTTCTGCATTTTATAGGTTTTTAAATAAAACAAAGTTGTGTTTTGACCAAACAAGATAATTAAAGATGTGATCTTGAACTTGGGGAGATAATTATGACGCGTGTTATTTACTAAATAAACTAAATAATAAACCAAAAGTTCACAACCGATAAATTGTTAATGAAGGTAATCGTTACCACTTTTTCATTGGAGCATTAAACCCCCACTGCCAACTAGTGTTTCAGCGGTGCAATTGCAGAGTGACGCCGACAACAACACACAAGTATAAAAGCTCACGACTGCGTGGCTACGTGTGCAGCCTGTGCTGAAGTGTACGGCATAGACTCGACGCAGAAGTATAAATCGGCCTTTATCGATCAGCTTATTTGAAGTACTTTTATAAAATTGAGTGAAGTTAAAAACAACTGAATGAAAATGAACAAGTGAGGCTAACGCTGAGTGTTAGAATCTTATATACAACCCTAAGATGAGGCTCATATATATAAATATACTGAGCTTTAACTGAAACTTGTGTGTGTTTCTAGACGGAAGAAAAAGATGAAGAAGAAGAAGCTTTGGTTGGAGAGGTGAAGGCTTCCCCCAACGCTGACACCACCATCCTGTTTGTCAAAGGAGAAGGTAGCTTTCTCTAAAGACCTCGGTAAAAGGTTGTTGGCTGATATTTTAGACGTTGCTTTGTGTGAACTCTCCACGTTTCTCTCCAGACTTCCCTGCAAACAACATCGTCAAGTTCCTGCTCGGCTTCACCAACAAGGGATCCGAGAACTTCGTTGTGGAGTCTCTGGACGCCTCTTTCCGTTACCCACAGGTACGAAAACACACGGGACACTTCCCTCCCACAAGAACCCTGTCTGACTTCTCAGCTCCAACTGGCAAAGTGTGTCTGAGCAGCTCTTTCTGACTTGGTTCTGTTGGTCCCTGTCAGGATTACCAGTTCTACATCCAGAACTTCACTGCTCTCCAGCTCGGCATTGTGGTTCCTGCCGGCAGACAGGCCACCTTTGAGTACTCCTTCATCCCAGCAGAGCCAATGGGAGGGCGGCCGTTCGGACTCGTCATCAACCTCAACTATAAGGACGGCAATGTAAGGAGAACGGGCTGAAAACAACTCGTCTGTTGAGTTCTTCTGCTTGTTTTTGAGAACATTTGAAGGCTTCTTTTATAATTAAATAAAGAAAAAAGGTTTTGTATAAAAACATGTTTGTATTCCTCAAAGTGAGATGTTGGATAGCGAAGTACCGAACATATTGTGTGATGACTTTAAAATTGTCAAACATAGAAATAAACCACCCATGTCTGCGACGGAGCACGACCGCCAACATCGTACTCTTAATATCCTGGTTTCCTCTTTAATTCTGCTTGTTAAACTCTTCAGTTTCTCTAATCAGAACCTGATGCATGCAAGTTTGTCAAAGAAGACGATAAGGAGGGCAGAGTTCACCACTGATTATAGAAGGAAGAATAACCGATAACTCCGTTTGTCTGTCGTCTTGTTTTTCTTACTTCTCTTCTTCTCTGCAGGGAAACATTTTCCAGGATGCCGTGTTCAACCAGACAGTCACCATCACTGAGAGAGAGGATGGACTCGATGGAGAGACGTGCGTTTGTTTTTATTAACTTCACTGATGTTCTGCTTATTTATAGTGCTTTTCTTTGAGATTTTTCTTCTGCCTTCCTTTTATTCCATCTGTTCCTCTTCCCTCCTCCCAGGATCTTCTTGTACGTCTTCCTGTCAGGCCTCGGGCTGCTGGTCGTGTGGGCCTTCACCAGCTGATTGAGTCCAGAAAGGTACAAAAAAACAAACACAGTAATGAGCGCTGTAAAAAAGAAATCAGATGTTTAGAACAATGAACCAGCTGTATTTTTACAGTTTGTCCAGGAACAATGCTAAACATTTAATGGCTGACGTGATGGAATTGTTTAAACTACAACAAAGAAAGTTTTTTTTTTTTTTTTTTAATCTGCAGGTAAACATGGAGGAAGTGTTGAGTTTGCATCAGAACACGTGAACGTACACGGCAGGTTTCTTACTCTCTCTGTGTGTTTGTGCCCGCAGAGGAGGCGTCCAGCTCCAAAGGTGGAAATGGGAACTTCGAGCCACAACGACGTCGACCTGAGCTGGATCCCCCAGGAAACGCTCAACCAGATCAGTACGTATGCTTCACTCCCTGAACTACAAACGTCCCGTGGACTCGTCAGCTCAAACACCTGCTTCTGTTTTCTGCACCTTCGTACACCCAGACCAGATGCTCCACCTCTGTGCAATCTTTAGCTTTCAGTTTCAGTCAATGTGAAAATAAACTTTATTGTCAAATAAACGCAAATAGTCAAATTAAAAGACTTAAAAGGTTAGGTGGATCTTTTTTTCAGTAACTACCGAACTGTCTTTATTGGATAAGCTGGTATTGAACACCTGCTCAGATTCTCAGCCTCGTTGATTTAGATCAGATATTTTTGGACCAAAGTACTGAAAGATAAAATAAACATTTCCGATCAATCGTTTTTTAGCTTCAGACTAGATATAAACTGATTAATCAGGCTGGTATCTGTTCTTTTAAGGTCATCGGCTGATACCTCCGCTCACGAGGTCGATAAACGTATAAAGTCTGTGGACACATCTGCAGCAGCCTCGTCAGTGAGCTGCTGGTGAACGATGCTAGTTTGGAGCCCGAGAGGTCCTCACTCATCATTGTTCTAAATATTAACACGTTTATCCTAAATGACAGCAGCTCTAATCTAACAGCGTTACCTGCTAGCATGAAATATATCTAGTCATAGAGAATAATGCAGCTGAATGACGTCACTTCAGACAAAATGTACCTCACTGTTCCTTAAACACCACGTTCTGAAATCACAATAGTTCAGTTGTACAACCAAGATTTGAGTGTCTGCAGCCAAAAAGCTCCTTAATCGCAAACACAACTGAGTAACCAGAGAATCAAAACAAACGATATGAACGTGTATATTTGAATTAGTTGCATTAAAAATATTACAGGTTTCAACAACTGTTTAAAGCACAAGACATAAGATGACTGTTTATATTTTGCTTTCTGCTTACAGAACTACTTAATGATTAAAATGTTCAGTGATGAAACAGACCTGTTGAGAATAACGAGGTGTTGATGTCGTGTCCCGACACTGAAACGTGTCTCGTGGCCCTCGACGTGTCTTTCCTCTCAGAGACAGCCGATGAGTCTCTGTTCTCTTCCTGCTTCGCCTGTTTCTGAATGAATTTAACCTCCACTGTGCATGAGGGTCACTCACTCTCTTCTTTTCTCTCTCTGCCTTCCTCGCTGTCACGTTTTCCTTCGTCTTCAGTGCAGAGTCGCAGAGGTGAGGTCTGCTTTGCGCCGTGTGGGTGATGTGTTTAAGTTTGCAGTGCTGCTGATGTAGGAGTGATGATTCTTTAGGACATTAGCCACCTTCCCTGTAACGGTGCAGATGCTCTGATCGAAGTGTTTCGACAGGTGAACAGTTCTCTCCCATCCCAGTGCAGAACGCATCATTATATATTTATTCAAGTGTGTTTATAGACATGAAATCTGTCTATTAACAACAGGATATGTTCAGTATTTGACTTAACACAAAAATAATTTTCTCCTGTTTGAGAATCAGAGCATCTCCACCTCAAATCACTAAAAAACAATAATGTGTTTTTAATATTTGATTTTGTCTTTTAGCCTGATACATGTAGACGTATTGACCCCTCCCCCGCTCTTCTTGATGTCCTCTTTGTCTGTCTCGTGGTCCGGCCACAGCAGTGAAATCATCTGCATGTGTTTGTGAAATATTTGGTAACCGGGCGAGCTAACGGCTAACACGTTAGCTACGGTGGATTTTTGAATGAAGGCTGACTCAGGCGGCTGAAGCCTCAAATTGGCTACAGATAAACTTTAGAATATGTGAACAGGAGGAATTATTTTAGCAAGTAAAACCTGTTTGAAAGCTCTTGAGAGACTTTGAGAAGTTACTCTTCACCTCAGGCCCTGTCCACATGTACACAGGTATTTTTTTTGGACCTATGTCCGCACGTAAACCTCCGTGAGGTTACTGAAAACCAACCTTTTTTTAAAACTACTGCAGACTCTGCTCGTTGTAACGTTTTTGTTTTGCTAACTTTATATTATATTAAAATTCACACTCAGTGTTTCTCCTTCTTCTCCAGACAAAGCGTCTCCCAGAAGATCTCCTCGCAAAAGGAATCAGAAGCGCTCGGTCGGCTCAGATGAGTGACAGGCGCCTAACTTCACCTGCCCGTCTACACGGGAGGAGGAGGAGGAGGAGGTGGTGGTGGTGAAGGAGCGCTCTCTGCCCTCTCTGACGAACTTTAACCAGTGCCAAGCACAGCGTTGGCTGGCTCTACTTTCAGCTTAAAAACTGTTGAACACACACTCACACACACACACGGCCTGTTTAGTTTAACGATTACAGTTTTCTGACGCCGTCACAGGGGAGAAGTGAAAACAGGCGTGTTGGGATTAAAAGGCACGTACGGACGTTTTTCTCTAAAGGTTGTTGGTTTTCTTTATGATTATATTTGTTTGTTAAAGCCTTAGTGAGATAACTGCTGATCATTGTGAGACAGTTTGATGGTATTTCTTTTTTTTTACCTCTCACTCTGGTGTAGGGCTGAAACCAAGAGAGGGTCGATCAAATAGTCGGCCGACAAAATTCATCAGCAACAGTTTTGTTAGTCAAAGACAGATGGCCATTAATAGTTGGTTCTGACCTCTCAGATATGTCTCGTGACAGAGAACTGAGTTTCTTTGGCTTTAGAAATAATCTGAAGACTCGGGATGGCGGGACTTGTGATGGACATTTTTCACTATTTTCTACATTTTAGATGAAATGATTACAGTGTTTAGCAGCTTACTTGATGATGGAAATAATGGTTTAGGTGCAGCCCTACTCCGGTGTGTAACGGAGCCACGATAACGGCAACAAGTACAGTTTTTGTTTTGTTTTTCAGTGTAGTTTTCTCATTTTGTTTATACTGCACACCTATTGGGATTTTTGTAGCGTGTCTGTTGTGATCCAGTACCTCTGTCTCTGCTTTCCTGCTTTTCCTTTTGCTACCTTCTAACCGCACAGATCCTGAGGAAAGTCAGATATCTGCTGTCACAGATTCACACACTACTGACACTCCTTCTCTAAAGGACTCAGTGCCGTCCTCCTGTTCATGTGTAGCAGAGTCGAGCCTCTTAAGGACTTCTGTGAGCCCCTTTGTGCAGGTACACAATCCTGCAGACGGCACGAGGGAACATTTCATATTTTCGTTGTTAAATTTGGGTGTGACACAGGCAGCCAAAATAAACTGTCAAAAACAAAATTAATGGTGCGTTAACATAAACACTGCAGAAAACACTGTTTTCTGTTCTCTGACGACGGTTTCATTAGTTTAACTGCGAGGCTTCAGTTCACCTCTGAGCTTTGTCCATTAATGCTGTCTTCAAACACACAGGAGGTTCAGCGTTTCAGTCATGTGCCGGACATTGTTTTGCTCCTGGTTGGAGATTCTGTGATTGTTTTGAACATTTGAACATCACATTTGCGACTAAGAAGAACAGCTGAAATGATGAGCTGATTAGTTGATTGACATTAACGTAATCGTTCAGGTGAAAGTTTTAAAAATTCCGATGTCTTAAATGTGAGTATTTACTGGTCTGTGATAGTAAATTGAAAGTCTCTGGGAAACTGTGATGGGATTTTCTACCATTTTGTAAAAGATGAATAAGAAAACATTTTGCAGATTAATCAATGACCGTAATAATTAGGAAGTCCATGAACAAGCTCAGCGGTTTGGTTTCTCCACCTGAAGAGCAGCAAGAATTTTATTTCAAACCCTCGACGTGTGCCTGTTTTCTACTTTTCTGTTTGTACATTTGTTTACTTCTGGCTTCTCTCTCAAGCAGATTTTTTTTTCAAAAAACTATTCACCAAATTATGATATTTTTGTTTGTTTTCTTTGGATTGTAAAAATGTTGAACTGGCTGAAGCACTGGTGTAAATACTGGCTGATGGATGATGACCTGAGGGCAGAATTATCGAGCTAATTTATTTGAGCGACGGAGATGGAGGGGTGGAGGTTGTGCACTGTTTATTTTACCACTAGGGGGCGACACTGACTCCCTCTGCAGGACTCTGGCTGTAGTTCCTGTACTGCAGAGTGGTGTCATTTAAAGCTTTGTGGTTCTGAGCGTAACTTAGCTCAGTGTTTAAACCGTTGAAATTTACAGAAGGAGACGCGTGCTCCAAACATTAACAAGCTTGTTGCTACTCGTACGTCCACACTGAACTGATTTTTGGGTTGTTTTTTTTTTCTAAGATGATGGGGCTGTCATTCAGAGATAAAAGCTTATACTTTTATTTGCTTTTAAAATGTGCAGGAAATAAACTTTGATTTGCTATAGGCCTGGCGAGTGTTTCTTTATTTGATAATTGTTTTAAGTTACTTTTCAAGCAAAAATACTAAACATTCAAACATGATAACAGCTTCTCAAAGGTGATGTGCTGCTTTTCCTTGACACATTTCATGGTAATTTAATGTGTTTTAATTGTTGGTCGGACAAAACAAGGAATCTGAAGATGACACTTAGCAAACATTGCGTCACCAAAACTGACATTTTCAGATATAAAATTAAAGGGGCTATATGTACATTTTTCAATGAAATTGCTTATTAATAAATCAAATTTTCATTGCTTTGTTGTCAGTGGACTCAAAAGTCACTTAGAAATTAAGCACGCGTCTGTTCTCTCTGTTGCTTGCATCAGCCACTATTCAGCTATAAATGTGAGGACACCGGTTCCGATTCAGCCCTGAGCGTCTCTCAGACTACAGCGACAACACGGCAGCTAACGACATGCAGTCCACTAACACCACAAAACAACCGTCTCACAGCAAAACACGGCTCCACGTAAGGATTCAAAACAACAGTAAAGGTTTATGTGCTGAAGCCTATCAGACCAAACGGGTTCAGATGATGTCGAGTAAAAACAAAGTGAGCATTAGTAAAGCTGGAGAAACACAGAGAAAGTCACGTCGTTACTATCCTGTGTACCACTGTTGATTTAGCCTGCAAGAATGGATGTAACGGTAAAAAGCAAATGTGGAGCGATTTGATTTCCTATAGTGAAACAGCCACAAGCAGCCAGCTAACACTACTTTAGCTCGGACCCGCCGCTGTTTCCTTCATAACGTTCAATTTAGATTTATTGTGGTTTTACCAATACTCAGGTACACTTTTCGCCTCCTCTCAGTCGCTGTAACTAACGTTACCCACAAACTATACAAAACTGCAACAAAACGGGGAAGAGCCAACAAGTAACACTACAGTAAAGTTACATACTGCAGTTCAACTGTTATAAAGTGTGACATATAATAATTATAATTACTAATAATATTCAGTCCAGCTCCCTGCTGTTGTGTTTTCCAGATTTTGAGAAAGGAGAGGCTTGATCCAATAAAAATTAACAAAAGGTTTAATTACAAAATTGCTGAATTTCATTTTTCCCCTCACATGGCTTAGGACCATAGTCATTGGTCGTTCGGTAGGTTTCTTCTTCTGTCACCCAATTAGGAAGGGTGTACCATTATTGAGTTACTTTTAATCAGAGAAAAGAGCGTTGATCTCAGACGTGAAACCCCCCTTCAATCTACAGGAACAAACAGTCTTTGCTCTAAACTAATCATACAGAACAACGGGGGTTGTCGCCACAATGGTCGATACCCAATCTAATGAAACAGTTAAAACAAAAGAATCCTTCTGGCACTAATCAAAGAGGTGTCAGTTTTCTTCAAATCACAAAGAGGAGACAAACAATGGTTTAATCAACATTCTGATGCAATCGTCTGGCCTAAAATCCAGCAGTTTACATTTTAAGAAAGATAGAAAACACTGAAATACAAAATTTCAGCAACTTTTCAAACTCAACACTACCCGTGTCGTTATTATCCAATACATTTAGCTCTTATTGCTGAGCCTCAGGTGAAAGATACACAGATAGTAAAGATAGTTACTGAAAAGCAGCAGGCGAGCTAACGATGTAGCACGTCGGCTAAATGCAGTAAATTTAACGTTATCATGTAACAAGCATGGATTAGTTCAACCTCAAGCTGATGAAAATATTACTGTAATGTTGCAGTGGGAGTTTACCTGAGTTTCCAGCATGTTGTGTGAAGCTGTCTCCCTGTCTGTCTATAGCCCAATAGAGAGCATATGGTGATGGGGCAGTGGATAAGACACATTCCTTTGGTGTGAGAGACCTGGGTTCAAATGCACTGAGAGACACCATTGTGTCCCTGGGCAAGACACTTAACCCCTAGTTGCTCCAGAGGCGTGTGACCTTTGACATATATAGCAATTGTAAGTCGCTTTGGATAAAAGTGTCCGCTAAATAAATAAATGTTAATGTAATGTAAGTCACTCGCCTTCCGGTGGACCACCATGGGACCTTATTTCGAAAAAATATTGTACGTTAGTCAATGGCGAGGGACAACAACTATTTTGATCCCATTTGAATTGTGCTCTGAATTACTGTCAATTTAAAAGATAAATTCAGTCAAGAAAGTCGCAGTTTGATGTAAAACTGTTGAGGTATAAGACTGTAAAAATACATAATTACAAAGACCACAAACCCAAAAGTCACGTATGTGACTTCGTAACTGTCTCAATGACTGAAGCTAACGTCAAAAAGCTTACATGAGAGGATGATGTGATATATGAACCAAGAGTCGTCGGATTAAACACATCAGGTGATATTTCTGTGTGGAACATAACTAAGTAATCCAGCTAGTAGCAACCAAGCAACGAACGTTAGCTAACGTTACCGCGCTAACATGTTGGTGATGTATATTATGCGAGACGAGAGTTGTAGTTCACTGAACGGTTTTCTCACAAAACATGTAACTTCACCGTTTTACGACAAACTGCGACTTTCTTGACTTGCAAAATTATATTTAAAATTGACCAACATCATGTGTGTAATTCAGGGCTCAATTCTAATGGGATAAAAGATAAGTTGTCTCTCGCCATTGACTACTACCGTAGATAGCAGAGGCTCCTCTGGGCAGAACAGCTTTGGCCTGGAAGGACAGGTGTGCTAGAGCCCAATAGTCAGGGCCTGATACAGTTTTTTGTGTTGTTTAATATCAGTTTGTAATGATAATTTGAATAGTTTGTACTTAAGTTTCCTTGTTGTTTGTATATTTAAATTTTTTATATATTTTTGCAATAATTCACACTTGCAGTACTGCACTTTTCACTTGTCTGGTGAAGAAATAAATTGAAGCACCAGGTGAAGAACTCCTGAGTCCATGTCTCCTCCTTCCACCATGGGGCTAAACATTACAAACAGAGCCTGAACATGCCGGTGTTTCTGCGTTTATTGCAGGATTTATGTATGAAAACGTTGTGTTTTGGATTATGCTTGCTCACGAGTTCAAGCGAGCACACATACGAGCACACACCTGGTTGCAATCTTAAAACTGCTGAAAACTCCATAATGCCCCTTTAATAGTGTCATTCAACGTTCAATATATTGCATGATCCAGTATTATTACTGTATATGTCAGACATGAAAAGGAGGGAGGTTAGAAAAGCACAGAGTTGCTTTATGAGCAACGGTGGAGAAGAAGCAATATAATATCATCAGGTACGCCTACCTACAGAGAACAAGAAAAACAAAGTTCACCACAGTGTATTAGCCTATAACAGAGGTCACTAATAGGCGGACCGCGGTCTGGATCTGGACCCAGCCGCCTTGCTCTGCGGACAGCCGACCTACAGCCGATTTATTATTGAGAATAACTTCCTCATGACGGAGAGTTTCTGTTTTAACCAGTGTAGCTTTCGTAGCATTTACTGTACTGCAGGGGTCGGCAAATTAGTCTGGCATCGGGGCATTTTTTTCAAGCCGTTAGGCCTAGCCTACATAACGGGCCAGAACTGGCAAACTCGTGTACACATTTAGCTCAGTCGGTAGTGTGTGTGCTTCCTG